ATATTGGCAATGTGCTGGCTTCAAAGGGAGATTTTGATGGTGCTCTGGCAAAATACCAAGAAGCCCTGGACATTAGAGAGTCCGTGTTGGGGAAGAATCACCCCGAGACTGCCACAACCTACAACAGTATTGGTTCTCTTCTCTATGAGATGGGTGACTATGCTGGAGCCTTGTTGGAATTTGATAAGTGTCTTGCTATTTTGAAGCAAGTGTTAGGAGTGGATCATCCCAATACAAAGGCTTGCTTGGAATCAATTGAGATGGTGGAGAAGACAACGGGTGCTCAAGAAAAGAAGTAATAATAGCCCAAGCTTCGTCATGACTATACTAGTAGAAGCTTTTAACACATGCCTACCCTAGCAACTTGTATTAGTCCATACCCAATCATAGCGTCAAGTAGTACCAGTATCAGAATCAGACTATTCTAGGACACTCCAGGGCGTCATGGTAACGCCAGCACGAGTAGTGATACGATCGTGGTCCTTTCCAATGCAAGGTTTGCCGAGCTCATGGTCACCGCATACTTGACAAGCTCGAGTTCCAGGAGCTCCAATTTCCCCTCCTGGGCGGGTCCACCTTCCCTGCCACAAATAAATACGATTTGCTGACAATCGTAGTGATAGTACACCGTAGTGATCTTCTTTGATGAAACCATTGACTGAAGCAGAACGGGCTCGCCCTTGGACTTCCACAAGACGTTCATGGTTCCCGTTTGCTCTCGGCAATACGGGTTGTTCCCAAGCCAGTTTCAAACTTGGGATCTTGCCAAAACGGAGCAAGTACATGTACGGCGGCAACGGGTCCAATTGGGATCGAGTAAGGCAACTGGCTATTTTCGAATCCTCAGAGTCACTCCACATAAGCAGGATCCCATTGGCAGTGGCAGCATCAAAGCCTGCAAGTGCTCTTTCGGATGAGGGAAGAATTTCCGGTACTACCACGTTGTCGCTCTTCCTATATGTAGTATGAAGGTTCTGTATGTATCGACCTGCAACGATGGCAGCGCAACCAGTCGCAGCCGCACGCAGAAGTATCCGACGTTTTCTACTCAAGAGTACATGGCAACGGTAGACACAGTAAGATATGGCTACTCTACTAGCTAGCAGTTACCTTGATGGTAATTATTCGTAGTCATCGTCTAATGAAAAGACAAGTTCACTTGCCATTCTGATTTTGAGGCCCTCACAAAAGTTTGCCAGGGTTCTTTGGGTGGCAATTTCAGGGGTCGGCTGCAAGTAAAACTTGTCCAGCCTCCCGCCTGCAAATCTGCACCCAAACTCCCACTGTTCCGCAATTTCCTTTGGCACAAGCTTTTTGGTCATGGAAACCACGACATTGGCCATCACGGGAGTGTGATAAAACTTTGTGTAGGCATTCGCTGGGAATGCTCCAACAGTCTGGCAGGTTATCTGTGAACAAATTTTCACATCTAACATCCCACACCCAAGTTTGAATCCCTCACATTCAAAGAGGTCTGTCTTTCCTTTTCTTGCAATCTCCAAACTGGGGATTGTTGCATAGGAAAGGTAGAATAATCCCCGCATCATGGTTTCAAAACCTTTTGGGTCTCTCCAAAGGGTCAACCGGAATTTGATGAGATCCACAATCATAATGGACTCAGCTTGTTGGAGGTTGAAGGAATAAGAGAGAAATGTCAGTGGCAAAAGTTCCATGAGAGCCTTTATGCTTTGGACGGCATCTTGATAGGTCAGCCGAATCTTGTACTCTTGCCTAACTTCCTGCATCTGGTAGGCTCTTTCCAGTGCCCATTCCGCATCTCCCAAAACAGCCAGGTTTGCATACATCAGGTCTGATAAGCCATTTAGGTCGGGCAAGCCCTCAACGAGCTCTTTGATATTCAAAGCGCGATCTCTCTCTTCCTCTGACAGGTTGAACAAGTTCGGGTCAAGCTCTAGGAGCTGTTCTTTCCCGAGGACATTCTGTGTCGTTCCTGTTGCTTCATTCGTTTGACATTCCGCTATCTTTGCATCCGCTGCTGCCCCTGCTTCCGCCTTGGCATCGGCTACTGATGTTGCGCTCTGTTTCGTATCCTCCAAATTGGTGGAAGACATGATTGCCCGATCTCTTTGTACGGCTTCTGGGTCTTTGGAGTTGTATTGCGAAAGCTATTGCGGGTGAAACCTCATGCAACAACGGCAAACTGCAATGGCGCAACGACGGTGTGGGACAGCTCTTCTACCAGTACCGGTTACTAGTACCGGTATCCAGTGTCTGGGCCCTCGCGTTCTCTGAATGTCTTATCAGAACAGCTGTTATGTCTTCCGTGCTTACTGTACCGGTACGCCTGTTGTTACTATAAGCAGTCGTTGGAAGCACACAAGCACAGCCGATAGCATCATACTCCAGAGTAGTAATTAAATCGGTGTTTCTTCGGCCCTCGTCCACCTTCCAACTTTCAACACCTGGACGAGAGAGATAATATATCATTTTGGATTATTCCAACAAATCGCGACCAGATGATGTCGCCACTGGTTGCAAGTGATGAGAGCTGCTTTACACGGAGAGCTAGCTACTGTTATGTCGGAGGTTCGTCCAGGAATGCTTCTTCTATGGTGGATAACTGGCTAACTAGCTAGTCACCCGCTAGTAGCCAGTCAATCTCAAAAGTATACTAGTGGTACGGCACGTAGGGAGAGCTTTCCTTTCGAGGCTCATGGCTGAGGCAGCCCATGCAACCAAGTCCCAGAGGACAGAGGAGATCCCAAGAAATGCGGAGTTTCGACGTGATCACCTGCGGTCTGAAGAGGTACGCAAGCTCAGGAGAGTGAAAGATACATGTACCGGTATCTCTGGCTAGATAGCTAGCTACGCTTAGTAACTGCAAAAGACTCGTCACTCGGGTGGAAACACTGGCGGATATCCGGAGAATGGGGACCCGAGCCGTGACATGGCTACTTTGCAGCGAAAAAAAGGGTATTGTAAGGTGCCGTACATGTACCACAACGCACCTGGACAGTACGATGTAGCAGTAACAGGTTAATAGGTTATTATGATACTGTAGCGGATGTTGCCTTGGGTGCGAAAGCCATGTTGGCGCTCCCACACACCAGCCAGTCGAGGTGCACCAGACGTCAGTTGAGCTTTAACATTTTGAGAGAAAAGATTTAGAAAAGCATGACTCAGTTTGCTAGTAACACACAACGCAAGAGCTGTGTCAAAGACCACGCTGTATGTACCGTACCTACTAGTACCTGTCCCGCACCGAGCTCGCACACAAACACCCAAGCGTTGTATTGCTAAGTGCCCTTCAGCAGAGCATCGCATTGCTGTTGTTCAGGGTGGGAAGCATCAATTGCGCAGCGAGGCCATAAAAGAGAGGGTGTGATAGGTGTAGGTTTTTGTTGTCTGAACATTCGAATCAATCTCCTGTAGTCCACGAAAAACCAAACGACGAACGTTATGGTTGTCACCAAGGACAAGGAGATGGTGGCAAAGCATCTTCGTCGCGATCAGACACCCATGAAAAAGCTGAAGGCAGAAGCGAGACAGCCGTATCAAGTGTCTCTGTCCATTTGGTTTGCGGCGGTTCTATTGTTGGCGTCCACCGCGATTTCCTTTCATGTGGGTGCCCATGCGAGACAGCGTATTCTGCAGCAAACCTCAGGTCAAAGTGTTCCCAAGTGGTTGTCCCCGTTGATCCTCACGGCAACTGAAACTACTACTACGAGTACTACAATTGCTACCGCCGAGGTTCCATCATGGGTGCGCTGTGACAACAAATCTGATAAAGACGACCCACTTTGTGTCGTTCATCAGGAGGCAGGAGCCAACGTTGACGACAGCGACAGCGATGAAGACGAGGAGGAGGAAGAAGATTCCAATGGTCCACATGACCACAAATTCGTTGGGCAACAGCTTCTGATGATCTTGGATCAAATACAAGACGAGCTCGTTCCGTCATTGCTACAACACACAGCAGCGAAAGGTTGGATCCTCGAGTCGCACTATTTACAACGTCGAGAAGACGAATCGTTGGTTTCTGCCATATTCCTCTTTGACGATGCACATCGCATTGCCATCAATACCGTCACGAGCACGTTGGATATTTATTCCACAGACGACGAGATTCTCTTGGATTGGATCGACTTCTTGTCATCGCCACAAGTCAGTGCGGATGCCGAGTATTGGACGTACCGACCACGGGGAGCACCCTATGATCCCACCGTTGTGGATGCCGGACTAACCGATCTCTATAAAGGCATGCTGGGAAACTCGCGATACACCCTCAAACGACTTGTGGCGCGACATGAATCGCCCTTTCAGGAGGTGGCCATTTACGATACCATTGATCCGACGCTTCTCGATTATTCGTCGTACCAAGCAGCCACAAGCACGACTAGTAATAGTAACTACTACACGGACCATGCACACATGTTCCAACCTGATCGGCAAATGTTCTTGGATGGGGTGGTACAGTCACGCAGGCGGGGGGAGAAGAGCTACCACGAAGCCTTGGTACATCCACCCATGATGATGCATCCCAATCCACAACGAGTGGCCATTATCGGAGCCGGCGAAGGAGCCACGCTGCGGGAAGTACTCAAACATACCTCTTTAAAGCAAGTTGTCATGATTGAAATTGATCAACAAGTCATGGACTTGTCCCGACGGCATTTGGGACAATGGAACGACTGCAGCGATTTGATACTGCCAAAGGGAATGGTCAATCCAACGGGAAACTGCTTTGACGACCCTCGTGCCGTCGTGTATGCAGAAGACGCCATTCGATGGTTCATGGACCGGTATCCAGAAAATGATAATGGAACAAAAAACAGCGAGGAACTCTTTGATGTCATTATCATGGACGCTTTGGACCCAGGTGACAATGTAGAGTTCTCGGATTTGCTCTTTGACAATACCGATCTGGTGGATACCTATTACCGTGCCTTGTCGCCACAGGGTGTCTTTCAATGCCAGATGGGAGAACAACAGCACATGGATGACTGCAACCCAATGTGGACTCGTGATCGACATGCCCTCTTGTTCTTGCATAATCTGGGCAAGGCGGGCTTTCATCGTTTGAAGGATTACCAAGAACCAAGTACGCGATTTGATGGTGTCTGGAGTTTTCTGCTGGCTTCCAAGGCCACCGATTCTTCTCGATGGTATGCCAATCAGGCAGAGATTGACTTGGAACTGCAACAGCGGGCCATGCCCACAAAGAGTGGAGCATGGCCTTTTCACTACTTCGATGGGTCTACGATGATGACTTACCAAGCCACGTCTCGTGCTGTAGCCAAAATCGGGTGTCTCACCACGCCAGATTCGCCAGCCTGTTTGAGAGGTCCTGGTCTGTTTAAGGGGATCAATGCACCTGTATCATCATCAGAGTCAGCCAAGTGGACAACAACGAACAATGGTCAAGTAGTTGCAACGACAGATATTCCGGCCGGAACCTTGCTGGGACTGGAAGAGTGTGTACAGCATACGTGGGACATTCCTCACAACTCAAACAACTTGATTGATTCGTTTGCATCTCTCAATGACTCATCATCCACACTGTGGAAATCTTGGCATCTTCTGACATCACGATATGGGATGGCGGCTCCCCTTGTGGGAGAAAAGGCCATGCTCTTGGACATGGGCATAGATGTTTGGCAACGCCAATGTTTTGAGGCCGAAACACTGCTGGAATCCCTGGAGCCAGGTGTTCTGGACCCCATGTTGGAGCGCTTCTGGCGAATCCAAAGCTGTGCCGCCAAGCGGCGCATTCAGGAAGATGTCGCTGCTGGCACCAACATGGTGTTTCCAACGCAAGAGGCTGAATAGACAATACAGTTCATAATTCATGTTCATCTATCTACATGCATACCGGTAACTGCTAGTTCCAGTACTAGCCCGGTAAGCACTAACGAATGTCGTTTATATGGTTTTGGCCAACGAGAAGGGAGGAACCAGATGTAGGGACGTAAAAAATATCCGTCTTCAACTTAGCACAAGAGCGTCTGTGGTATGGAGTCGTTGGATCCAAGCTTGTTTGCAGCACGTGGATTCGTTCGAGTAGCTGTGTAGTGTAGCAAACGTACTGGCGGTGGATCTGTGATATGCCCTCAATCGAGGACGGCACTCTGGTGTAATACGGTAGCTGGGTGGGGTTGTCCTGTAGATTGTTCGTTCCTGGACGTCCTGTAGCTTTGAGATGCTCCCGGACCTGCACTGGGCATCTCGTACCTACTGAAGATCCGTTGGTGATGTTGCGCGTGTGAATACTGTCTCGATGTATCGATGGTGATGGTGATGGTGATGGTGATGGTGCGAGTGGGAGTCGACTCGAGTGACGAGTCTTTGGATGCCTAGAAAGATGAAGAGATGAGGCTCGGAATATGAGGTCTACCGTACTGGTACCGGTACCGGTACCGGCACCAGCTGTCCCGTGCAATCCCCACCGGTATCGATACCGGTAGCTGGCTAGCTACGGGTAGCTAGAGATCCAAGGAACTTGAATCTATTCTGCCTTGCTAAAGCCGCTCATTTCTGTTTCTGATATGCAAATAAATGCAAGCCCTTTGGCTCTTGTGTTGCTCCCCAGTTTGTTGGCCTGATCCTGCCAAGCCTTATGGCACAGTAATGGAACTGTCTAGCTAGACACCGACATGGTGTCTCACAGTTGAGCTGGCTTCAACCTCGTTCTGCCCGTGAAACGCCACAAACAAGATCGGCTGGTCCCCCCAAAGGAACAACAACAACATCCAAGGTACCCACGCACCACGCAACAAACCACCACCATTGCTCTGCCCAGCTTAGCCCCCCTCGCTCCTTAAACCTATCTATTTTTTAGTATTTATTTGTCACAACATCCAAGGTGGAGCATGCATTGAAGCAAACGCCACCTCAAGGAGCATCCCTACTAGGTACTACCGTACTACATTGCAACGATGAGCAGCGTCTATGCTACCGAACCTGCCACTGCAGGCCGTGTGATATTTGAAACGACCGACGGTCCTTTGGAAATCTTTCTGTGGTGTCGAGAATGCCCCCAAACGACTCGGTTCTTTTTGCAGCTGTGTCTGGACGGCTTTTACCAGGACATGATGTTTCATCGGATCGTAGGAAACTTTTTGATTCAAACTGGAGCACTGCGGCATGAATCCTCTCCTGTTGAAAAGTCCTTTTCCATGAGCAATCCAGAAGCTGCTGGATATCGACAAGCCGTTGGAGCTTCCGAAGCAATGGAGCGACGATCCTACGAAGTCAATTCTCGTATCAAATTCAATCATCGTGGACAAGTGGCCATGGCGCTGGGGGTCGATGACTCGTCCAAGGGCGCCGAAGACTTGCAACCCCAGTTTTTTATCATTTTGGAAGATGCGCCCTACTTGGACAGTAAACATGTTGTCTTTGGCACCATTAGTGGCCCCACCATTTTCAATGCAATGAGAATAGGGAGACAAGAGACGGACGAAACCACTAATCAACCAGTGGATCTCCAAAATGCCACTCGTATTCAAGCCGTCAAGATTTTGGAAAATCCAATTCACCAGGATTTGGTACCACAACCATCCGTTCCCTGGAGAATCCGAAAAACAGCTGATGAAGCAACCAAACCTAAAAAGAAGAAGAAAAAGCGCAAGGGAAAGTTTGACACTAATGTGCTCTCCTTTGGGGCGGAACTGGACGAAGAAGGGGGTGGAGGAATGCCAGCCAGCAAAGCAACAAAAGGGATGCAGAGCAGTCATGATGTTGTGGAGAGCAAGGTGCTGGGGAAACACGTAGACGACAAAGTCAAGAATAGGGTACTCAAGGATGAGGAGGAGTCCATAGAAGCAGTAGCAGACACTGACAACAAAACTCCCAAAAAGAAGCAAACGGTCGAAGCTGGTGATGGTGATGATGTGCCAACAGTTCCCGCTGCGCACAATGACACAGTGGAAGAACCATCCATGAAATTCTCGCCGCGAAAAAACCGGCAAAAGGATACGTCAGATGACACTGGGGAGCTAAAAGGGGAGGATACGGAAAAAGATGGCACTAAACACAAAAAGCACAAGGAGGTGTCGTCAAAGCCCAAGGTGAGCTTGGTAGAAGCACGCCGTCTCAAATATTCCAAGGGCAAGAAAAGTAAAAAGGACAGAGAAGAAGAAACCCTCTCCAAGCTCACGTCCTTTCGGTCGACGGTGCAGCAAAAAGTTGAAGAACGCAAGTCATCGCACAGCAACGGTGGTGGAGGAGAGCAGCAGCAGCAGCAAGACAATTCGTTGGCAGCCCGCATGGCTCGTCGGGCCCAAAAGGCCAATGACAAACAGGATAATCGTCGTGCGAATGACACTGCTGCAGAAGCCCCAACTTACCACGGTCAGGTTCTCGATGATAGTGATGATGAAGAAAAAGGTGGCAACAGTCAACGTGCGTGGCTTGGTACAGCCTTTAAATGTCGAAGGCAGAATCATGATTCTCTGGGCGGTGATGGACGAGATGCCGATGACTATGAAGTCGTAGATGCGAAACGCGGTAAGCACAAGAGCCGCTCTCACCACCGAGATGATAAGAAGCACAAACGCAAGCATAAGCACTAATCGACAAACCACTGAAACCATGTCTTTGTGTTGGCTACTTTCGAAGTCACGTTAGCGCCTGTCCTGTGGATATTACCACCAGCTTGCAATAGTTGTTCCTGGTGTCTCGTCCAAGAGTTATGTCCCGCTCTGCGATCATTATCAGTGAGTCACAGTGTATTCAGGCTCCAAATGCGCTCTTCCCGTGAGAGCTGTGCTAGCTAGTACTCTTAGTTTTTGCCTCTGAATGATTGAGATCATCATTCGATTCGATTCGATTCGATTTGATTCAATCTGTTCAGGAGACGAATTCTCTCTTCCTGCTTGTCAAAGCAAAATCTTTTCAGACACGACGGGTGATCTTCCTGATGAACGGCGAAATGGTCAAGCTTGGCAGCCTAGGCAACGGTGGCAACTACTAGTAGAAGAAGCTGGCTAGTGTGTTTGCGGGCTGTATTATCATATTCTACAGTTTATTAGCGCTGCTCAAGAATGTCATAACAAACTGGGCTAGCTAGCACGGCACGTTGCACAACCACCACCACATTATAACATCATTTCCTCGCTTCGGATGAGCAATCTCAAATGCCATCACTTTCCACCTTCCGCTTCTTCATTGGTATGCATCTTTTTGTCCGCCATGGAGTCATCCATCGAACTAACTGTGCCACCCTGAGGACCCGTGTCTTTGTCACGTCTATCTTTGCGGCTATGGTCGCGTTTGTGCCTTTTTCGGCTGGACGAACTCTTTCGCTCCGACGGACTCGAACTGGGCGAGCGATGGTGGTGATGGTGTCGCTTTTTCCGGCGCTTGCTTCGTCGCGACCGGGTTCGACGATGCTCACGACTATCGTCCGAATAGGCTGGACTTTCGCTGCGGTGGCGATGACTCCTCGTTCGAGGTCGGTCGTCCCTCTCTCGGTAAGAGTAGGAGTCGTCGTCATCGCCTCGCTTGGAATCTTCGTCCATGCTATCATCTTTGTGTCGCTTACTTCCGCGCTTTCGACTGTTCCTTCGCTCTCGATAGGAATCAATGCTGGAGCTAGGACTGCGACGACGGCGGCGCCTATCGGAACTGGAGTCTCTGTCCCTCTCACGGCGACTACTACGATGATCTCGGTCACGTTCACGATGGTCCTCTCGATCGGACCTCCTGGACTTTTTGTGGTGGCGAGGCGACGAGCGAGTGGCAACAGCGGAAGGAACATCTGGCTTATTGTTTCTTCCGTCCATCATTGGGTGGTGAGGGGCATGATGGTGGTGTGGATGGTGTGGGGGTGGATGGTTGCTGTTGGGTCCATCCTTGTGTGGCCCAGGTCCTTTCTTGGGATTATTGTTGCCATTGTTACTATTGCCCGACATGCTGTTCTTGCGTTCCAAGTCTGGTTTGTTGCCAACTTTGCCATCAGGGTTGCCGCGAAGGGACGGTGATCTGGAGCGTGATCCATGGCGTCCATATCTGCCACCGCTTCGACTATCTCCCTCGCCATGATGATGATAGTAATCGTCTCTGCGTCGATCACGTCCTCCTCCATCACGAGGCCACCTCCCAGGAGAAGAGGATCGCCGTCCACCAACTCGACGTCTGGAAGACCGTTCATCAAGAGGACTGCGACTTCTGGATCGTCGTCTGCGCCCTCGAGGACTCCTGGATCGTCGTCGTCGATCATCAAATGGCGGCGGCGGGGGAGGCGGAACCGGTGGCTGAAGATTTGTGTTGTTGCCAGTGTTATTGTTGTTGCCATTGTTGTTGCTGTTATTATTGTTGTTGTTGTTGTTGTTGTTGTAATAGTCATCATCATCTGAGCCTGATCTTCGATGTCTTCCTCCTCCACCACCACCACCTCCTCCTCGATTGGAGCGATGATTCATGACATCGTCTTCTTTGCGTCGACCATCGGGTCCTCCCCGGCGACTGTTGCGGGTATGTCGTCCTCTATCTCCCGGCATTGGGCGGTCGTCGTAGCGACCACCACTTCCATAGTAGTGGTCTCGATCATCGACAAAGAACCCATGCGGCGGAGGAGGACCGTGTCCATGTCCAGGACCTGGTCCATGCGGGTGATTTGGCCCTGGGCCATGATGTGGCCCATGAGGAGGAGGTGGGCCCATGGGACCCATTCGTTGCGGAGGAGGGCCATGTCCGTGTCCATGCATTGCGTGAGGTGGCGGTGGTCCGTGACCTGGAGGAGGTCCGTATCCATAGTTGTGGTGTGGTGGTGGCGGCCCTCTTGGCCCGTGAAAACCAGGTCCTCTGTCTCCATCACCTCCCCTTCCATAGTAATCCATCCCCCCACGATCCATTCCAAAGGGAGGTGGTGGATGTGGGTGATTGGGTCCGTGAGGTGGAGGTCCATGTGGTGGTCCATGTCCAGGAGGAGGTCCCTGCATGGGGAAATCCCTTTGATCTTTTTCTCGTTGCCATCTTTGCTGATCTCGTTTGCTTTTTTTGTTTTGCTTTTTCCGAGCAGCTGCTGCATCCTTTTTGTTTTGTCGGGCCTGATTGACTACCGTGTTGAAGGACCGCTGAGTAGCCAGCAGACACCCTTGGTAGAACATGGCTTCAATGCCCTTATCTACTACAGATTTGTGCTCCGCAGGAAGGTTGTTGTACCAGGTTTCTGCGGCAGATTCCTCAGGGGTATCTTTGGAAACTAGAGGAGCTGCAGTGGTAGCCTCCTGTTTTTCGTTGCTGGCCTTTTTGGAAGATGAATCATTCTCGGCTGCGTCCCCCGTCTTGGAAGGCCCCGCTTCCTTAAACAGAAGCGCCATGTCCATGGGAGGATCTTCCAAGGGGTTTTTGGTAGCGCTACTGGAAGTCTTGGGGGTAGCAGCCTTTTTCTCGTTTGGGGTGGAAGATGATTCCTGCTTTGCAGCTAAGGAGAGGGGAGCTGAGGAAGAAGAGCCATTCTCTTTGCCCTTGTTGGGAGTAGCAGCAGTAGTAGTAGTAGTAGTGGTGGTTTTAGGGTCATCTTTGGAAGGGGTAGCCGTCGATTTGGTGCCCTTTTGGTCGGTAGCCATGATGAGAAAACCTGTGTGAAAGATTTTGGTGGCTGTGCCAGAACCAGACACACTGGCACGTGCAGCCCGCACGTAGAAGCTAGTACTTGCCGTCTGTCCGTCTGTCTCCGGGGACACTCAAATTGCAGTACTGAACACACGGAAGCAACACGTAGGAAGGAAAACCTGCCTCCAACATGGGCAAACGAAAGATCTTTCAACTCTCTTCCTTCCTGTTGTTGTTGGTATGGTCAATGGCCTTTCTGCAAGAGGTGAATGGTGGTTAACAGCGCTGCGGCAGTCTGAGTGGAGGGAGTGGTCTTGAGCCAGGAGAAATGCGACAGCAACAAGCAGCAGAAAGAGGAGATCGTTCAGGCGCCCTCGAAGCGGTCCCAAAGCAGCGGCGATGACCCAGCAATCGACCGGATCGTCTTTGTCGATGGAAGCTCAGCGTGGTACCGAAGCGAGCGACAAGTCAGCAGCTCCAAGGTGCGTGAGAACCACTCGGTTTTCCTGCAAAACACTTGTCGCGCGAATGCGCGATGCAGATACCCCAAGCTTGTGTCTGCTTTGGGTGGGGGTGTTGGGGTAATGTTGTACCGGTACCGCCATTTCTTCGTTCAATGCAGCCGAACGTACTGGTACAGTACATGTAGTGCGTACCATAATAGCTAGCTAGCTAGTCTACTAGTACATGTAGTAGTAGCGGTTGAGCAAGCATGATACTCTGCAGTGGCTCTCTCCAAAGTTTCTGGGTGCGAACGATAGCCAAGTTACATCCGGTGTTCAGTTTACGGACAGCTTGCAGTAATACCCCTGATCTTCTAGTACCTTTTCCTCTTTGAGAGTGACTGGCTGTTGGCAGCTCTCGTTTGCACCCCGCCCCCGCCCAGTCCTCCAGGCAACTGCAAGGCAAAGTACTACGGTACTGTAGTACATTCAACATAGCAAAAGGTCTACAATCGAGCTCATAAAACGCGCATCCTTTCGGATGTGCAGTGCTAGCTAGCTATGCATAGGCCTACCTACTAGTGGACCCACTGATACGGTACATCAAATGCTCTGCGTGATAGTACTTCCATCCAGCGTTTCCTGGCTACAGCCACACGTTCTCTTGTAGCCTGCTCAAACGATGTGACAACGCCAGATTTTGATGCTGTCTACCATCTACATGGTATGTGAGGAAATTGCTTCACATCCTCAAGCAGCCATGGACGAATCTTGCCTCTTATTATGCATACATTTCCTAGCTTCACAGCAGCGAAGCCAAGGAGGCTCGATGACTACAAGGCAGCTAGCTAGATTAACAACACCGGGGCTAGCAAAGTGCTCTAGCGCTGGGCCTGTTAGCCTGCTCGTACACGACTTCTTTGCAGCGCTTTTCACACCTCTAATGCGCACTATTTGAATACAGCCAGTACAGTAGGATGCCAATGTAACCAAGCATTAAATTACATCGATCAAGAGATCTATGAACAAGGTCGACTAGCGGCGTCGTCGTCTTTGCTTAAAGGTGAGGGGGGACAATGTCAACTCCCAACTTCTCGTGGACCATGATTCCAAGGATTCCCATTTGGGCGGCACGGCCTTGGTTCAATTCAATGGTTCGCTTCTGGAGCTTGGTCTCCTCATCAAACTTGTCCCATCCAAAGTCAATGAATCCATTGCGGAAGTCACCTGGGAATTCACCGACACCGACATCCTTCATGAATCCATACTCAAGAGCAAAGATGAAGCCAACAATTTGGTAGAGACCAACAGCTGGGATGGCACCAAGGGCATCGAAACCACCTGGGATGTCAGCAAAGGTGGTTCCATCGTAGCTGATTTGGCCAGGAAGACGAACACCAGCCTCGGTGAACAAGTACCCAACAACGGCAAGCATGGAGATACGTCCATGCTTGATCTCGACGTAACGAAGACGGTCGAACTTTTCTTGGTCTCCATCAGCGACAAGGCCAAGGGGATCGTAGAAGCCAAGAGGAGCAGTGGCTCCAAGGGCATCCTCGAACGCATTCAAGGCGGTGCTGCGGGCACCCTCCTTGGCAGGAGCGAAAGCAGCGGCAGTGGCGATAAGGGAAGCAAGGATAGCGGTCTTCATGGTGGAAATTAGGTCTCTGGCAAAATTGTGAACGATGCATACATTCGATTTGCCTCTTTTGGTTCCTTCTTGGCAAGTTGAGGTCGAAGAATGGAAGATACGCTTCTCCACCTTCAACCAACAACTGAAAGACGAATCGAATTCAGTCCCGATTTAAATCATGACGTCACATATTTAGAGAGAGGGCTAAGATCCGCGCCAAAAGGGGCCGCCAAAAGAGTCCGCTCAAAGCCGGCCACACCTCGGCAGGCGACATTTCGAGTGGCCAAAATTTCAAATACTTTTCTGATTTCGAAATACCACCCTCAAATCCGCCTCTCACAATTCTCTCATAATCCGATCTCGGCAAAGTTGAAACTACCTTCGTCTTCATCTTCATCTTTATCTCTACCTATTTCGTTCACCATGGCTCGCACCAAGCAAACCGCCCGTAAGTCCACCGGAGGAAGGGCTCCACGCATGGAACTGCGAACTATAGCTGCTCGAGAGCGTGCCCCTCGGCAGGGAGGTGTCCGGAAGCCCCACCGTTACCGCCCTGGTACTGTTGCTATCCGTCAGATTCGTCGATACCAGAAGAGTACTGATTTGTTGCTCCGCAAGCTTCCCTTCCAACGCCTTGTTCGTGAGATTTCCCAAGATTTCAAGGCCCACGTCCGGTGAGTACCATGTCTTGTTGGGTTGGAAGAGATTGGAAATGATTGCCACCATGGCACAATCAGCGAACTCACATCACACCTTCTCCTTGTTCATTCTTGCAGGTTCCAAGGCACGGCACTCCTTGCTCTTCAGGAGGCATCGGAAGCCTACTTGGTTGGATTGTTCGAGGATACGAATCTTTGTGCTATTCACGCCAAGCGCGTGACAATCATGCCTAAAGATATTCAGTTGGCTCGTCGCATCCGGGGTGAACGCGCTTAGACCTCCTCAAGACTTTGGAGAACGAACGATTTTGGATGATTGATGTTGCTTGGGAGACGACAACAAGGCTGTCTATTTGGATTTTGACTTTGACAGCACACACCAAGAGTCTCAGGTTGGGGCACTTCTCATGTTGGGGGCCATCACCATCGCCATCGCCGGGAAACCATTTGTGCAATGGCTACACTAGCCATTCTGTAGTTTGAAATATTAGATCCCTCATTGAAACAAAAATATCTTTCTCACTTGTAGCTGTTTTAGCATGTAGATGCCCCAACGAACTCGTTAGAGTAGTAAACTTCATTAGCCTTCTCTTTAAAACTTGCAATTTATTTTGGTAGTCGATCCCTAATTGAATACCGGTATCATATCCGTCTTTCTTCTCTGCATGCCGCCAGCCACCCAGTAGTGGTACCGGTACGTACGTGATCTAAAGGATTAAAGATGAGCTGATGATCAGCATGATAAGCCGCAGACAAAGCTATCGCTAACACTGAATTAGTCAACCTTTTTCCCGCATCGCCATCGCCATCTGCAGATCTGATCTGACAGGCTGGACGAATCCTTGAGCTTCATCCAAGTAAGTGTAGTGCGGCGAGCATGGCGAAACGACCAAGAAGGCCCCACAGCGCGACAAAAGAACTAGATGAATGGATACCTAGCCAGCATAACCGAACCGTTCAACAGTAAACAGGTTTTTCTCTTTGGTGCTGAGAGGGGGAGACAAGGAAAACCTAGCGGTTGCCGAACGGAGAACGGAGCAGAGCCTAATAGTCCCGGTACCGCGGCAGTCCAGAGCTTTCTTTGTTTGTGGTTGATACTGTCTCTGATCCAACGATCCTCCATGAAGACGACGGGGTCTTTGGTATCTTGTCGTAAGTGTTGTCTGATAGAAACAGTACCAGTACGGGAGGAGATGGGGAGCTGGCCCCATGCTGGTACCTGCAGCACGTGTTCGAATGTCAACCAGCCAAGCCGGTTTGATTGATTGATCATTCAATTCGAGCGGATCGAAGATCACTCGATTGAGAATTCGGATTGAGTCAGTCGAGTCCCCCGGCACCAAGTTTGGATTTCATTGAACATATCTTCAAGCCTCAAGGTCGGAAGAGAAAAACGTTGGAAGCGAGGAAGGGCGGACCACGATGATTGCTTGAGTGCATCGTCCCACAACATTCCTTGAAGTCACTTATTCTCTTGTCACAAGTTTCCACCATGAAGACCGCTATCATCGCATCCCTTATCGCCTCTGCTGCTGCCTTTGCTCCAGCAAAGAACGCCGCCAAGACTTCGGTCGCCACTAGCATGGCCTTCGAAGACGAACTTGGTGCACAGGCTCCCCTTGGATTCTTCGACCCCCTTGGACTTGTTGAGGATGGTGATGAAGAGAAGTTTGCCCGACTCCGATACACTGAAATCAAGCACGGACGCATCTGTATGCTTGGTGTTGTCGGATACTTGGTTTCTGAGAATGGAATCCGTCTTCCATGGGACCTCGACTACTCCGGAAAGACCTTCTCTGATGTTGGTGCCGGATTTGATGTCTTCAAGGACATCTCCAGTGCTGGAATCCTGCAGGTTGTTGGATTCATTGGATTCCTTGAATTGTCTGTGATGAAGGACATCCCAGGAACTGGAAACGAGCACATTGGTGATTTCCGCAATGGATTCATTGACTTCGGCTGGGACAACTTTGATGAGGAGACCAAGCTTGCGAAGCGTGCCATTGAACTGAACCAAGGCCGTGCTGCACAGATGGGTCTCCTTGGACTCATGGTCCACGAAAAGCTTGGTGTTAGCCTTCTTCCCGAGGGATCTGTTCATTAAATTGGCTGATCGAATCATTGAAGCCATGGATCGTGTGTGGCAAAGTGCTTGTCAAACGGTGATTTTATGGTGTTTCGTGGCCTGATCTCATATAGACAGTCTTCATAATCTACTAGCTAAGCAATGAGTTTCTGCCGCATTTAGATCGACTATTGTTGGGCACTGGAGCGTATAATTTTGTATTCGTGCTTTTTGAAAGAGTGACTGCACTGTTATTATTTACTGATGCGGTGCTTGTTGGCCATCGGCGAATGCTGACCGATTCCAGGTCCAAGCACACCGGGTATCGAACAATTGCTGCTAAGTACCTGGTCCTCTGTTTGCAATGCTGCGAGCCACCTCGGTCGTACCGGTATGCCAGACGGAAGGAACCTCTTGTGCTGCACTCCTTTTGGAAGAGGTGTCTTTGTGGAAGAAAAAATCAAGACTTTGGAAGAGGTGTCTTCGTGGAAGCAGCGTGTAGCTTCCTAAGTTTTCTATTATTAGAAGGCGTAGACCCCAGGAAGTCATCCACTGCCTCCCAGCCTTCTTTACCCTTCGAGGGTCGCTCGTGGGAGCCGGCCACCAGTGCATCTCTCTACTAGTACTACATAAGTTTGCTGAAGCCACCTCTCCATTGCTTTACGAAGGTGGTTAGTGGTCAAACCCGGGAACTACTGCTGTGTGGATTCGATTCAAGCCGCCCATCTGCCTGCACTGCATAGCTCTTTTGCTTCATGAAAGCCTTGATTGTGCAATCCCTGAGAAGTCCACCAGACCAGTCTGGCTATACACCTGCTCATCAGCACTACAAAGTTGTATGTGTGCTTCTTTCCACTTGAGAGCTGCTTGCATTGCTAGTACTGAATTTGCAAGGGCTTCTTTCTCTCGGCCCAGAACAGGTTGTTCTGGCCATGGATACCGCGTGAGCCATGGAAGTCGTCTCCAGGACATCGGCAATGTGGTCAGCTGGCTGTGTCATCTGGAACAGTCCTGTTGTGGGATCAATCACAGTAAGACAATGGATCGTAAGCTCCTCCGCGCGAGGTTGGGATTGTTTTGTTTGCCTTGTTCCTCTGATTGCAGCTTGTGCAGTCTTCGGTTTTCGAGATCCTCTACCTCCCACTAGTACCGGTATCGTGGGGGCTTATGGTCTGTATACGGGAGCCTTTCCCAAGCTCCAATCTCGGCCTTCTTGTGGACAATATATCCAACATGCTTCTGCAGAGCTTCTTGGTCAGTTTGCGTGTTGGACAAGCACTGCAGATCTTCTTAATTAACAGTGTTGCCATGCCTGTCCAACCATTATGTTGGGCAAGTGATCCCAGTCCGAGGACAGCACAGGATGGGACTTAACCTCCAAGTAGGAAACTCCATGCAGAACTCGAAGTCCAACACCATTTTGTGCTCGGACAGGATCGAATCTTGTGTTCCTCCTAAGTACAGGCTAGGCATTGGTTCAGGACTGTGGTTTTTCCTCAATCAGCAACAACGGAGGACATACACTTGGATCTCCCATATCCCATGGCGACACTATTAATCAATGCAATGCAGTTCGAACTTTCTGCCCGAAGACGATGCTGCTACCGTCGGACGAGAATGTCACCAATTTTGTGTAGTGGTTTCCCAAGGCACCAGACTTTGGAATTGAATTATTCTAGTGATTTTACCATCAAAAAAGTGGACAACGGATTGCATCAGCAGCGTGAGGCATATCATTTCTTTGGGTGGCGTGAAAAATATCTACCTGATTAGCCCCGCTTCGGCCGGTTCGAACGCTTCGATCTTCTCCACATCTTGCCCACAAAGAAGCTGGCACTTGTGCTCTTTCAACATTGTCTTGAGGCTTTAGTCGTCGAACAGGCACGGTAGCTACTCTTCAATGCAGCCCCGTTGCTGCAGTTTGTTTACCAATTCGAGAGTAATCTTTCTGGATAGTCTTGAGCTTTCCGATAGTAGTTCTTAGTACCTGGTATGCACTGCGTACATGTACAAGACCTTCAGTTCGCTCTACGTCTCAGCAAGTGGCTGAAAATCATGGTCGTCTTGCAATCCGGAGATCCAACTGCCCTAGTTGGCAAGAATGCAGTGATCTTGGTAGCTTCTGGGTCGACGCCATTCTCTTCAGGATCCCCACCTCTCCAGTTAATTGATCCCATGAAATTGAGGTTGGCTCTCAAGGAAGATGTGGGCATGTCGTCTATTCTAAAGGAGAAGCTTGTCCACGGATCCAACTCAGGGCTTGGACACTGGGTTGGCTCCATTGAAAATGAGTTGGAGGAGAGTGGAAAGAGGAGGAAGTTGTGGCTGTGGAGAAGATATTTTGTTGTTGTTTTGAAGAAGAGAATAATGAACAGTAGCCATTCAATATTGATCATTGCAAGCATTCACGTTGTTGGCTTTTGCATCGGTAGCAGTGCTGTTGTTGTTGTTGTTGTTGTTGTTGTTGTTGTTGTCAGCTTGTTCGATCGCTTCGGTATGGTGTGGTATCCACGACACTCGCTGATGTTGTTGTTACAGTGGTGGTGGCGTCGCCCCATGTCCTGCCCCGAGGCGTCACTCTGTGGAAGCGATCATCATATCATCATGGCAGCACCGTGGAACCAGGTCAATCCATTGCCTCGCACTAGACTACAGTAGTAGTAGCCGATGTAGAGAGGAGTACGGTTGCGGCTGTTAAGGAGGTAACATCATCTTGATCGAGATAGCGCACGTGGAAGCGGTCATCAACCCAGAGAACGAACGAAGTGGAAAATTCTACTACCAGCTAGCTAGCTACTAGACTAAGAGAGTGTTGAGTACAGTGTTGAGCTATTTTTTTAACGCGAGACCTCCCTCCAAGAAAGCACGGACGGAGAAACCAATAGAGCTGTGTGGAAACATCTCGGTGCGTGCAGGAGTGTCGAGCATCATCGCAACAGCAGCAACAACAACAACAACAACAGAAATAAATATGCCATCATGCCAGCAGCAATAGATAATGCCATGGTGTCCAGCTTGAGACATGAGGAGCCTAAGAACAAGAAATGGATGAAGAAGCGGCGTTAGTCAAAGCACTTTATGGAACAACAAACGATTTCAGGTTGCGATTTCTCTGGCTACTCACCGCTCAAATCTGTCAACTTCATCCATACTTTCTTTGTTGTTGTTTTTTGGCTGCACGTTTTTTGGCTGCAGGTTTCTTGGGAGAGCGAAGCTTCTTCACCAACTCGTCTTTCCACTCCTGGATGTCCCCATGGTGTGGATGATTCTGCGCAGCTGTTTCCACTGCCCGGATGGCCCCTTTGTTCTTGAGGTCCGGGTGGAACCTCTGGGACTTGGAGATGTTGCAGAGCAGCTTGCAACCAGCATAGCACACGATGTCATCTTGTGGAAACGTGGCCATTGCCTCAACCACCAATTCGATTCCTGCCAGAATATCGACGAAACGCCCAGTGATAGTTACAATGGTTGGCTTTTGCTTGCTGCCAACCACAATGTTGAGGAGAACCCCGACGCCACGTCTGATGATTTTAAGTGAGTCGCAAAAGGTCAGCATGGCATTGACGGTTGCCTCGACTCCTCCCACTTGAGCAATGTTGATTGCGGCACTATTAATACCATCATCCTTGGATGTCAAATTTATCAAGCAACTCATTGAGGCAACCTGGATCGCTTCGTTATCTTGAAACCTGTACATGGCTCCCACTATCATGTTGGGTGCTCCCATTGCCATGGCAGCCTCCCTGTGCAGGTTCGTTTTCCGAGTAGTGACGGCCACCAAGTGCGACAAGCCACCAAGAGTCACCACAGGGTTGTTCGAGCCCAAATCTTCTCGGACAATCCTTGGAATCTCGCCCAAGATTGGCTTGTGTTTGCCCACAATATTGACTTGCGCTTTCTCTTGGACCAACGTCTTTCTGCTCTTGTTGGTGCGCGGGCGCTTGGAAGAAATCGAAGGAGTGGATCCATGGGCACGCTTGCGACCGGCGGCATTGGCTTGGGCCTGAAGTGTCAGACGACTCTGCTTGGCCGCAAGGACATGTTTCCGGAGGTTGTACCGCCTTGTGGACATCAAGGCAGGAATCCGCTCCTTCCGACTGGTCTCAGCCGAACGCGAACCGTTTTGGATGGTGTCTCGGATCATTTCAACCGCTTCCCCCGACAAGGCGAGACCTGCAGGAGCCTTCTTCAACTTGGAAGGAGGAGGGGCACTCGGCTGGGAAACGTCCGGCTGGGCAGCCGTGGCTGCCAATTTTGTCGTTGTTGCCGCAGCAGCGGAATTCTGCTTGGGAGCAGCTTGTGCCGTCTTCAGCTTGGGAACAGAAGCAGCCGGAGGCTGGGAAGGAGGGGGGCCCATGGCTTCTTGGGCGTCGGATTGATGTACTACCGCCATTTGTGCCTGTTGGTTGAGCAAGAAGAGAGAAGTGAGATTATATGTATGATGACAATTGAAGAGGCATACCGGAACAAGCTGTACAAGGGTACCTACCACTACGGCTGCTTTGGCTACTCCCGTGGCTGTTGCTGTTGCTGTCCGTGTCGCTGCCATTTCAGCTGTCGCTGGTGGTGCTGCCATTGCAGCACGAGCGGACTCCTCGTTTCGACTTGTATTGGCCAGACTCGAACCGTTTCGGACGGCGTCAACTTCATCCTGCTCGTTGGACGATGGAGCTTCGGTGGACGGTGGAGTTTTGTTGGTGGTGGGAGGATCAATAACACGGGTGGCAGCCGCAGTGGCACCAGCAGCTCCTTGGGCCGATACTACCGCCATTTGTGGCTACCGATCGAGCAAGAAGAGAGAAGTGAGATTGGATGCACAATGATGATTGAAGAGGCATACAAGCTGTGCAAGGGTACCTACCACTACAGCTTCGTTGGCTACTCCAGTGGCTGTTGCTGTCCATGTTGCTGCCGTTTCAGCTGCCGCTGGTGGTGCTGCAATGGCAGCACGAGCGGACTCCTCTTCCCGGCGTCTCTCGTCTGCAACAATCTGCTTGTTCTTCTTGAACCTCTTTTTGGACCACCATACGTTTTTAGCATCTTCTTCTGATACCCTTGGGACAATGTGGATTTTGGTTACCCAGGGTGCTTGGTCGGAATGAGGATCGTTCGACATGGTTGTTGCACCACTTGGTTTGTGCAGAAAGTGAACAGAGCGATGGAAGCGAAGGATTGGGAGGAATGTGGAGTACTATAGTAAACCAATGACGCGATTTTTGCCTCCGACTAATTTGTCAAGTTGTCAAGGCTCGTTCAGCTGACAGTAGCTAGCTAAAAAGGAGTGGCACATGTAGTTCTGATACAAATTCTAGCTCGTTCAAAATGTATTACAGTAGGTAGCTAGCTCCCGGTGCAGAATCACTGTTGCTACATGTAGCAATGAAGAATCTTTTATTCTGAGGGTGGAATTTTCCTGCAGCAGGGTGCGGAAATGGGACTTAAATCACCAATCTGCGCGAAACTAACGGCTAGTTTCAACTATGTTGAGTCGTTCGTGAAACTATCGAGTAATCACCAGTAGATTCTGCGTGAAACTAGCTTTTTGCCTGCGTGAAACTAGTACTTGTTTGAACCAAGTTTGCGTGAACTAACAGTTTCACGGCCAGTTTCACGCATAGTTTCACGTCGCCTGAAACAAATACAACCAATAGTTTCACGCAGCATCTTCTGCGTGAAACTGCTAGTTTCACGCAGGCTTAAGTCCCGTTTCCACTCCCTGAGGCGATAAATATACATCATGTGTTTTTAAAAAAAGGCAACCATAAGGATTGTTTCCTGAGGCGGTATCTGGGTTTTATTAAAATAAGGAACACGAAGCATGGATTACTAGTAGTGTAAACACTGATGGTTGAAGTGCCGCATGCACATTATTTGCTCGTACTAGTATGGATCCAATCTCGGCTATTAATAGCAACAAGTGTACCGTAGCTACAGTACCGTACCCGTACTGGAGGAGGCCGGTAGAGCGATGGAAGCAAGCGAATGATTGGGATTTTGGAGTAAACCAATGACGCGATTTTTGCCTCCGACTAATTTGTCAAGGAATAAGTGGAGTAGCTCGTTCCACTGACAGTAGCTAGCTAAAAAGGAGTGGCACATTGATACAACAAAATTCCAGCTCGTTCGGCTGCCAGTAGCCAGCTAGTGGCACATGAAGAGCTATATTCTCGCGCCGCGCCGGTTTGCCGAGGCTGTAAACCTGTGTTAATAAAGGACGTTAGGACCCAAGAGGAAAGGACTGCTCCGACACTGTTGTTAGTTAGGACATCTTTGTAGTCGAGTGTGGGTGCGGTGAAGCGAAAAATCTGGACGTTGGTTTTGAATAAGCTCACAAGCCACTCCTCCCCGCCCACATGCGTCTTACTCCATGCCGCTCGACGTCATCATCAGTACGACCTCGAGCTCCACTCTGATGATGATGACCGCCTCTTCGACCACTCCCATCAGGGCTGCTTCGAGGACGCGCATTTGTTAGTTTGTCACTCCGTCGTTCCATCTGATTATTGCCTCCACTGCCCCCTCCTCGGATTTGGCTGGGTGATGGATCTTGATTACGCAAATAGTTCCCTTGTATTAGACTTTCGTCGTCCAGCCCCTGTCGTTGTTTCGGAAGCTTGGCTTCCTGTGGCGGTGCATATTGCGGTTGTTGCCTGTCACAACAGTCGCAATCCGCCAGGACTTGTTGCACATGTTGCAATTCTGTATCCATGACATCCATATCTTCGTAGGCATCCTCCAATGCCCGTTGCAGATTGGTAGCGCGTTGTTTCCACTTGTCGCGCGCTTGTTGATAGTCTTCTGGCATGGGGCACTTGGGCACCATGGGATGTGTGAATCCGTAGTTGCCAATGATGATTTCTTCGCATTCGTCACTGTACCAGAATGTGACTTCTTGTCCCGGTATAAAGTCGCAGGAGGCAATGACATCAAACGTTTTTGTTTCTTGGTTGTACCGCCCTCGCGTACAGGGCGGTCCAAAATTGAGCAGGTCTGCGACCGGCGCGAGAAAGGAATGATACGACGTTTTGGGTTTGGATGGTGGCGGTTGTGGCTGTGCCATGGTGGTCGTGGTCGTGTTTTCGTCTAGTTCCCGTTGTGCTACCACCCATGCATCGGTGGGCATTTCGGCGGGTGGGACTCCATCAACACTTCCCTGTGGTTGCATCATCATGGGAGACGGGGCTGCTGGTGTGTCATTGTCATTGTCATTGTCATTGTCATCGTCCTCCAAGTCGGAAATGGGCAATAGCCAATGTCTCGAATTGACCATGGCAAATGCCCACTGAAAGTTTTCAAAGGAGAATGCCCATTCATTGTCATCGAGAACATCGTACTGTTGGTGGTGTTGGTGTTTGTTGTTGTTGTGAAGATTAGTGTTGTTGTTATGGTTGGGTCGCCCAAACAATTCTGGATGATGGAGTACGAGTGTATCGACCACGGCATGATACATGTCTTTCATTTCGCGTCGTATAGATCGTGCGACTGTTTGAATTCCCTTTTTGGTACGACTAGTAGTAGTAGTGCGTGAAGAAGGATGATGTTGGGCGTATTGCTTTTTTCGTTTTGGTTTGTCCCATAAAAAGGGCATGGATTCGACGTGTGATTTTTGGAGCATGTGAATGTAGGGATAGAGTGGACTGGACGTTCCTAGTTTGTAATGATGCAGTAACGCCATGGCGAGTAGAGGTAGTTCAAAAAAGTCAACCGTGTCTTGTGGTGTATCCGTAGTAGAATCTTCCTCAAGGTTGGTATTGCCAGTATTGTCTTGTTCGAGTGTCCATCCAAACGTTTTTCGTGCCTTGGGTCCCATGACTCGCCCGAGTACGGGATCCTGATCAATGGAGGTGGAAACGGTGAGCAGTGCTTGAAATGGAATGGAAATGATGATTTCTCCCTGTGTAATGTTTCGTGTGGCTCTTAGTCCTCTGACGGGGATCATGGGAGGATCGATCCATTCCGGTTGTGGATTACTCTTGGATGTTGTTGATGATGATGCCGTGGTATCTCTAGTAGAGTCAAAATTGTCGTCATCATCATCATTCTCATTGCCATTTTCGTCTTCGTCCGTGGTAGGATTCGTCATGATGGCAGTCATGTAATCGTAGTAGTAGAATGTGTGTATTTCCAGACTGGTTTGAATTCCGAGAACATTTTGACACCATTCCATGAATTGTAGATAGTCTTCTTGTTCTTTCTGATTGAAGATTCGTTCCCTTTGAAGGCGTTCGTTGGAATTGTGTTGCTGCTCGGCATGCAGTTGGAGTTCTTCTTCCATGGTGCGAGCATGCAAGGGAAGTTCCTTCTTTTTGGAGATTGTAGTTGTAGTAGTAGTAGTACTAGTAGTGTCCAATAGAAAAGACAGAGTCTCTTCGTCTTCTTGGTGCAAAGACGACGACGAATCAATCGCATCCGTATTCTTGGAATCCTCAGGAGGAGTGGCGTCTGAGTCGCCCGAGGCCAAGGCGACTCCCACAATGGCCAACACGGCAACAGCCGCTGTCACTGGACAATGTCTTCTTCTTCTTCTTCGTCTCTGTCTTGTGCATTTCTCAACTTCATGACGACGCTGTCTCGAATCATCAGAACGATCTGAACCCACAAAACCGTCTCGCCGTCGACGAATTCTCATTCCAACAACCTTCCAACGGCTCTCCATCTTGCTTGTCGTCTCTCTCATTCTCTCTCTTTCTCTCACGTACTCACAATCAACGACAACCGAGATGGCTAGCTCGTAGTGAGGATGGGCACGACTCTAGCTAGCTGGAGCTTTTCCTCCCTCTCTTGCTTGTCGTGTCTTCTAGCTGGCTGTTCCACAATCGGGACGAGGGCGTGTGGGAAGTGAGAAATGAACCTTCGAAAAAACGGCGAAGGTGAAAGATTCGTTCTATAATTGTTTTCGATAAAAAGACTTAAGGGCCAAACGTTGCAAAGTTGCAAACAGCTCTGCAGGATCATTGTATCGCTACCGGCTACCCGTATCGCTACTCAAGCTATGACATGGTACACCGTACCGGTATTGATTAATAGCTACCTGGTACTATGAATAGTAGCTACTAGTAGCTAGCTAGGACGCGTCCATCTTCATGATCCATCTACTTTCTGGACTATTAATAAAGGGTACAAGTATAGTGTTTAGATGTTGCTCTTTTATTTAGCTCTTTTATTTAACACGAGATCATCTAAGAAGCGCATTTGTAGGTAGTTCCTGAAGCCGACCCTATCCGTGCACGGTACACATTACACGGTAGTCCAAGTAGTCAATCAGCATCTCCACGCCAGCCATCCACATACCGTCAAACCTTTTTGGAAACGAAATCTCTTCAAATATCCCGTTCGCCATTCGTGCATAACGTTACTAGCAAAAACCTTAAATCGTCACTAGATTAGAGTTAAAAAGATACTTCCAACATGGGAAATCCACTGTGTTTGGTCAGAAGTCGTTTCATAAAAAGTCGGAAGTCTGTTGGCGAGCTGCTATGGATATGGAGACACCAACTTTGGATCAGGATGAGTACAGTTCTGATGAAGAGGACACTTGCCTCGCAGATTGCTATGATGGCAATGGGGCTATTATAGCTGACAAATTGATTGGGTTGCTGCAGCGGGAAGATGACTTGGATGATGCCGAAGAGTCCATGCTACACGCTTTGTACCATGACGCTGGTGAGGAGGATCAGTACACTGATGTTGCCACTGCTGGTCATTCTGTACAATCCCAATCCAACACAAAAAGGCAATGTACCCCAAGAAAATGCAAATCCATTAAGCCCTATTACTTTGATGCCCAAGGTCGTAAGGTAACCCTCCAGCCCAAGCAGACAGTATGGTATTACATGTACGTGGCATCGCCAACAATCGACTGTACCAAATGGCACAAGAAATTCAGAAGACGTTTCCGTATGCCCTATTCAGAATTTCTCAGCTTGTTCGACAGATTAGAAACCCATACCGACTACTTTGGTCGCTGGCAATCAAAAGATGCTGTTGGAAAGGAGTCTTCACCTCTGGAATTATTGCTCTTGGGAGCCCTTCGGTATCTTGGCCGTGGTCTTACATTTGACGACCTTGAAGAATACACAGCAATAAACGAGGAAACCCATCGCCAATTTCTCCACAAGTTTATCAAGTTCGGGGCAGAAGTTCTGTATCCACTCTATGTGGTGATGCCACGAACTGCAGAAGAGCTTAAGCCCCACAGAAAGGAGTACAACACAGGTGGTCTCCATGGCTGTGGATTCTCTACCGATGCAACAAACGTTGTTATGTGGCGATGCTCCCACAACCTGAAACAAGCGAACATGGGTTTCAAGCAGAGCCACCCTGCACGCACTTACAACCTCACTTGCAATCACCGCCGACAGATCCTGTACACAACCAAAGGCCATCCTTCTCGCTGGAATGACAAGACCCTTGTACTGTTCGATGAATTCCTCACAGGCCTTCATGAAGGAACGATTCTGTCTGATGTCACGTACCGGTTGTACTCCTGGGAAGGCGAAGCTGGCAACTCGCAAGTGGAATACGCTAACTACAGTGGAGCATGGGGTCTTGTTGATAATGGATACCACAAATGGGCATGCACTCAAGCTCCCACGAAGACAAGTCTCTTGCGTTCAGAGGAGAGATTGAGTGAGTGGATAGAGTCCTTCAGAAAAGATGCAGAGTGTTGCTTTGGCATTCTGAAAGGAAGATTTCGAGTTTTGAAGACGGGGATCAGGCTGGAAGGGCCGGAGGCTGCAGATCGCATCTGGCTCACCTGTTGTGCCTTGCACAATCTGCTACTAAAAGCCGATGGACTGGACGAATGGATTGGTTCGGCCGGAGACAATCAACTTGAAGATATGAGGAGATATGCTCCATTCGCAGTGCAGAGATTATCGGATGAGGCACTACGGAATTTCGGTAGTCGCAATCATGAACAGATGGCCAGGCAAGAAGAATCCTTGCGAAGGGGAATCAACGAACAAAGGGATGAAGCAATGGCCGAAGACGAACGCAACAACCCACCAATGGACGATTGCCATCTCACTCGACAGAAGTACGCGATGGATGGCAGCATTATTCTTAACTCCCTTACGTACGATGACTTTCGGAACCGTCTTGTGGAACATTTTGACATTCTCTGGAGACGCAACAGAGTAAGATGGCCGCAGAGAAAGAATACGTAATAAGGAAAGCTTTTTTACTTTAATTGCTGGCTATTAATCCTCTTCTTGCATGTAATATGTCTTGGCGGAGGCAGCATTAAGATCGTCAGCTTGTGCTTTATTGGCATAATAAACGCTGCCTGGCTCATAGCTGATATGACCAACACCATCTCGGCCTTGTTGCATTTCGGCACAAGCAACCATGGTCTGTTGTTCGTAGAAAGTTGGATCACCAATTGGGATACCAGCTGCTTCTTTTTGACGAAGACGCAACAGTACTGCCTGTGCATCTGGCGGAAGCCTTGCCGCGACACCAGTGAATGGAGGATTGACAACAACAAAGGGCTCATCTATCTCGTCTTCCGGGTTGTCTATGCCAATAGCCTTTTCAGAACGGGGCACCACTTCCTGAACAAACTCAACCTCACCATCATCGTCGTCATCGTCATCCTCCTCCTCACCAGCTCCCGACAACTGAGAACAATGCGATGGCAGTTTGCGAAGTTGCTTGCTTGGAGTTTTGTTCGTGAGTGTAGAGTCTTCATCCACAGTTGGCTTTGTGGCTACATCCACGTCTTTGGGCACAGCAAAGATACCCATAGATTCATACAGTGCCTGCGTTTGGGGAAGCTTTGCTCTCTTCACAAGCTGATCACTCTGGGCTTCGAGTTCAGCCTTTCTTTTGCTCAAACTGTCAAGTTTGTCAAAAAGCGCATCCTTTCTCTTTTCGAGAAGCGAAACTTCTCTGTCGTTCTTGCGTCTCTCTGCTCTATCAATCATATTGTTAAGATGACCAAGCTGGGTAAGACAGTTCGTCTCAGACAAATTGTTGTGGTAGAGAAGATCTCTAACGTTTCTTGTCGCCGCTTTGTGTTCTGACATAGCAAGTGAGGCACAAGCAAATTTGTCTTTGACAGCCAGTCCTCTGTTGAAGGGACCAGTGCCGCCTTCATTGCTTGAACGTTCAAGTTGCTTAATCTTGAGTTCCTTCTCTCTGATGGCAGCTCGTCCAACCTTCTCGACTTTCTTTCCATCCTCTGATAGGCAACTCAGAGTCTTGCCACAGAGAGCTTTTGGTCCCCACAAGACAAACACCATATACCCTTCGAACATGTACTTCTCAGGCATTTCTTCTGCAGTGAAACTGTCCGCATCTTTCTTCACACGTCTTGCGCCATCTTTGTTCTTTGCCCCCTTGAGCAACATATACATTTTCTGTCGAACATACATCAATATATCATCCAAGCCTTTACCAGAAGGATACGGTTCTGGAGAAGACTTTGGACAAAATTCGTCGTGGTATTTGAGAGCAGTTTTGTAGTTGGCGATGCATCTGTTGCCTCTATCATAGACGTTTCTTCCCTGAATAAGTTCTCCTTTTGTCTTGGCCAGTGCCTCTCGCGTAAAGCCTCTAGAGTGGACATAGAATGTGGTTGCTGCAAGTGCAACATTGAATGAGAATCTATCCTGGCAACAAATGTTCCGCGGCTTGAACTTACCCTCATCACAGGAAACCAGGTCTCGCAGAATCAGCGAGTAGCCATCTTTCCGAAGCTCATTTCCTTCTCGATTGTTCTCAATTGCCATACGGTCATACAGCGATGCATAATCGCCCTTCCCTTCAATCAAATTGGTTAAGCACGAACCATAGCCAGCCGATCCATGGAAGCATTTTCCCATCAATTCCTTTTGTCCATCAAGATCCTTTCCGTCTGCTTTGTCAGCCATGCAAATTTCCCCGCATTGTGTAGCCACCATTGACCTACACTCCTGGACCAGGTAGTCAGCGAACTTGGCGGCGGCACCTGCCATGGTCACTAGCCCAACTAACAACAACGACTCTACTAGCGATGCTATTGCAATAGTGGCAATGAAACAAGATCGTATCTATGTAATAATAATATTGGGAGTACGTAATTCATGCAAAAAAGATCTGCTACATCATTGCTTGGTGCAATCTGATTGGATACCGAGTGCCACTTTGTGATTGAAAGATTGTACCGATACCATGTGTCCATTTGGTCCGGTGCCGCACGGACACGGTAGATTTATGGTACCGTGTAACGTGTACCGTGTGCGGATAGGGTCGGCTTGAATTGGGAACCTCTGGTCGACTTTGGGAAGCACATCCCAACCACGTGCTAGGTTACCTATTGAATCAACAAGGTCTCTACTAGTGTAATGGGTACGATCTATCTAATACAATCATATGGTCGGTAGAAGACCAAGTTGACTTGGCCAAATCCACCAAGTCATTGATTTGCACATACAGAAAAATGGGTACCTACACAGGAATCAGCACCAAAACAGTAGGATATAACAAGGAGGGATGAATCTGGTCGGAGGATCCACTCTCTTGTGTGTTGTGGTGTAGCCGCCTGTTGCCTATTCAATGCAGGGTTCGCTAACCAGTTCTTTTGGTTACTGGTTATTTGCCATTTGGTTACCGGTTGTTCGATTTCGATTTGGTTACGTAACCGGTAACCGGCAACCGGCACCTCGCGATAAACGGTTACTCAACCGGTAACCGGTAACCTAGTCGTTTTCGACTGGTTACTTTTGGACCGGTTACCGGCTACTTTACGACCGGTTACCGGTTATCAAACTGGTTACCCATTCGGTTACTCGAATTTCGAAACTTGCCGTTTCCTCTCATATTTTGTATCCTCTTGCTTGCATCGTCTTGTCATTGCCCAACAGTAACGGGGATACAGAGAGAACCTTCAGTGGAGCTACATGGATGAACGATAGGCTAAAGGCAAACCAGGGCGACTTCACATTTCAAGGCGATCGATGGATCGAGCGCTTGTGCCTATGGACGGGAGAAAAATAAAATGAAATAGCCTCCGGCGTAGCCCGAAGGCGGCATCAAACACAGGAGCAGCTGGCAACAACAGATCGGTAACGGTAGATGGTGGAATGGTAGCGGAAGTGGCACTCTATTCCCCTCCCATGTGAGCCTACATCCAATCCAGCGGCTAAAAGTCACAGACCCTAGCGCAACTGTCCATCAGAGAGGCAACGACTCTGGTTGAGTTTCGATTCTTGAGGTTTCTTCGTCACTTGCCAAAATCTGTATTGGCACTGCGTTGGTAGATGGTCGAAAGGACGACAGTTGTTGCTCTGAGTAGGAACCATCTAAGGACGGCTTCTCTCGAAACCACCCAGAGCTAACACTGTTGGCTGTCCATCCTCTTGTCATAGCCGTCGCGTACCGAAAACAGAATCCTTGGAGTCGGTGGAATTTGTAGCTGAGCGAATACTGACAACATCATCATTGTGATGTTGTCAGAGCCAATCAAGAGATCGGATACTAATGCCTAGGCTGCTACTGCTGCCCATGCCTCCAATTCTGTCCTCTTGGCTTCTTGCCTCTCTCAAGACGATTGTGGGAATATCTATTTATTGTTGTTGCTGCTCAGGCTGCTGCTGAGAACGGCACGGCCGACAGCAGCGCTGCTCGCGTTGTGGAGTGGTTGACGACGACGACGACGATGACGGCCGTTCGTCCAACGTTGCGAACAAGAGATGAGTGGTTGTGGAGGTGGAGGTGGGTTTGTTTGTGTTGTCGACAACAACAGATGAATTGATGAGTCAGTTTTGTGTAGAGTGTGTGTGGCTGTGGGTGTGACGTCTTTGTTTGGTGAGAGCTTTGCTACAAATTTGTGACTGATTCGATTCGATTCGATTCGATTCAGTTGGGTTAAGTGTGATTCAGTAAATTTCAGTAAATTTCGAAACCGTCAGTATTTCAAATTTCCTGAAATTACCTGAATTTACTGAATTCAGTAATTCTCAGTTTTTGTCGGTTCAGTTGGGTTCAGCACAGTACGTTCCTTTCACGTAATCCCCTTTATAGTTATTTATTTATTTATTTATTAATTTATTATATATATACACAACGAGGAGAATGGCAACAGCACAAACCAGCTCTCAAAGTTATCGACCATGGCCACGATACATCCTGTAAGGTCGGCTTTGAAAAAGCCAACAAACCCAGACGACGAGCAAGACCAACAACAGGAGAAGAAGAAACTACAATGGGCGGACACTGTGAATGACAATGGCGACAAGAATTCCGCCAAGTCGTTCATGAAGAAGAGCAATGTCAATACAAGTACTTCAAAGAAGAAGAAGCGAACACTCTGTGCCGTGTGTGGAATTCAACCGGCCGCTCTAACAGTACGCATGGTTGTCCAAACCAAAGAACAACAAGACCGACGCAAAAAGAAACCCTTATGTCTACTGCATTACTACACCACCATGGCCGTTCACGAAGGAGGGGAATTCGTCAACGTCCACGATGCCGACACGGTCCAACAGCAAGTCAACAATAATGGAGTGCAAGACTTGTTTGCCGAAGCATTTGTTCAACTCCAACAAGAATTGGCACAGGAATCATTGAACATTGCTCCAACAACAACTGCTAGTAAAAATCCACGCAAGGCACCCCCCGCTCAAGATCCTCTCGCCATTCTCCACGATCTCCATCGCAACACCAAGAAAAAACGAAAGCAACCACCACCGCAAGGAGGATTCTTACGGCATGTACCGGTACCAGAACGTCTTCGCAAAACACAACAAGAACAAGCCAAACTCCAAGCCACACAATTGGCACGCATGAAACGAGCCGCACTTGATACGTCCAAACGACGAGAACCCACGCGAAAGTCCATTTGGAATGCCGTCATGGACGATCCCAGTCCGTCAGTCAAAACCAAACCCATTCGTATGGAGGACGACACGGTCGATGCCACGTGTTCGTGTGGAAGTACCAACGTGTCCAGTCTCGGTAACGTTACCAGTCGCAATCAAGATGTACGCAAGGGAGAAGTTTGGGGGAGTGGTGATCGGTCCAATGATGATGTCATTCTCAAATATCAATGCAATCAATGTGGAAAAATGTGGCAAGAGTCGGGGTAGAAATAGAGAATAAATATCCTGTAGACGGAATGCAGGTTGAAACAGTAGAGCTATTAGATGACGATCGATGAGGAATGATTGAATCATATGTGTTGGACGATTGATCATTGAATGAACAATCAGAATGGATCGATTGATTGATCGATCGAACCAAAGTTCATTGGTTGGTCTCGGGGGCGGACGGGAATTCTCTAGATAGGACTATCTCTAGTCCCAATATTGATGTTGAAGTGGATATTGTTACACACAGAGAAATTGGAGCCTTGAGAATTGAAAATATCCTGTAGACGGAATGCAGGTTGAACCAGTAGAGCTATTAGATGACGATCCATGAGGAATGATTGAATCATATGTGTTGGACGATTGATCATTCGATTCGTTCCAGCAGCAATGATATAGATGGCGCCCCGTACCGTTAGCTAACGATGATGGCGACAGATCAGACGAACCCAAAGACTTGTGTACCGTATGATGCACTTTTTGGTTTTCCCTACATGTCACAGGGATTTTGGACGCGGCAGGTGTAGGATGAGGGGTGCTACGGTATTCTTCACGTCGAGGAATCCTTCGTCATGGGCTGTGATTCTCACGCCTTGCCCCATGAGCAGTTCTACATTTTCTCCCGCTGCTAGCTAGCCCTGGTGATGGTGCCGACAAGGGTGATCCTCTCTTCAAGACCTGTTGGGCAGGGGAGTGGTATGATTTTCATGGACAATGTGATTTTGGTCTTCAGAGGAGCAACGGAGCTAACCATAGTGAAGTCTGAATTGAGCCCGTCTGAATGATTGATGCTACGGATAGCTGGCTAGCAAGAGCTGACCAAAGGTTGGGTCCGAAATTTGAACTTCTTGTACCAGATACCGTACCGGATGGTATTGTACTCGTACCGGTACTGGTACCGGTACACGGTATGGGGATGAGCAAATGTTGCTATAGCGCTGTAGTGTACTCTACTCGATACCGTAACACTGATAGTTTGGGTCACAGTACCAAGAAAGTCCTTGTACAGTATGGTACTAGTACGTTACCCTCCAGGTACAGTTTGGGCGAAAAGGAATCAAATTTTTGGCTTTTTCTGGTTATTTTCGATTGGATTGCATTGAATTGGATTGGATTGCATTGAATTGGATTGGATTGCATTGCATTGAATTGGTATTTACTATACAAATAACAGTACATTTTTGGATCTAATTGAATCCAATCCAGTCCAATCCAATGCAATTCAAACTAATCCAATCCAATTAAACGTATTTGCTGGTAAAAATGAGCATTTTAAGTTTTCAACGGTCTTTTTAGTTAGTTGAGTCAGTTGATCAATCTGTGTCAGTGTACCGGTAACAACGGAGGTACTAGCTAGCACCATACGGTATCATGCTGCCTAACCAATGCAATCTAGCTAGTGCTATGAGGAGGTTTGCTCATCCCCTATCGGTGCCACCCGAGAGGGACTGCCCGTTCCCGAGTGGATCTTTTCATGCCAACCCAAAATTCTTTTCTCCCTCGCCTCCTCCTCTTCTTTCGAAAGAGGACTTTTGGTCTTTCGTGTTGTGCTGAACATGTAGTAGTTGGGTCATTTATTTCTATTATTGCTCCTCCTAGCCAGTACTGTACTTGGTACTACCCCAAGCTATCTAGCCAGTAGACTATCCCTCTACCACCCTCTGAAGAAGAAAAACAAGCCGCAAAAGTCGACCATGGCGTCCCGACCCTCCTTGGAGCGATCCATCAAGCGAGGATCCACTGGCATTCGAACGTTTGAGTTGAACCGCAATGCCAGGGGATCCAGCAAAATGTCGAGTGTAAGTGGCGACAAGAAAGGTCATCTTCCCGTGGACCTTCTGTTTCCTGGCGGTGAGCCGCCCGTGGGAGTGCATGTGGAAGAGTTGGGACAATTTGGTGATCCCAAGGCCAGGCTAAAAGACGACTGCCCCTTGGCTTTGGATGTGATGCTGGATCAAAAAGGGGCATTGGACGTGTACGATGAGTTTATTCAAGCCGTGGTATCGGAGTGTTACATCAGATGGCTCATGCTCTTTGACCCACAAAAGATTGTGGCGTTATTGCGCGAACGTGGCTTTGCGGAGCGCTTTGCTGCTCAGGGCGTCAAGGTGTGTGTGTGTGCACAAAGGCTGCCGCAGAAGGATAATTTTGAGTACGACTGGCTGGAGTTTGTCGACTTGGAGGCGGCTCCCGATTACCAGTCGGAAAGGGACGTGGCCCTCACAGCGCAACAAAAAAAGCTCATGCTGCCTTCGGGAGTCCATCTCCAAAACTTGGATCCAACCAAACTGCTCCAAGAAGAACAGACACCAGCAACGGGCAGCCTTCTGGAACTGTTGGAAACCAGAGGCCTTGTGTCGCTCCGTTCCAGCTTGATGGAAGCCATAAAACAAACCGTCCAGAGTTTTCGCTTCACCGCACCCAAACTCGACTACAAAGATGTCCTAACAACAGTGTCGGAGCAGTCCTTTGACCAAAAGTTTGAAGAGGCTGGTGTTAAAGTCTTGGTCTGTGCGGAAGAAGCCAGCTTTGTTAGTAGCAGCAAGGTCTGGCTGGAGTTTGTGGACCTGGAAAAGGGCCCAACCCATTACGCCTCTCGGTACGACGCTTCCTTGCTCTTGAATCGGCGCTTCGTACCCGAGGGTGTTGCAGTCAAGGAGCTCTCTCGCGCCAACACAAGCCAAGATGAGAAACGCTTGGAAGAGTTGCTGGAGAAAAAGGGTCTGCAGCAGCAACACTACCAGCAACTCGAAGATGACATTGGAACATGCAGCACCCTCACATTGGATAAGATCCTGGAAGTTGTGGAACGATACGAATCCGTTTTCGCGTCCAATGGCATTGGATTGGCTCTTTGTCGCTCTAAAGGAGAGTTCTGGATCGAGTTTATGGATCAAGAGACCATTGACGGTACCGGCTACACGCCGATCTACAATGTCCTCAATACCAACCAGATCGGTCAGGGCATGCACATCCCTCCCGCCGGAGTTGCTATTGAAGTGCTTGGGAGCACCAATACGCTCAAGCAAGAATGCCCAAAGGCATTGAAGCTTCTGCTGGAGAAGGCTGATGCTCGTCCCGAGTATGACAAATTCGTGGATGCCCTTACAGACAACAAGCATCATGCCAAGGACATGTGGGGATACTGGCAGATTTCCTCTATTCAAACAATTCTGGATGAGTTCCAAGGTGAATTTCACGACAAGGGCATCCACGTCGCCCTTTGCAAAAGCCAATGGGCCAGCGGGACCAATTGCTGGTTGGAGTTCATCGACTTGGCTGTGGCACCGCCAACCTATGTTCCAATCTACGGTGTGCAGGCCAGAAGGAGCGTCTTTGACGGACGTCATTTCATTCCTGTGGCGGGTGTGGAAATACAGGAGCTGTTTGTAGGAGGGCAAGCCAAGTTGGAGAACGAGTGCCCACCGGAGGTTCTGGAGCTGCTGGAACGCAAGTCCGTAGCATACGAAGAGATTGCCAAGGCCCTTGGACCACTCCTACCGGACCCCTTGACGGTCAAGGAAATGGCGGCGGAACAGGCTATTTCTATTGTGACCGACAAAATCATTCAACAAGATCAGGGCAAGGAGCAAATGAAAGAAGTCGGTGTCGAATATGCCAGCTCGCTCACAGGCACGACACTAACAACTAAATCTATCGAGGAACGGTGGAAAGTGGCAATCGTCAGGATGCTGTATACGCTGGACGAACTGAGCACCAATCTTGGGTTGGACACCAAGGGGTTAAAGCTTGCCTTATGCGAACGACACGCGGAATCGGCGAACCATTACTGGCTGGAGTACATTGACGTGACCGTCGCCGAGGACTACGTTCCTTCATACAATGCTGGGAACTTGAGCACCCAGATCCTCCAGACGACCAAGGCCACCGTGCGCTTTCCCAAGGGTGTTGCCGTGGAAGAACTACTAGAAGATGGTAATGGGCTCGCGAAATGCAACGAGTTGGGGTCGAAGGTACCACCACAAGTCCAAGAGATATTGGATGCCAAGGACCTGCAACAGGAGTACGAGTCTCTTACGACAGCCTTGTGTCAATGTGGAATCGGACCATCGGCGCATTGGGATTGCGACAAGGTTCAACAAATAGTTCAAGCCATGGGTCCTGCCTTTGAGGCCAAGGGTGTGACACTATGTGTCTCTTACAAGCAAGAGCGGTTGAAGCAGAAAGTCGATGCCCAAGACTTGGGCAAGTATGAAGTTGGGTATTGGAAGGGATACCAATGGGTGGAGTTTATTGATCGAACGCAACAACCGAACTACGTTCCTCAAAGGGGTGTTCATTTGAAGGCATCTAAAGAGGGTGGTATTCAAATGGATGAAGTTGTTTTGGTTGGCAGCCTTGCGTGGTCGGTTGGATGCATTGTCTTGGCCTCCATGAAATGAAGTAAGTACTGGTAATAAGGGGTCATCATCCAAGCAACCTACAGTCTCAACACGTGACTTGCTTTGGATTGTTCCTTTGCGCCTGCATCCCTTCCACAACATGAACCGTGCACCCCCCTACCTTCGTCCAATTTGCCCACCCCACCACCACCAACTGACAACGCTGGATGGGATGTTTCAACAGTAGTTTCTTTTATTATTAATAAAAGTAAGTCACATGTACTGTATGTGTTAAAACGTTCACTGTGTGACCCGTAGCTGGGAATTCAAGCCAAACGGCGAAGAGCCACGGGAATGCTCAAAGGCAGAGCCAAATGAAAGGACCTGAAATGCAATCACAGGGGAATCGAATCCAAAGGTCAACCATAGACATTGCCAATAGACCATGCCACCAGTACCTAGCATGCGAGCTATCCCGTTGGTCGTCTGGAAGAGTAATAGTACTGTCAGTTGAACCAGCTGGAATTTTGTTGTATCAACACTGTGCCACTCCTTCTTAGCTAGCTACTGTCAGTTGAACGAGCTGGATGTTTGTTGTCTCAGTATTACTGTGCCAATCCCTTTTCCTTGACAAATTTTAAAAATTAGTCGGAGGCAAAAATCGCGTCATTCCAAAATCCTTCAGGGATCGCTCTGTTCATTTTCCGGACTACTCACAATCCAGTAATAGCCAACCCCACTCCTTCGATACCATCACAAGCCATGGCCCATGGCTCCTAACGCCGCTCCACCAGGTGCCGCCTTGCCCCCGAACAAGACGAAAAAGAGAAAAGATCTGCATTCGACCCGGAGCAAGAAGAAAAAGGCTCGTACGGCGTTCCAAGCACCTGCACTCCAAGACGAAGACGGCCTCTACATACCTGTCTTGACCGACGTTGCCAAATTGATCCAAGTGGATTTGTTCCTGGGCAACCGTGTGTGTGTTGTGCATGCCTTGCAGCGTTTGAATGATCTCTTTCCTTTTGAGGAGCACAGGAAGACTGGCCTGGACATGGGCGCTCCCAATACGCTGGTTGCATCAATGTTCAAGTTTCCTGATAACGAGGACATCCAGACTGCCGCATTGGGTTGCGTTGTGGATTTGTCGTTTGATGAAGGACATGATCAAGCAAAGACATTTGTGGATCTTGGAGCGGCGGAGGCAACCGTGAATGCCATGCTGAACTTTTCCAACTCCAACTCACAGGAACTCATCAGACGTGGCATGGGGGTTCTCTTGAACCCTGTGCGGTTTGCGACCCGGAGCAAGAAGAAAAAGGCTCGTGCGGCGTTCCGAGCACCGGCGCCTGTAGTCCAAGACCGTCACGGGCTCTACGTACCAGACTTGTCTGGCCTTGCAGAAAACATCCGAAATATGTTCCTGGGCAACTGTGTGTGTGTTTTGCATGCCGTGAAGCATATGATTTGTGTGATTGGCAGCAAGCAAAAGCAAGCCATTACACGCATCACACATCGGTTTGTCGCGGATATGCAAGGCATCAAGATGATTGTCACGGCCATGGGCAGGTTTAGTCCCGATCCCAACCTGTGTGATAGCGCTTGCAGGATCCTTTGCAACATTGCAAAGTCCAAGTGTTTCTACCCCGACCTCGAGAAAGAAGGGGCCCTCGAGGCAGTGGAAACAGCGGCGCAGAAGAATCCCCACCATGAGGACATCCAGGAGTGGAAAAACGATTTGGCGAAGAAGCTTCGATCTCCCAAGAAGCGCTCAGCCAAGAAGCGCTCAGACAAGAAACGATCGGCCAAAAAACAAAGGTTGGCGTAGCTGTTGGCGTTGAAGAGTGACAAAGAAGACGTTGAAGAAGATTGGTATCAAAAGTGACTCTTGAGAGGTGAGTAGCCATAGAAATTGTTTGTTGTCCGATAGAGAGCTTTGACTAACACTGCTGCTTCATCCATTCCTTGCTGTTGAGCCTAGTTAGGCTCCTCATTGTGTTGGATACCTAGCATGGCGTATCTGTTGTCGCTGTGCTGTGCTCCGTCGGACGTTGGACACCACCATGGCGCTGCTCCATTGTATTTATTTGTTGCTGCTCCATGCTCCATGCTCCATTATTTTTCATTTTTCGATTTTGTCTTTTTTGAATCGAATCGGAAGCATGACTGAGTCAATCCTAACTTTACGTGAAAAGTATATTCATTTTTACGTAAATAGTGACAAAAATTTATACTTATACCCTTCGAATAGCCCTACTAGCCATTAGATACCATTAGGTCGAAGAATCCAATCAATCTTTTCAATTCGAATTGAATCTTAATTAACTGAAGCCAACAATACCCGTACAGTCGTACAGTCGCACTGTGGGTGGGTGTTGGGTGGTCTGGAAGTTGGGTGTAAGGGAGGGTCGTCTGGAAGTACGGGCGTGTAAATTGTACCTGGGCTCCCTGGCCCAAACGTGACTGGTGAGAGGGTGGATAGAAAGGATTATTTTAAAAAAACAGTTCAATACAGGCCAATAAAAGGACTTAATTAAAAAAGCTTCAACTTGCACTAATAACTGACGCTACCGGTACCCAGCACCCAGCACCCAGCACCGCAAGGTATTCGCACCCGAACCACGTGCAAATCACGTGTTACCGTACATGTGTGATACCTTGCGGAATGAATACTCGACCTTGGCTTGGGACGTTCTTTGACCACCATGATGGTGGCATGATACCCATGCCATTCAGCACAAAAGAAACAAATACATACCATACTACTAGCTAGCCAGCTACGGTAGCTAGCAGCTAATAGTGATCACAATTATACTATCGATACTACCATGTCCTCCTCGATACCTCCCTTTGAAGTGATGGACGATGGTCCTTACATTGTGTTGGTAGTGTTGGGGACCATCTCGAGTGTTCTGTCGCTGCTGGGCTCCAGCTGTGTGATTTTCCTGTCGTTCCGCGAACGCCACAAGGTGATGCATCGGCTCATGTTGGCGCTGAGTGTTTCCGATTGGTTTTCATCGATTGCAAGTCTGTTCATGCCATACGCCATTCCCTCCTTTTTGGGTCTCCCCGGTGCCATTGGGAACTACGATACGTGCACTGTCTTTGGGTTTTTCCTCATGACATTTATCCTGGTGGGATGTCTCTACAATGCCTACCTCAGTTTGTACTTTTATCTGGTGGTCGTTCGGAATTGGAGAGAACGAGATTTTACCCTGGCGCCCGAAGCGGTGGCGCATGCCGTGGGAGTGCTGGTCCCACTGGCCGTCAATGTGGTGGCGGCCGTCACGGAATCCATCAATCCATCGCCCTTGATCAACAATGTCTGTATTTACGCCACATTTCCCTGGGGATGCAGTGAAAGCGACGATATGATCTGTACGCGATCCGATCGAGAAACGGTGGTCGATATTGTCTTTTTTGGATCCATTTGGTTGTTTGTGTTTTCCATGGTCGGATTCGTTTCCACCTTTTGTGTCTGGTACACCGTCCGACTCACGGTACAGCGCAGCAGTGCCTATCGATTCCAAAGCAGTTCCATCCGTCAAAGTCAAAATCAAAATAGACAAAGCCAAAACAACAACAACAACAATAATGCCACGGACGATCGATTGGTGCAAGTACGAACACAGGCCATTCTCTACAGTTTGGCATACCTCAATACAGCTTTCTGGCCCTTGATGGGGGCGCTCTTCTCCTCCCATTTCTTTCAAACGTCAGAGCAAATACAAGAGAGAAAATTACTGCCAGTCTTTTATGCCTTGCAACTATTCTATTGGGCATTATACCCATTGCAGGTGCGTACCGGTACATAGCGTACATGCACTTGTTATCACAATCAATCAATCAATCAATCAAGTCATTGGTTCACTATGATTATTTGTTGCTGACACTGTCATTATTATTACCATTCTAACTAAATTGCATTGCATGTACAGGGCTTTTTGAACTTTTTCATTTACACGCGTCTCATGGTTCGACGATGGCGACGGGTCGAACCGGATCAATCCATCTTTTGGATCTACAAACAAATTCTTACCACACGACAATCCGATGGCATGTCGTCCACCGTCAGGCACAATACCAACACCAAGAGTCGATCCAACAACAACAGCAACATCAGTCGACCTCTGGCGCCAGCCAAGAATTCTTGTCCACTACCCGAAGTGACGACAGATGCCGACAATGAACAGTCCGCCTTTGCCATTGAATGAATGAATGGAATGGAATGGAATGGAATGGAATGAAATGAATAGGGGCGAATCATCAAAATCAAATCATCAAATCACAACATGGGATCCACATGATCGGATGGTACTCGGTTCGTTCACTACAGTTGTCACTACCTACCTAGCGAGCTAGATCAAACAAAAAGAGGCCCATCCATTGGAACGACAAAACACCGGGACGGGAACCAAAGTTGACATTCGATCGAGTGCAACCACAGCCAGAGCGTCATTCACATTCTAGCTAGCCAGCTCATACCTTCCATGTGACAGCGCTCTATACCTGCTTCACAACCAACCAACCAACCAACCTACGATTGACGGCAGAGATTGCCCGTCTCCATTAATTTGCACGGAGTAGGGGTTCCGGAAACTGACTTGTGCGACAATAACGTAACTTGGTCGGACATGTGGATCCTCTAGCTAGCTAGTACATGTATGCATAGCTAGAGTTGGTTGATGATGGGCAGGAGTCGAGTCGAGTCGAGTCGAGGGAGGTGTGGGGACTCCTTCACTGTACCGGTACGGTACGAATTGGAGTGTGGAATGCCCTGAGCCCTGAGCGATGCATCCACAGCATACATCGTACTCCTTTGGTGGAGTGGTTGGAGTAGGCCATGATAAAAGCTGCCGTATTCACCTGGACTAGCTAGCTAGCTAGAGACTACCGGTACAAGTACAGCTGTACTACTGTAACTCGGACCAACCGTAACGAGGGTTACCTTTAAAAACTAGCTAGCTACCAGCATTCGGAACACTGAACGAATAAAAAGTAGTTGGGGCTACTGTGCGTATTACTAGCTCGTGCTTTGAGTGACAGTCGCAGTGCTCTCGTCCGAGGCGGTCGCTAAAAAAATTCTTCATTGGCCGTTGTGCCTAAGTATTTCAAAATTTCTGTCATCCGGCCGGTCTCGTTCGTGCTCTTGGGCAACCTCGGATGGCGACTCCCTCAGCAAGAGGTGCGCTTCGGAAAAAAAAAGGGCGGCCTTTCCCTCTCCTCTCGCGATCGATTCTACCAATCTCGATCGACGGCATGAATGGCCATGACATCTCCGTCTGTTGCTGTTTTCAAGAGAAAATTAAGAACGGACTAGCCAGCTAGCTAGCTAGAGTAGCATCTGATCTGTGGCAGTAGTTTGTAGTGCCGATATCCTCATTATTACATCGCAGCCGTCCATTTATTGGGTACGGTAGCATCATTTTGTTGGGTAGCATCGATTAGATTGATCTGTCAGTTCGGAAGAAGAATCATCTGCAGGACGGTATATACCCACGCATCTCTCTATCCACTGGTAACTGCAGTTCCCGAAGAACCTCCAAGGTGTATTCGTAGAGTGTCTGTTGTCTACATGTCCTCTCGAATCGAAGCAGTCAGTCTAGAACAAGTAGTACAAGAAGAAGAAGAAGAAAAAGAGTCGAGTGATTGAATGTCAGTGTTGATACCCTCAGCTATCAGACAGTACTAGCTAGCAGTGGTGCAGACTAGACTAGACTAGACTAGACTAGACTAGTGGGGCGATGAGAGACTACTCTCGGTATTCGCAGACTCCGACGAAGACCAAGCACAAGACGAATCAGAATCGGTCCCCTCCTTCGGCTAATTCAGCTCCTCCCTCTGCCAACCACGTCAGCCACATCAACACTAATAATACTCCCAATGGCATCCACAATAACCACAGCAACAACAATCCTCATGCTATAAGTGCTCACAGTCCAGCCAATTCCTCCGTGGCCAGTTATCCCGTCACTTCGGGGACCACGAGCAGCAGTACCAACACGAGCAATCACCTCCATCATCATCATGACCATGTCTCAGTCTATAGGCAACATCCCACTACTGTCACCCAGTCACAAGTGGCAGTTCTCAATAGACATCACCAGCAACAGCATCATCAACAGCAACACCAACACCAACATCATCCCACAGCCGCCAAACCACTGCATCACCAACAACAGCAGCAGCACTCGCAACAGCAAAAGAGAGATGCCGGGTCTATCAGTACGGCTGCCACTCAATCTAGCAATGATCATTCACCCAGAAGTAACAGCAGCGATGATCCCCAACAACAACAGCAGCAGCAACAACCATACCCCAACAATCGACAGCCACAACACAACAAGTCTCCACAGCACCATGCTACCTATCCCTCGCAATACAGTCAACAACAATCTCCTCCTCATTTGCATCACTTGCAACTCTTGCATCAACAGCACCACTCGATGACGAATGCTACAACTCCTACTTCACAACAACAACCACAACATGCACCCCGCGACTTGAACTGCCTCACACCCGCCGATGCACTCAGTCTCAAACGAGATGGCCCCGAAGCCACCATTGTACAGTTGCGACAATCACTCGAAGAAGCACGCTTACGAGATGCCGCTGAAAAATCCAATCTCGCCAAATCGGATGCCACCATTTTGGAGTTGCGGTCCAGTGTTCGACAACTCAAACGACAACTCGAAAAACTCGATACCGATGCCCGACAAAAACACGCCGATTTGCAAGTCGCCAAACAACAATTGCAGGCACTCAAACAACAAAAACACGACAACATGAACTCTCTCTCCAAGGAAGGCACGGTGGGAGAACTGCAAGTACAGTTGGATCGAGCGCATGCTCAAATACTCACTGCCGACATGGTACGCAAGGAACTCGAAGATACACTGGAAGCCGAACAGTACACGTGGGAATTACGAGTGCAAGATCAAGAACGAACCATTGTCGAATTGCAACAAGAAGCGGGGGTGTTGCAGGAAGATTTGGAGCAGTGTCGCCAACAGTGGAAACAAGCCGACGAAGAATGGACCCACAAGGTACAACAGCTCGAACTATCGTTGAGGGAGGGGAACAGCAATGTGCAACTAAAGGACAAACTACGACAAGTAGAAGAAGAACGCAACGAACTGCAAACATGCTTGGATGAAGCCTTGCAAGAACTCGAAGCGGTCGATGCCGAACTGGGGAATAATAACAACAACAACTCGACCGAACTGCAACAATTACGACATGAAAATCAACGGCTCCAAGAAACGGTGCAACAACAGCGTGCCTTGCAACAGGCGCAACAATTGCAACAAGGTGATGCCGATTTTGATACGCTAGAAGGTCTACAACATTTGTACAGATGGTTACTCGAACGGTCGCAAGAAGGAGGGGAAGAAAAGAAGAATGACACCATGCCGCAAACTAGTCCGGAACTACTCGATGCCATTCATCGTGTCTTGGAAACCATGCCCAGCATGACAAGTGACCGCCATCATCACGACGGGCAGCACAAGGTGCCGGAACTAGAAGCACAAATCAGGGCATACCACGCAGACTTGCAAGCTCGGGATCAAGCCGGCGTCGAACTTCGAACGAATCTGCAAGAAGCGGTCGCATTGATCAAGCCGTTGCAAGATGCGGTGGACAAGGCAAACCAACAAAAGGCCGACTTGCAGCAAGAGATTGAACGATTGCGGGCCGATCACGAGATGGAAGCCAAGGAAATGCAAGACGAGTTGCGCATGTGCCAGGAAAATCTGAGACAAAGAGAGCAAGAATGCGATCAGTTGCATCATGATATTCATCGCTTACAGATTGAAGTGGAAGATGCCAAGGGGTTGGCGCAAGCACGCCAGACATTGCAGGGATTGTCTCCCACGGCGGCAGCGGCTGCAGCCGCGGCGGCCAAGATTCGCCCTCCTTTGGAACAACCGCAAGAGTTGTCGTCGCTTAGCAAGGCTAGGGCCGATCTCAAGGCCAAACGCGCGCAAGAGCAAACCCTTCGTTCTCTCTTGCAAGATGCTCAAAATCGGTTTCATTCTCTGAATCAACAGAATCAGAATGTCGAAGCAATGAATCAACAATTGCAAGGGCGATTGCGGGACGTGCAGGAGCATAGTGGCGACGGTGTCGCGGGCGACGTTGACCATGTTCAAGACCTCGAGCAGCAACTGTCTACACTCAAGGCATCGTTGGAGGAGAAATCACGAGAAATTGAAAGGCTCACGGAGCAAGCGCAACATCCGAGCGCAGAGATGACCCAGCGAACGCAAGAGCTCGAGACACAGTTGACCAAGACGGAAAACGAACTGAAGCACAAGCTGCAATCTGAAAAAATCTTGAACAAGAGTTTGAAGGAAGCCTTGGGTCTGCTGAAGCCACTGAAGAATCATCTGGAGGAAGCCGAGGCTGAAAACAAGGAAATGTCCAAGGAAGTAAAGATGCTGCGGCGGAAGATAACTTCAATGGAGATTAGTGGCATGGGCACTGTTCTGGCGTCACCGAATGGCGTCAACCATTCCAACAACCAGAGCCCACAAGGCGCTGAAGATACTCCTGTCTCAAGCAATCAGTCAGACGAAAAGATTATCCGAGAAAAGGAACAACTTGAAGAAACGGTGAGGCACCTGGAGCAGGAGAATTCGCAGCTGCATGATGCATTGGACGAGCTCTCGCGGATGAACAATGGCAACTTGAATTCTGGCAATGCGAACAATATTGGCGCTTCCATGGTTAGCGGCAAAGCCGAAAACCGACTCAACCAAGAGATTGTGGAGTTGAAGAGCCGGTACGAAGTTACGCAAAGTCGCCTCGAAGACGCCTACGTGGAAAACCACACTCTTGTGGAGGCGTTGAAGGAGAAGGAAGAATCCGAGAAGGACGCTATTGAAGGTATGCGCATCCTCAGGGAGAAACTGAGAAAGACGGAAATGGACTTGCAAAATGCCAAGTACATTGCAACCAGTGCGTTGGTCAAAGTAGAGCATTCGAAAAGCCTTGAAAACAACATCAGTATGAACAGCGCGTTCGAAACCGAGTCACATACGGTTCTTTCACTCGAAGAAAAAGCGATCGAGTTGGATCTAATGGCAGCTGCTGGGCTTTCTCCAACGTCATCGGCTCAGTCGCCGAAGAACGGCCCAAAACCGAGGCAGTTTCATCCGAATCAACATCAACATCATCCTCAACAACAGCAACAGCCATACAGCTTTGTCAGCAGTGGGGGGCAACCGAATATCCACAAACATGGTGGCGGCACCAATGGCCAATCCAATGGTTGGGCGGGGAAACGGTCGCGGCTGGCAGACTTCTGAATCTTTTCTAACTTAGACTATAGAGATTATCGCACTGGATTAATAATACATATGTGGCAAGTGTGTTGGCAAATAACGAGACCCAAACCGGTACGATTCAACATCCTCCCAATTGGCCGTCTCATGGTGACAACGTACCAGCTAGCTAGCCATCAAGCTACAAATCGGCACAGGGGAGATGTCACCCAGTGACACCCACCTCCAGAGCACTAGACGATCTCGTAGATGAGTGTAGACCCAAGAATCTTGCACAGGGTTTCGCCGAGGCGGGGAATGGGTTAGTCCACTTCCTGCCCAGGTTGATAGCAAGTTTTGGCCGCTGCTCATGCATGCAACTCTAATGAGACAGTTTCCTGGTGTACACATACATGTTGTACTCGGCTAACACAAGAAAGGGCAACATCACCTCCGCGTTCACGGCAAAGAGTTGTCATTCGCCTTGTTCTAAATAATGTCATGGCCCACAACATCAAGTACTTTATTGCAAGATTAGGCACTGATCTATGCGTGGCTCAATTTGATAAGACAGGAACAAGCTCGGATTGGATCTGCAGCCTTGGTACAGGGATTGTTCATGCCACCCGGTATTGCGGCAAAGAAGCTTGTCTTGGATTCATCGTCCAGAGAGGGGCTCCACTGGGATGTTTTAGATCTACTGCTGAATGCTTTTCTCAGTATATCCCCTGTCTTCGCCAAACCATGCCTGGGATGGCCTTGTAGTTGGGCAAAGCGTTGGGGACAGCCCCCAGATCGCATGTTAGCAGCTGCTGGAAATTTGGAGCTGAGACAAATGAGCATATCTGCTTCACTCATCACTATCAAGTCAGTGAAGGCACTGATTGATGTGTCTACCTTTTCGTCATAGTTTGTTGCCATTCCTCCTAGGTAATTGTGTCCAATGCGACCTTCATGCCAGACTACAGGTCCCACCACCCTTGTTTGAAGCAAATGTTGCACGTACTTTCGAATCCCTGGGGCATCACTGGCAACATACAATCTCCATTTCCCAGTACCCCCAAAAGCACGATCTGCAGCAGCTGCAGCATCCAACAGCATGTCCTTCAATGCCACATCACTGACGGCATGGAAAGCCACGTCAACAGGAAACTGATCCCGATAATCTTGGCAGGATCCCAAGGCATCCCATCCATTTTTGTTCCTTTGCATTTCATCACTCCATCCAGTCCGTAGATGAATGGCTACAAGTGGATACTGTTTGCCAGCTATTTCAGGATGTTGTCGATATTTTTCTTGGATAATGTGCACCTTTTCTGCCACTGCTTCTCTTGGTTGAGTAATGGCATATGTGATGCATTTAGCATTTTGATCTCTCCAAAGGTTGCTACTTGCCACAACCACGGTGGGTTCTTTGACATAATCCAAAAGTCGAAATAGAAATGTGCCAGGCAGGACTGTGGGCCTGATTGGCATGTCCTTGATTATTGGAGCACAATCTGGTTTTTCTTTCATCAGCTCAGAGGCAACCTTCACGTAGGTAACCTCCAATGAATTTCCAATTCCATGATTGTTCAAGACATCATCTTTGATTGATGTACATGTGGCTGGCCTGGGATGGCATACAGTTTGAAAGGCAGACTGAAGATCACAAGGAGTCCAGTCAGACCAAGGATCATCAATCTTCTGCAGCTCTTTGGGTGCATATGTGTACTCATAGCGAAAGCTGGGATTCCCGTTGGAAACGCCGTTTTGGGTGTGCAGATCTGGCTGTTGCTGTTGTTGTACCGGTAGTATGGGGGCATTATCATGCTGTGGTTTGTCAACGGCGGGATCCTTCAGTTCCCTCTTGATGGTGGCATCTACTACCGGTAGGTCCGCATCGACCTGTGATGTAGCAATATGTGTCAAATCTTTTTTCTTGCGTAGTTTTGTCCCCAATTCACTCTTGTCAAGGTCGAATGAAAAGTCCACATTATAGGCCACGAAGACGGTTCCACTAACAACCGCACAGAGCAACCAAACACGATAATCCAATCCAAACGGTCGCCACAAGTAATGGTTCTTCTTTCGCCGCAACGGTATCCCTCGGATCTTGGATCTTGATACAACTTGGACCATCACTCCTCTACCAGATAATTGTTGCGGTACATGGATGTCTTTGTGTCACCGCATTGCAGTCTACCACCGTATACGGCACAAGGCAACTTGGCTCTCGCTCCTCGAGCATGTACTGGTACTTCATGAAACCCCCACTTCATTCATCATGGCAGAGGATGGAGACCGGTACGTTCTGTACCGCTGGACACACGACTGAGCTCGTGACTCGTCCGGTATCGACCGTTCCCCACTGCGATCCGCGCAGAGTTGATCGAAAAGTTGCATCAGAAGGTCCGCGATCTGTCCCGGTCCAGGCAAAATGGGAATATTTATTTGAACAAGAAAGAGCATGCTGCAGAGCTTTGTGTGGCTTTGGGGATGGACTCCAAGGTGGTGAACATCCGGTTTCAACTCATTGAAAATCTCGAACTGGGGTTTCCTTCTTTGAAAACCCGCAAGACTCCTATTCTCCACTCTATTCACCATGTCATCAACACTATTCATGTGAACAATCCTTTCGGAGAGGACAAGGACATGGATGAAATGATCCATGAGAACTACCGTGGAAAAGACTGGCTCTCTTACTTGGGTGTCCAATGGGGCACTCCTCTCCGATTTATTGTGAAAGCGGAAAAAGTCCAAAGCATAATGAATGGGCGCTTTGTCTTCAAAAATGGCTTTTTTGTGCATGGCACCACTGCGAATATTTTGAAAGACATAGAGAAGGAGGATGGGAGACTCCTGTTATCCGGCAAATCAGGTAGCGACAAACATGATTTTGGGCCCGGGTTCTACTGATTCAAGAATGAATATTTGTGGGCATTGTCTTTCGCCGTTGACCGCTGCTGGCCCTTCATTTCAGAAGACGAAGACGGCACACCCATTGTAGCGAGTTGTAATCCTTCCATCATTCTGTTTCCCGAGCATGATCATACAATTTTCAGCGCAAACAATAAAAACAAATCAAAGAAGATTTGCGGTCCGCCAATCAAACAGGAGGAATTGAAGGATTTGGTTATGGAGGACAAAAGAGACAAGGTGGAATTTGAAAAGTGCAGAATGAAATGGAAAAACGACAAGGAGCTGGGTCTTTCCAAGCTGCAGCTGGCCTACGGACCACCGGTGATGCCAAGTTCGGCGCAGGGTTATAGTGTGTATTATGGCAAAATGCATAGTTGTGACCATGAACTAACTTTGGGCCGCTCTCTACCGGAGCAACTAAAGTAGCGACTAAGCCATATTTCATAGTTTAGTCGATAGTTTAGTCTCTGGGGGGTGCCTCAAACCAACTCCATTTAACTTATTAAATCCCCAACCACCGGAAATGAAGCTCTAGTTTGATCGCTAAAAGCAATCAACGAAGTTGAAAAAGGTGCCACAATTGGATAACCAGGCGGTTGCGAGCGGTTGAGAGTGGTCGAGAGCGGTCGCGTGGTTGAAAGCGGTAATAAAGCGGTAAAAAAGGCGGTATAATGAGCGGTTGAGGTCGTTCAAGGGCGGTAGAAAGCGGTTGAAGGTGGCAAAATATGGTTGAAAGTGATTAAAGTGAAAAAGAGGCTAAATGGGTCCAGCCCAAAATATACTTAGGAAGGTGGGATAAGATACTGGGAGCCATACAGAGTTGGTTTGAGGCACCCCCCTGGGGGTGGTGTCTACCCAAGCGACTAAACGTCGTACGGACTAAAGGCTTTAGTCCTTACGCTCGTTCACCGACTAAAGGGAGGCTGGTTAGTCCGTGAGCGAGCGTAAGGACTAAAGCTTGTTTAAGAACAGCAAAAAAAACATCCAACAGAAAACAATACAACTGCATGCCACCGAGTTGGATAACAAATTCCACACTCCTAGCCTCACTATTAGGCCATCGAATCAGTGCCAATAGAGGAGAGGTGCAAACGATCGAATGAATGATCGAACGATTGAATGATAGTAGAGGTGCAAACGATCGAACGATCGAAGAGGAGTATCGAACGATCGAAGAGGAGTATCGGCCGCACCTCTATCGCACTTTATCAAGACAGTCTTCGGTTGAGAATAGAAAGCCATCCCTCATTGCAGACTATGGAGTGCGGGATGGCTTTCTATTCTCAACTGAGGTGCGATCGACTGATGAGATTTAAGTCTTGTTAACTCCAAAAAGTAATCACTTTTGTTAAGTCTTTTGTTTTTGAGTCCTTTAAATCTACTATCCTGATAGAATATTGGTAGCCCACCAAGCGATCACTTTTGTTAAATCATTTTTTAGGCCTTTTAAGTCCAGCACCCTGCAATGGATTTAGTCCCGGTGTTTGTTTAGTCGCCACGGTAGACACCACGTTTTGACTAAAAACTCGACTAAATTGTTTAGTCCGAGATTTAGTCATCTGCTGGTAGACACCACCATTACTAAAGGATAATGACTAAATCTTGAACTAAACAACCACCTAAAGGATTCCTTTAGTCCCTACTTTAGTCCCTCCGGTAGAGACCGGCCTTAAAGGATAATGACTAAATCTTGAACTAAACAACCACCTAAAGGATTCCTTTAGTCGGTGCCTTAGTCGCTCCGGTAGAGACCGGCCTCAGGAGAATTTACGGCCCACTGGTGACAGAGTGCCAGTTGTTGATGAGAATGGATGGGAGCAGTACTGCTTCCGAGCCACTGAACATTTGGGCACAAAACAGGTTTTCATTGGGTTCAACTTGGATTGGAACCAGTTTTTGAACCGAGGAACAGAGTTCGACGATGCCCGCCCGCAAAGCTACCGGTGGGGTCAATACAATAATGATGCCATTGCCCCGTGGGAGTTGAAACGGGTTAGTGCAGTTTGAGCGGCAGTGCACAGCGTTCGCTGAACGGAACAGGGTGGGAAGCAAAGGGGAGCCAAGGCAGCAACCAAAAGACAATGCATGATAGTAGGAGCACCGGTGAAATGATTGATCACATCTGCACGCAAAGAACTAGCTAGCAAGATGACAGAAGGAAACACAAAAAACCAGTTACTAGGTGGTTCATCTTGAGGGCACCCAACAGACAGTGTACCCGAATGGCCACCAAACCACCTCAAGCCAATGCTTGCTCAAAGAGGTGCACCTGGCCAAGATTGATCATAACTGGTGTATCAGTGTGTATCTGTTTCGCACCCATTGGCAAGGGCCCACTGAAAGACTACCACATGGCCTTCTTCCTGTGCCCTACGGCACGTCTGTGCATCCCAAGGACAGCCACTGGCATGGAGCCACTTGAGCATTTCTAGATTTCCTTCACTGGCAGCCTCAGTGCATGTTTCTGCATCCCATGGGCATCCATTTGCATGGGCCCATTTCAAAACTCTCAGATGCCCATATTTTGCAGCAATGGAGCATATTTTTTCATCCCATGGGCAACCATTTTCTCTTGCCCACTTGAGAATTTCCAAATGTCCACACTCTGCAGCATGAAAACATGTCATTGTGTTCCATCCACATCCATTTTCTCGAGCCCACTTGATAATTTCTAGATGCCCCCCTTTGGCAGCCAAAGAGCATGTTGATGCATTCCATGGGCATCCATTCTCTCTGGCCCAGATCAATACTTCCAAATGCCCATGTCTTGCTGCAGATGCACAAGTTATGATATCCCATTGATATCTTTTGGATCGGATAAATTTCAACAATTCCAAATGGCCACCCGAAGCAGCAGAAGTGCACATGGACGAAGAACGCGAGGGGCAACCGTTGCGCTTGGCCCACATTATAATGTTCCAATGACCCCCTTGGCAGCCATAGTGTAGGTTGCTGGCCCCCATGGGCATCCTTTGCTTCGAGCCCACTTTAGAATTGTCAAATGCCCACCTGCAGCAGCATAAGTACAGGTTTGATCATTCCAGGGACAGCCATTGCCCTTGGCCCATTTCAATATTTCAAAGTGCCCGCCTCCAGCAGCACAAGCACACACTCTTGCATCCCAGCGGCAGTCAACTTCATCGCCGTAGAGCCACTTCAAGATTTCTAACTGTCCACCCGCCGCCGCTGCAAAGCATGTGTGTATACTCATTGGGTTGTGGTTGTCATAGAGCCATTTCAGCAAACTGAAATGCCCATATCCAGCAGCACCCACACAGACAAACGCATTCCATACACTATTAGTTTTGGTGCGCCGGTACCATTGGAACAATTCCAAATTTCCCGTTTTTCCAAGTAATCGGGCAAGATCATAGCAACTGGGGCGTTGACTGGCGAAAGTGTTGTTGTGCCAGTAGTGGGTGCATGAAACATTGTTGAAGACTGTGCAGTAGAATGTATCCGTGGCGTTTGCCGGGACTAGTGACCTCAAAAAGGTCCTGTCTCACACCCTGAGCATTGTGAGGGTCCCGTCTGTACACATGTGGGGGATCCTCCACAGTCTTGCAGTACTCTTTGTAAATTTGATTCATCTTCTTGTTGACTACACCCACAAATGCATAGTGCCCCATGCCAAGAAAGGGAAGGATGTCGTTGATCCATATGTCATGCTGTTCCAGAAACAACAGAACACTACCATCAGTCTCTACATCCGAAGACATGCTTGGTTCTTCATGAGGACTTGTCAACATTTCGGACTTTGATCTTCTGGGAAGCAGTTGTGGAAGGGAAGCAGTTGCGGAAGGGATGATGAGATGCTTCTCAATTGACGCTACCAGAAGAACAAGCAGCCGGAGGCTGATGCCCTCAACTGTCAAAAAGAGATTTGATTGGATTCCCCAATTGAATCCTTTTATCTTTGGTCAAATCCTTTACTGTGTTCAACTGGACACACTAGCAAGTCTCCATAGCCAGCCAGTAAGAGTCCAAAGTACTGTGTCCAACAGAACACACAATATCAATCCCTATCCTTAACAAGGAAAATGTCCCTTATGTCTTTGGCAAAACTTACACCGTGTTTATCTGGACACACTAGTGAGTCTGCATAGCCAGCCAGAACTGGTACCCATATGTTGAAAAAACTACTGTGTCCAGCTGAACACACAATATTAATCCCTATCCTTAACGAGGAAAGTGTCCCCTATGTGACCAAAACAGCTGCAACAAACACACACACACACACACACACACACACTCTTCTTCAAGAGGCTCCTGGCCAGGGGCTACCAAGCCACCACACTTCGGCCCCTTTTTGAAGCAGCAATCACCAGGGCAAGGGCCTACACTGGCCCCAGCCCAACAACAACAAGAGGGACACATGGGATCCAGCTGCTGCACCTGGAATACCACCCAAGGATCCCCCATCAAAGGTCTTCCAGCAAGGCTGGAGGGATTGCATTGCCAATCCCACGAACCTGATGCCCTTCAAGCATGTCCGGATCCCACACACAGTGGGCCCCATGCGAGGCAACATGCCAATGGGACGGATAGGATGATTGTAGCCTACTCCAGGCCCCCAATCTTGGCAACCTATGTCCTACAGGAAGGTTCAAGAACTAGATGGCTCCCCCGTCTCATCCTTTTGGATTAGAGGCCTGTCGGGGAGCATGGCACACACACCCACACACCCACACACACACACACCCCACCCACACATCCAGCCCATGAGGTATTGGATTTACGGTTTAGTTTAGCTTGGTTTCGGTCTATACCGTACCGCTCCTATGTGTCTATTTTCGAAATCACCACAAACAGGGTACCCTTGCTTTTCTCACAGCCTACCGGCTTGTATCTTTTGCCATCCCCAGCTTGCTCCACTGATGAAGCAACAGCGAAATTCCTAAGCTCAAGAATTTGGAAATCAGCAAGCAACGGTATACCCCATGGATAAACATCCAATGGTAGATTCGTCGTAGATTAACTCTTAGTAGTGTCTACACACATCTCACACAACATCACACATCTCACACAACACTCAACGTACACACACCTACACACACACACATACAGTGATAAAAGTGTGAAAGACCCTCAGTCCGTTGAGGGCAACCTGTCTGGTTGAGGGGGCAAGGTTTGAGAGAGGCTTGCTGTTGTTGCGAACTTGGATTGCTACATCATTATTGCGCCAAGATTTGTGAGGTTCGCAGAAGATTCTTTCAGTCGCGCACCCGCAAGCGGACCTGCCGTTTTACACAATTTTTGACACCACCTTCACTCCAAATCCAAAACAACGGTAAGTTTTTCTTCTCAATAAAAGGCTGGGTGGTGTGTTTTCAAATCCTCTGACCTCCCAAAGACAAGCCATGCCTCGACGCCCCCGACCGACGTTGTCGCCTCCATGGTGGCGGTCTCCCGGGACCATCAAAATCGCTCGGATCGTTGCAACGATCATGCTCCTTTGGGGGATCAACGTTTCTCTTCGTCCGGATAATACTTCCCTCTTCTCGGAAGAAGGAATCCACTCAGAGGCTGCCATGTCCTTACCGCGAAAGCTCAAAGCTCCGGGAATCGTCACATACGTCGATCACCGCAAAGCCGATGATTCTGCTACCAACCCTCCCGAAGAAAACAACAAGAAACAGCAACAGCAGCAGCAAAACCCAACAAAGTTTACGAAAATTCTCAAGCCGACCACCAAACGAATCAATAAAACTCTACAAGAATGGCGGGAGACGTACAATCGAGCTTGCCAGAATCGCGACGTCATTTTACTGGATCTCTTGGATATCGTGCAACAAATCTACCGACCAGGAACGGACGGGAGCAATAAGCGAACGAAGAAGCGACATCTCAAAAGCAATATTTATGACACCCAACCTTGCAAATACAGCTTTCTCGACTTTGGTGCCAACATTGGCGACTCCTTGGGAAAATTCATTGATTCTGGACTCGACAATTGCGACAGTCCACGGAATGAGATCCACAACTTGTCTCCCAAGTACAATTTAGAACAGGGGTTCATGGATCAATTTCATGACAAGGAAAATGCCTTGGTTCGGTACAGTCGCTATGTGACTCGCAAGGCCGGGCGAGGTAGTTCTCCCGAGCGATACCCAGAACAATATTGTTATTTTGGAGTGGAGGGCAATCCCGTCTTTACGGAGCGATTGGAAGCACTTCAAGACCAAGTCAACGAGGCCTCGCCCAAACCTGTCCGAAACGCCCAGTTTTTCACGGAAACGGTGGGTGCTGGCCAAGACGGTCCGACAGTATTGTTTTTGGATACCGTCAGTGCTGAAAATAACTTTTGGGGATCGTCTCTGTTATCGGAACCCAAGTACGTGCGAGAATCTGCCCATCGGTTCAACGATGGGAAACCCATTGAGGCACGCGTCACGGGGGTAACACTGAGTACAATGGTGAAACGTACCGTGATACCCGAACCAAATGCTCATCTTATCATTAAGATGGACATTGAGGTGAGTGCATTGTAGCGTATGCAGTCAGTCACTGGTTCTATTGCTAGAGGAGGCATCCAAGGATCAGTCTTGTTGCCTAGTTAACTCGTTTCTTTTCGTTTGAAACACTCAGGGAGGAGAGTTCGCAGTGCTAAAGGAAGCATACCGATCTGGTGTCCTGTGTAACTATGTCAAGAAGGGCGTGATTGTCAACATGCTCTTGGAGATGCATGCTCCTCAATTCAAAGCAGCCAATCTCGACATGAATGAATGGAATACGTTTACCAAGGGGCTCGCAGCCTGCGGAGTGATTATCCAAGGGGGTATGAATGCAGGCTAGCCACATTTTCCGTCACCAAGTAAGAATGCATAAAGCTATAAGGGATATTTTCGTGCTCCAGCGAGAAAGGAAGACGCGAGAGCTTCTAGACAGCGGAGTGGTTATCCAGGGTGGTATGAACAGCAGGCTACCCAGATTTAGTCACGGAAGTAAGAATGCATCACCAAGCTATAATCTTGAGATGTTTTCGTGCTCCAACGAGAAAGAAAATCGCGAGAGCTGCTACAAGCCCCAACTCACTTATCAAAAAATATCTCTAATGACGGTTATTAATTTTAAAAGTTGTCTCTGGGACCAATACGTACATTGCATTGTCAGCACACAAAGGCTGTGGTCCGTGCTATGATGCCAAATCATTCCAGGACAAGGAATCATTAAACGATCCATGTCCGTAGGTGGTGTAACTCTCATCCCCCATGGTGAAGGAATCCAGTTCCCGTAGTAGCTCCAATTCTTTCTTGGTCCGTTGCAGTTCATCCAACGTCTTTTGGTGGATGGAGTCTCTCTGCCCCTTGCCATGGCTACTACCGTTAGAACTGTTTGCCGCCAACTCGATGATCTTATGATCCTGCAGTAGTTTTCGTTTGGATGCCAGTTCCTTGTTGCGTCGTGTCAATTGTTTATTCTTGATGGCCAATTTTTCCTTGGCCCGGTCTAGGTTGGCCTGCAGCTCTGTTACTTGTTGTTTGTACTCTTGATTCTTTTGAGCCCGTGCACTTTCCTTTTTGAGTTGAGTAACTTGTCGCTGTAAGGAATCCGCCTTGGGCTGGACCGTGGCCAATTCGTTCAAGGAATCTTGCAAATCCTTCTGCACCACTTGCAAAAGTTCGTCTTTGGACGCGCATTCTTCTTGACTTTTTTGGAGTGCCCGCTCGGCTTTGCGCAAATCCCTGGAATGTACCATCATCATCATGGTCATCATAGTTTTGGCCGCTGCGGGATCCTGTTCCAATTGCTTTTCCATATCCCGTAACAGCATGCGACTGGCTTGTTTTTCATCGCGTTCCCGTCGACGGTAGCGTTCCAGTTCGAGTCGTTCCGGATCCTCCAATTCTCCCGTTTTCAGTGCCATGGATGCTGTGGTGGGAGTCTTGATGAAGATTTTGGAAAAAAGACTGGCCACTTGATTGCAGACGGGACACTTGTCCTTGTTCCATTGTCGCCAACAGTGGATATGAAAGACGTGGCCGCAGGGAAACACCGCGCCAATCTCACTACATGTACTAGCAGTCTTGTGTTGCTCGTCGTCGTGACCCAGCAGCGGAAACAGACAAATCATACAATCATTGTCTCCGGCCTCCTCCTCTTCCTTGGAGGTGCCACCACCACCACAAGATGCATGAGGCATGACAGATAATAGATACAGTAAATGCTGATAATAACGCAGAGGCACTCCTACAATGTTATCTTTGTGCGGGGGCATCAAGCTTGGCCGCACAAAGAAAGATTGCCATCGTCCAACACAGAATACCAGTTGGGCCGCGATTAGAGCACCGGTGGGCGCCATCTCATTTTTTTAAAAGCCTTCGTTGATTGGCCCATCAATACACAAAAATTACAAATACGGTAGGAAAGATGATGGCTTTTGTAGACCAGTCGTGCTTAGGGACGAGCACCTTGCCTGGTAAGCCAACGGGTCAGTGGAAGCAGGGAACCTTGAGAGGGATGAAACGGAGGAAGAGTGTGGCAAACACCGTGAGAATTGTCTTGGAGTGCTGCTTCATCTTTCCCGATTGATCTCAATAAAATCCTACCAGGCCGAGAGCAAGGTAACTTACAACAGGCTCCTCAATACAAATCAAGCCCATCCTTCCTTCTGTGTGATCTCCACCGTGGAGAAATGCTCAAATGGCTGGTGTTTCAGTTCATAGAGTGGATCTGTCCGGCAAACGCACAGCCAGCCGAGAACGACGAGGTCTCTATAGTCGCCTCTGGTACACTGAGTGCAAGCTTCCTTGCTGTCGCCCTCTCCCTGATGTTTGTCGAACTAAATAACTAACCAAAAGAAACCGTGGTGTGGACATACGTGCAAGACGAAACATCTATCTCTCGTACTGTAGTACCGTAGCTTTCCTTTGACTGGCCAGCTTCATTACTTTCCTTTCCGAAAACGTCCTTCTCATCAAGGGTATCGTTCGAAAGTAAACGATGAGCTCGAACGATCCTTTGCTTTCTGGATCTACTGGTACGCTGGATCTTGTGCACGAAGAAGTGGCCACGGCCCGTGAAGATTCGAATCTTGTATCCCAAACGGATTCATATCCCATGTTGTTGCTGTTTATTGTCGCATACCAATCAATACAAACAATGGTTTCTAGCTAGACATGTCATGTTAATTAATAAAATGTAAAGTAACAACTCCAAACTGTGGAGTGAGTGGCTGTCACCGGTCCAATCCAGGAGCCGGAGCCGCCGTTACGTGGGGACCTCGACACGCAATCATCATGGGAGTGGCAGTCACTGTGGAAATCGCCGTGGCGGCGGCATTACTATTATGCCCGGCCCAATGATGTTGTTGTTGTTGCTGTCGTCGATTGTTGCGAAAGGCGAGTTGTGTCTTGACATCGTCCAATTCTTTTTGCAATCCCTTGATTTGACGCTGATGTCGCTCTACCAATTCCTCGTGTAATATTTTGTGTCGTTGCCAGTGCTGTGTCTGCAAGCGCCACAACTTGTCCTTGCATTCGTGTACAGCCGATTGTTGTTGCTGCAACTCTTGATTGGCCAGTGTAAGTTCTTCCTGTGTGAGATCCAACATGAGTTGTGTGGATTCCAAATCTTTGCGTGTGGCGCGATTGGTCCGCCTCAGTTTGCGGACTTTGGATTGTAGCGATACGACCTTGCGAATGGCATGGGCAGGACCTTGTTGTTCGGCGGTGCGCATGTCCAAGAGGATTTGTCGTTGTTCTTCTTCTTCCTCTTCTTCTGTACTGGTACCACAGCCCAGTCGTGTCTCGAAAGAGATTTCTTCGACTGGTGCTTGTGCTTCTTCTTCTGGCTGTTGATGTTGTTGTGATTTTTGCTGTGGTTGTGGTGATGATGGAGGCGATGGAGGATGTTCCGACGGAGACGGCAGTGGCGGCGCACTGATGAATAGTTTGCAAAAGATAGCTGCGTCTTGATTGCACGTCGGACACCGTCCCTCATGAGCCGCCCAGAGCTGCCAGCACTTGATGTGAAAGACGTGACCACAGGGAACGACGGCTCCAATTTCATTCTCAGATTCGTCTTCTGGACCGACGGATGACACGTCATCGCCTCTATTGCATGTTGTATCTTGGCGGTGGGTTGTTGGCTTGGGGTGTCGCAAGAGCGAACTCAGGCAGATCATACACGTGTTGTGGCTCGAACAGGATAGCACCGATGCCATGCTTCTAATCTAATCTAATCCAATCCAATCGTCGAGTTAATTATTGTTCTGTGGGGGGTGTATTGGTGTTGCGTTGCTTTCCTTTTGGATTATGGCCAGGGGTTTGTTTACAACGAGGGAATCATTGACTCAACTCTGGGACAGAATCCAAACATCCCATTAATCTTGACAGCAATCACTTTGGTTCAAGCAGGATGCTCAATGGACCAAAAAGCGAAACACTCTCATCCAGCAATGGGACAAGGGTACCGGTAACAACGTACGGGTGGTATCTAGCTAGGTGCAATACCCAAATTCTCAAAAAGGCACAGTGACCTCACGAGTGCCGTAAGAGTGAATCCGGTACTACATACATCTTCATTCACGACTGATTGGAAACAGGTCTGATTATGGATACTCCAACCACTGCCAAACACTCTATATCTTGTGAAAAACCAAAACTGGGGAAGATTTATTGCACGTGTTAAAGGATTGATCGGAGTGTGCTGTTGTTGTACCGGCGAAAACAAAACAGGAATCGCGGAGGCATAAAGACCTCTTCGACAATCACAGCACTTTGGAACTTTGTATTGTACAGGGGCCGTTTTACAAAAAGGCTGGCTCTTCACACTTTGTACCAGTTTTCGTCCACTTGCATCCGAATCCGACTGGACTCTGACTCGACTCGAAGATTTGCCTTGGTTTTGGCTTTTCCACACGGTTACCGACCAGCAGTGCTCGCTGATTGCATTGCAGGTAATGTTGTACCGGTAGCGGTGGATGTTAGTAGGGCTTGGCAACCAGTACAGGTTATTACCAAAGGCGAGCAAAAAGAAAGAGTACATATATCTTCGCAAAGTAGCGTCTATCTAGTGGTTTGCTTGGCAACTGTGTCTGGCCCGACAGCCACCAAAGGTATTAGCTAGCTAGTAGGGTTCATCCACCAAGATGACGGGGGGCTAAAAAATTGCAGGGATCACTTCGCCCATGCCTGCCATGATCTGATTTGCCCGTCCAACCATCCAAAGGCTCTTGTGATGGCTCTGCAGAGCACAAAGTGGATAAAAAGCCGTTTGGGTACAATGCGTGTGTTGTACTTTGCGTGATACCAGTAGCCACCTTGACAGCCGGTGGCTACGGTCGCCCTGTTGTCTGCCAACACCTTGTACACTCTACCAGAAGGATGGTCGGCCCTGATCCAGTGCAGGACTATCTTTGCACGGTTTGATGCTAGGCTTGTCCTTGTAATGACAAGTCACCAAAGCTTCTTTGGAGCAACACGAAGATACAAAATTGTCCTTCTCAACACCAATATCCGCAAGCTTCTTGGAAACACACTTGTCCTGCAGATACCACTCCCCCTAATCAAATCAAACCAAACCAAGAGAAAAAGGTGAGGCATCCGCCAGCTGACTGTCAGTATACGATATTGAACTGAATTCTCAGTCCAACGTACCATTTGCTTTAGGAACAGCAGCTTGTTGTCTTTGTTCTTGGTCCAACTCATGTGGAAAATTGTAGGACTGACTTCACCTTTGAACATTTGACGTAGAAACTCTCCATTCTTTCGATGGTAATGATACCCTCCCGGGAAGTCATTTTCGTCTCGGGACAAGACTTTGACACGAAGTCCAAACAGTGAGGCATGTTCTGCCATTACAGCCGTCATGGCCTGTTGATGGGAGAAGGTTTTCAGCACGAGATCTCCTTGCATTAGCAAAGATGTTAAAAAGTGTCGTGTCTTGGCATTGTACCGGACGTAATAGAACCCAGAGTTGGGTGCATAGGGTGCATATCGTGTGGAGTGGGAACCATCGTCCTGATAGTACATGTCGAAGGTGTGGATTGGGTCATGTTCATTCTTGTGGAAGAAATTGAGTGGATTCTTGTACCAGACAATGTCCACATCTTGGAACAAAAGGTCCACACCCAATAGACTGATCAATTGGACACATATGACCTACTCAAACAAAGAACAGTGAGCGATCAACAAAGGGACAATGACATTGTTTTGAAGTAACTGTGCTTCGTACCTTGGCCATCATCATGGCAGTGAAGTGCCTGTCTCCATATTCCTTGGCTGCTTCACTGGTGATTTCACCAAAATTCTACAACACCAAATGGCAGGTGTGAGCAACACCACATCACCAATAAACTAAAGAAAGTCCACAAGATTCCTCCCAGAAGATAATGTAAGCAACTCACCCGCTCATCATAGTAGGCTGCCAATCCAACACTCTCTGCCAGTTCTTTGGTTTCTTCGTCTGTGGCAAACACAATTATGTTGGAAATATCCAATCCTCGTGCATGGGTGGAACAGGCAAAGTTCACGAGCAACTCTGATTGGCCACTGTGGACAAGGAAAAGCTGCGTTAAAATATTGATGAATCATAAACAGCTTTCTAGTTCGCAGCTAGTTGTCTTTGACTGCCTTGCTAACGACTATTCCAATGCGAGGGTACTTACTGGTTGCAAACCATGACAATGACAGTGTTCTTGACTGTGCAAGGGGGGGGGGGGATGGGAGTTTTTGTGGATAAGAAACATGAATCGAATCGTTTGACTATTTTCACATATCTTCTTCCAGCACCATTCTTACTTACTTTTGATTCGATTGACAATTGGTCGCAATTCGTTGAGTACATCATCAACAGAATCCAAGTACTTGCGAAGCATTTCCCAAAGCCGCTTGGTATGTCTTTCATAGATAGGCACTTTGAAAGGATCAATGCCATTGGGCTGCAACCCCCTTCCCACGGGACGCAAAGGGTTATTCTTGTCAACTCCACCTTTGCCAGATGGCAATCGCATCCATTTATGAATGTGGAAGGATTCGTATTGTGGGATAATGGCCGTGCATTGTTCCCTTTGACCCTCGTGATGGGTATAAATCATGTTGAGAAACAAGCAATTCTCTGTGGCTTCTTCGGTTGTGAGTTGTTGAATGTTGGTGGCCAGGGAACGTTGGTATTTTGTGGGCATTGACTTTCTTCCACTGTAGAGCAAAAGAATGTCCTCGGAGCCTTTCGTGGGCTGGTCAAGTGGAACGCCCAATTCAAACTTTTCGGTGAATGCGGCCTTGTCCACATGAGCCATTCCCGTCACAAATTTCCGAACTGTCTCTGGGAATAGCTGGCCCTTCCTGTGGCTGGCAGCAGTATGGGCTGGTTCCGCAGGAGGGACTATAATATAAAATCAGACACAAGACAAAATGGAAAGAGAGACCACAGGTGAGAGCCAATTTATGAAGATAAAAGAAACGGCTGAGGTGTTAGTGCTACCCCACCGACACAATCCCACAATTTCAATTATTTACCTTCTCGTTGCAATGGTTCCATCATTTCCTTTCTTACAAGGATCCGCTCTTCAGTTTCGGGAGATTCCAAGGGAGTACCCTTGGCTTGTTCGGCAGCGGCTTGTGCAGGTGGTGGGAGTGTAGGACATTCATTGAAGCTCAGAGCGAACAATGTCCCTGCCAGAAAGGATATTGCACTGGCACCAATCACCAACAGAATCGTCGAAGTAGATAACCCCGTTGACTTTTTTGTTCTCACCGAGGGCGTTGTAGAGCCATTGTCCACAGGACTCATGATAGCTGTGTTGGAGTGGAGTGTCCTTTATGGCAATGGCACAAACGGTGCCGTGGTGCCGTGTGATCATGACCCACCTGTTACCTGTTTTCTCGCTTTTGGCTTTTTGCGCAAGTTGCCGAAAAGCCCGCAGAGCGAGAAAGACATTAGATCGCAGAAAACGCTCGCTAGCCAGCTAGGTTTTGTGTTGCTATGAAGGTACCCTACCTGGTGAGGAAAAGAAAAGGCGATTTCAGGGCTGGGTTCAGTGGGATCCGGGTATGGGAACGAGCATAACAGCATAACTTCAACATGAGCGCTCTGTTAATAGATGCACGAAAACTAATATATACTATGTCGTTGCTTGACGAACCACCGAGGCAAACGCTAATGTAAGAAGGTCCACACAGCGTTTTTGATAATCATAGGGTGGTCCATCGAGGAAGAACTCGGGCATGAAGGCCGTTGACTGGCGGTGTCCAGCCACGTTGAGCACTCGAGTGCCCGTCAGCCGCACGAATTGGACAATCTTCATGGCAGATTCTTCCAAATGTTCCTCCTCCAGGTCATCAGCCTTTAGAACCATCACAGGGCGATACCCTCCGTGGAGTTTCGAATGAAGCTGACATTCCCAACGTTGGTTGCTGGCCCAACCAATTGTTTTGGCCGCCCCGCCCTTGCCCTCGTGGACCAATAACACTATGGTGGCATCGGCATCATCGACATTCTTTTTGGTGCGTGCTTTGTACGATCCCTCGGCGGTGAGGCCATAGACTCGTCGGAGGTCCACGTTCGCTCCCATTTCGGTCTGGAAGCCCTCTGAGGCAGTTCCTCCCGTCTCGAGCCCAACCGCCTTGGCAGCGATCAAGGCAGCCAAATCGGCTCCTGTTTGACCGCCCGATATTATTTTCAAGGGCGCTGTTGTTATTGTTGTTGCCATGGTTCTATCCATCTTTTTCGAGTGTTGCGATTTCTTTCGTTTCTTCATGCTGAGCGAACGGTTTGTTATAAGGCGTTTCGTCTTCGTGTTGGTTTTGGGTGTCGAGCTCAGACGTGTGTTTAACGCGAGCCAAACGTGGTTTTTATTAATAAAGAGCCATCAAGGCTGCGAAAAGCTGATAAACATACCAAGTCCAAGGCAAGGCTTGGCGATGTTCCAAGTTCCAAGCGAACTGCTTCCAAAAAACATCGATCCCTTGGCTTCGCAAAGATGTCATTAGTTTATTGTCCTGCATGTAGTGATGTTTACAGTATCATCGAAGAGCCAAGGAACGTGATGTCTTCACTAGCTAGCTATCACCGATACCATTGACGCTTACAGCTGAAATTAGAATGAAGTTTTCGATTTTCTCCATTGGTGATTTGCTGTCTTTCCGAGGGGCATTCCGTTTGGACAACAGTCAGCCATATGGAATATCCAGCTTGGATTATGCCATTGGCACAATGGCGTTCCATCCTACTCGCAATTCGCTGTTTATTGCAGGACACGATCACCACAGAGCGATTGCCGAGTATTCCGTGATGGAAGATCTGGACTTCTACGATCAAGACAGCAACAACAACCCGCACCCATCCGTGCAAGACCTCCCGGTCACGCCACCTCCACTTCAGGCGTTTGTCTACGCCTTTGAAGGTTTGGATAATCGTCATGATATCAATCGAATCACTGGCATGATGGTGGTCGATGATGTTTTGTTTGTAAATGCGGAGAATTGGTATGATGCCTCGTTGGACGAATGGACGGTAACTCGAGATACCAGTCTTTACTTTCCCATGGCTTCCAACCTGAGCGCCGCAGCTCCAGTTGGTTTCTTTCAACTAGAAGGAGGTTCCCAAGCGGCAGGGTATATGGGACGAATTCCGTCGCCTCTTCAACCCTTGTTCAACGATTCAAAATTCTTTACCGGTTGGTCCAGTGTCTATTCCATCCTGTCCAGATATTCACAGGGCCCTTCATTGTGGACGTTTGAACCGCAGGAAATGATAGAAAGGGAAAACGGAAGCAGCAGCATCATGGATCGCAAAGAGAATTCAACAATCATCGCAGCAACGCCGTATATGAATTATCCCTACTCCCACAATGATCCATCCAAGTGGCTGTCAGAGCGTGCCACGGAATGGGTCGAACCAGAGGATCATCAACCCACCGGGAATTTGTCGGCGCCACCTGCGGATCCCTTGTGGAACCCTCTCAGTGAAGCGCGCTACGCTTTTTTTGTGCAAGATGAAATCTTTTGTGTGATTGGCATCACAGCTGGGTTGGAATCGGGCATTGGCTACAAGGTCATTCAGGAGAACGGGCACGAATGTGGTGGTCCTTGTCCTTTTGTATCAGACGACTGGTACAATTACTACTGGTTGTACCACGTCCAGGAGATTGTGAATGCTTCCTTTGTGTGGGACCCACGACCCTTTGCGTACGGTGTTTGGGAGCTGCCGTATTATGTGACGGTTCCTTCCGAACATCGCATCATTGGTGGGACCGTAGACGAGGAACGAGGCATCTTGTTTGTGGCCCTGGCGAATGCGGGCAAATTGGATGAATATGATCAGCCACCGCTTATCTTGATGTTCGATATTTTGGAAGCAAACCAAACCAAGGCCAGATGAACAGCGGGCTAGGCAGGCAACCAGCAGCAAACTCTGAGCACCTTTTTAGAACATGAAGCACATGTTGTGACTCGGAGGGTCAAACGTCTCGTTTCGTAAAATCGTGTATTGCCTTCTGTAGCAAGTAAAGATGTTTGAACTAAGAGGCCGCCGCTGGGAAGTCTTGATAATACCGGTACTGCATTAACGAAGCTGAGTGCAAGAGGGATGGTCGGAGCCAACGGTCGCATTGCTGCTCTTGACCACGGTGTCCTTGAACGGGATCACATCGTACCGTACGGTAGAGTGAACAAGGAGTAATTAGAGTTGACAAACTGCCACACAAGAAATCCGCCTAATCTAAGCCCCCTGGCAGCCATTGCTGTGCCAATGGCTTTCCACTTCATGCTTGTGTCATCAAGTATGGCGCCGGTGAGGCATGCTTCTATTGGTAAAGAGCAGGATCTGATTGAGAAGAACAGCTAGCTAACTACGGTATGGTACAGTATGGTAATAATAGTGCAATGCGCTATTATGTAGAGTTTCAACAAAGAGGACTACCTGAACAAGTAGCCACGGCACAAATGATATCCCATCTAGTGGCCCCAACCTGAGAACTGTCCCAACCTGAGAATCGCCCCGAGAAACTTGTGTCATCAAATTCATTTCACAGTAGGTCTGTCTATTTGACAGCCTAGCAGTCGCAATCCCAACCAACATTCATCCTCTTCCATGTTCAGAGTGTGTTGTTGGTGTTTCCATCGTTTGCGTCTTGGTTTGCGGCACGGTTGCTGGCGTCTTCAAAAAAACTAACAACGAAGGCATCGACAGCCTCCTGTATAGCCAGCACCACTGCTGGTGGGATCCTGTAAGAATGAACAATGGATAGGGTTTGCTGTGAGTTTGCGGATGATGTGTCATGATGGTGGAAATATCATCCAAAGCAACAATCCGGTACCAGTACTGACCCGTGATGAGTTGAGGTAGCCTTCAGTTGCGCAGCCCGTCGTTGGGCAGCCCGTCGTTCTAGGTCCTCGAGCATGCGAGCACGCAACAACGGTGCATTTTGTATCGCCTCGAGAACACGAGCACGAACCGATCGATTGTCGCTGCGGCGAACGGGACGACGAACCAATCTGCGGGGCGCAGCTGGATTCTTCGAGGAGTGTTTGTTTGGTTGGGAGCTGCATGTGGGGTTGAGGGTAAAGCGAGAAAAGAAGGATGGTGGTTAGGTTCATTCATCCAAAGGCTCAGAGTAGCTCTGCTGCGGCATCTCGTGCTACCCGAACCGGTGGAGATTAACAAACAAAGGGATGCCATCTCTGGCTGGCAAAAATTGAACTCACCGACACATTGCTTGAGTACTCGCTAGTAGTTAGGTTGAGGTACGGGAGACAAAGGTTGATGGCAGTCAAGTTTGTTTTGCTCTCTCGGAGGGATTGTGAGAGCTTGTGTTGTGAATGTTGTGTTTGATGGATGGATTCTTCTTCGGGCTTGGCAAAGCAAGGCCGGCAGGGGGCACCAATGCCAACGGCTATAAAAAGGGCCAAAAAGGGCGCGACACTGCAACCGGTACGGTAGAGTAAAGGTTACCTGGAGTGAGTGTCAATCACGATAATGACGTCATCTCATCCAAGTACATGTACATGTATGTAGTGTCTCAATTTTGGCTCGAAGAAAACAAATAATGAAGAACTCCAGCTGCCCTATTCGTCATTCTCAATTCTCAAGCTGCTCGGTGTGTCGGTGTGTCGGTGTGTCGACGATCTTCTGTACAGTAGTATTAAGTACAGTGTACAAGTAGTTAGAACATGACATATGACATTGTAGAGAGCCCAACAACTGAGCAGTCTCCCATGGAGATACAAGGAATGCTCCAAGCCAAAGCTACCCCACATAATACAGGTTTCATTGAAATCCAAAAGTCATGTCAACTCCAAGCTCCCTCAAGCGGTATCTCATTGCACTATCGTCCTCCCAAGAGGAACAGAATGACAAGAATGGTCCACTAGTCGAGTGGATTGGGGTCCACCAACACACTCTGGCCAAGAATTGTTCTCTCTGGACATCACCCGACGTTTTTCGTCAGCTCCAAGATGACGACAAGAAAACCCCATTGTTAGAAGTGGAGACTCTATGGGAGGATGCGGGATGCAACTCTGTATCAGATCTGTTGGTTGCCTCCAAGATTCTTGCCTCGTCCGATGACATTCTCGGTGTGGTTTGGATTCCTCCTCCGGACGATACGACAGCACTCCACAATCTGGTACGAGCCTGTTCGTTTGCCAATATACCCTTGGCACTCAACCTAGCATCGGCCCAACTCTTGCCAAAGGCCTTGTTCCGAAGGATGGCTATTTTGATTTTCAATCCAGCTGCCGGACAACGTCCCCCACAGCAGGATATGCAAGAAATACAATCTATTCTTCAATCTGCCTTTGACTTGCGAGTCGTCTACACGGAACAGGACAAGGACGTCTCGGAACAAGCCAAAGAAATCCTAGCATGGATACAAGCCAAGTATGGCAATACTAATAGTCATGACGATAACAACAACAACAATCCAACACCCGCTCCCATCCTTCTAGCCAGTGGAGGCGATGGCACTGTTTCGGCCATTGCTGGAGCCACCATTGACTCGGGTATTACGGTGGGAATCATACCCCGAGGTACAGCCAATGCCTTTAGCGTCGCATTGGGCATTCCCACAGATGTCCAAGGAGCCTGCCAAACCATTGTCCACGGTGCCAAGAGGCAAGTGGATGGAGCGACAGTCTCCTTCAACAACACTACCACCAACGACGACGAGTCCAACACAGAAATTTCCTGGATCAACCATGGTGGTTTGGGCTTTGAGGCAGGCCTGGTAGGGAACACCACACGCGAACTCAAGGATACCTTTGGCAATTTTGGATACACCATCGGTGCTGTCCAACAGGTACTGAATCAAAAACCATTCCAGTGTACCTTTCAGCTAGACGATGATCCCGCATCTCAAAAATCCATTCAAACCACAGTGGTAACAATCAGCAATGTCGATGCTCCATCCAGTATCTTTGCGCAGGGGTTTGGAAAGGTCATTCCAGACGATGGTTTGTTTGAAGTAACCATTGCCGTCATTGAGCACGAATTGGATGCAATAGAGGGAATAGTGGCGTTGGCCATTAATACCTGGATCAAAGACAGCGTGGGATCCCCCAAGCTGCTCTGTTTGCGCTGTCGCAAATTCCAAGTCTCGTGCAGTCCCGCGCAAAAGTTGCTCTTGGATGGAGAAGTCCTGGAAGTGGATGAACGACCAGTGGTCTTTGAATGCAAACCCAAGGGTCTGAACGTTGTGGTTCCAATGTCAGATACTACTTCAAGTAATACTAATGAAAGTGGATGATTTATTTGATCAGAGCGCTGGCAATTGGTGCCACAAGGGCACAAATAAATGATGGCGCAACAGCATACCGGTGCTGTTCCGGCTGCTTCTGTGGCTATACATCGTCCTACCTGGAGTTCCCTCAAACGCAGACCCACGTCATCGAACCCACTCCTGCTGTCAATGAAGCTCACTTAGCTACAGTCAATGGTTGTGCTGTTGTGCTATCGGATTGGATCAGTAAACTCGCGCCATAAAGGAGACTCGCTCGTGAACGTCTGCAACATCGGAACTAGCTAGCTAGCTAGCGATGAATTGCATTAATCTATCTCTCCAAGAAGCTCACACATTCATAAGCTGCAATGCATTTCAAGACTCCAGGATTACATCACAGGTGAATGTGAACGAGGAATCAATAGCTGCTCCCACAACTAACTTTCTCGCGCATTGCTCCTAACGTTGAAAACGATATCTAGATCATTGGAGCCAGATTTTTGTGCCAGCAGTTGACTTTGGGCTTGGTAGCTAAACTGAGTAGCTGAACTGGCTACCTCGTCGCAGCGAAGAACAGCAGCTGATGATAAAGCATTGACAAAGAGGCTATCTGTCAAGAGTGGACTGCATATTTGTGGGAGTGGAGGACAGGACGAGGCGAGCGAAGCCACAAGGCTGTCACGGGACTGACGTAACTCATTTTTTGCCTGATGCCAATGGATACTGGGCACTGGGCACCCAGACAAGGCCACGGACCCACAGCATCAGCGTGAAGCATCTCTCGCCACAGTCCTTGTAGGGTACGGTATCTTCTGCAGCACAACTTAACCATTGGAAACCAGGAGAATGTGGCGCGTCCCACCAGTAATGCTAGTATGGGGGGTATCAGTGACCTGCACAGGCTTCGCCTTGAAGCCTCGCAGAATAGAACCATCCATCCAAAGTAGATGGTCCAACCGACGAGATGATGGCTTTCTTTCTCCAAACATCATTCGACATAATCCACTCGTGAATACCCACTATAATACTGTGGATCCTGTCAGAATACCGCGAGGAGGTGCCATTGACTCCAAGAGCCTCCGAAGAGAGGAAGAAGAGGATAATGAAATCTTGGTATCACCACAAGAAGCACGGAGACGGCGTGGCATGGGAGCAGCTCTGGCTGCTACGTACTTTACCGTCATGGCCAGCAAATGTGCCTTACCGGCTGTACTGGGACAATTAACCTCTTTGGAAGTTGGATTAAAGTTCGCAACAACTAGCACCAAACCAATCGCCACAAAGACACCTCAGGTACTCATGGCTCAGTTATTGGCCGTATCCACCATTGCCATTGCTGCTGGAAAGTTGTTTTTGGGTCCAGTGATTGATCACTTTGGAGGTGTCTTTTCGCTCAAAGTGGCGTTGACGTCACTGGCACTCTTGTTAGGGACTATTTCAGTATCGGATTCCTTTCGAGTTTTCTCCATCTGCTGGGTCATTGTCGATTTCATCTTCTCGTCCTGCTGGGCAGCCTGCATCAATGCTATTCATCAGAATTTCCCAGAACAAGAATGGACTAACCGTATTGGTATACTGGCAGCTGCTGCTCGTACGGGTAACGCGGCAGCCTTTGCCTTCTTTGCATCCTTGCTGGCAGTGGCTTCCAAAGAGATGACTCAACCATGGAGAATAGTATTTGCCTCATCAGCTCTGATACAAGGGATCCCCATTGCCTTATTGATGTACTTTGGAAGTATGAAACGAAACGTTACAACATCGAATTCTACAACGGCAACAACACCGAAATCCAAACGACAAGTCGACAACAAAGTGGAAGATGAGGAACAGACAAAGCGTGTCATTGCCACTCCTCTGGCAACTCTACGGAGAGAAGCCAAGACACCCATATTTTGGTTGCATCTGGTGTCTCGCTCTCTTCTCATGGTCTTTGCCAGCTTTTTGCTCTTTGTACCTCTACTCATGAACCAAGCCTACGGCGCCTCCTCTGCCACGGCTGCCCAGGTGGGGTCTTTGTATGCTCTCGGCTGTCTCTTATCCGTCTCCCTTGGTTCCAACCTCTACGCCAAACTAAGCAGCAACAAGCACAAGGCCTTATCGATTGCCGTCATGCTGGGCATGGCCACCATAGCGTCGGTGGCACAGTGGGGACACATGGCGGGTGTTTGGCACCTCTCCTTGTCAGCGAGTGCTGCGTTCCTATTCCTCTGGGGTTTCTCCTTTGCAATCCCGTTCTATATCCCACCATCGCTATATGCATTGGAAAGAGGAGGAGTGGAATCTTCCGCCACTATTGCTGATGTTTTTGATGTTGGAGGTTTTGGTCTGTTGGCTATGTTCAATGGCTATGTGGCAGGAATCCAACACAGCAAGATCGCCGCTTGGATACCCACATTCTTTTTGACAACAATTTGCTCGGCCGTTGCCATGGTTTGCTTAGTTCTAGCAACACTGTTGGAGGAACCTAAGGACTAGCTAGCGAGTGAACGTTTTCACTACAAAGAAAGCGTTGCTGACTTGCACTCGAAAGATTTTCCTTTCTGATTCACCGCTGTTGCACAATCCGTTTGAGTTTGGCAGTATTTTAGTGTCGCTGGTGCCCAGTAGCTTGTTTTTGGTTTAATGTCCCCTCCAAAACTGTCACTATTTGAGCCACACTCTACATCGGTTCTTTCCCAACTCTATAGGTGACGTCAAGAGCATTGTGAAGAGTGCAGAACTTTGTCCAACCCTGTGGAAGTGAGGACAGCATAAGATGATGTATTCAGACCTCCGACGCTTTGTCGGTACGGTACCAGCCATTATGCCTCGTCTTCGGTCTCTAGTTTGAACGAGTCTAGGATCAAGGTGGCGTCTCTCCTGACTTTGGACTTTTCTCCCACAAGCCACACAAAGCCAGCGCACGAAGTTATGTCCGTCGTTTCCTGGACATGGTCTCCTACCTTTGCTAGCCAAAAATGAGAATGGAGTGTTTCTATTGGATTGTCTGCTTTGCCAGTATCATCCAAGATGGAATTTCGTTCCTTGATTCGACCAGCTTTCTCCACGGGAAGAAACATGTGGTAGACATGCAACGGAGGAGAGGACAGTGTCGTGTCGTCAAGTTCACCCAAATGAGACTGGATCAAGGCCTCGAATGGATCCCACTGATTCTGGTAGGCAGCCTGTGTCATGATGGCTTTTCGCCCTCCCGACAGCCGGGCCCCGATCTCCATCATGACCGGATGTGTGTAGATGATGTCTTTGGGGTTGGATATTTGCTTGGCCTTGATTTCAACATGAGCAGCGCCATATTCAATCCCCACAGCTCTGGCTACCCCCTTGGCATAATCACAGATTTCCTTCAACGTGGGATCATTGGGGTCGCACATTTCAGCTCCATTGTATCGTGCTGTGTTTGTCTTGTCGTATACCCATACATCTGTTACAATCAAGCCTGCTGCACCGGTCTGGTTCTTCCTACTGGCCAAAAGGTTGACAGCAAACTCGGTCCCGCCAATGTATTCTTCCAGCAGGGCACATGGAGCAGCCCTCCCATCAGGTCCTTGGTTGTCGAATATGTTTGTCAAGGCGGTACGAGCATCGTCTAAATTGGTACAAATGTATACATCTTTCGTGGAGAAGCCCTGTGGAGTTTTGATCACTACTGGATATTCCAACGACAATGCATCCATCTTGGCTTCCAGGTCTCGTTGTGCATTCTTCCCAATCCGTGCAAACTTGGCAACTTGCAGGCCACTCTGTTTTGCAACAGCTTGCTTCATGAACCCCTTGTCACGTCGACAGAGAACCGAGTCGAGTGGATTGTGGTTGGTCAATCCAAGCATGGCGGAAATCGTGTCGGAGAAATCAACTCCCGTTTCCGACAATGGAATCATTGCTCTGATGCTTAGACTTTCTATATCCTTATCGGTCTGCAGCTCTTCTACGGCAAGCATCAAGGCCTGTACGCAGGAAAATACATCTCGATCTTGTCGATCCAACGCTCGACTGGCTCCAGCATCTTCCAGCATGGATGTCGTTGGAAAAAAGGCACGCATAGCTTCTGGAATGGGAGATAGCTGGACGCCAATGACGAGATACCCCAGTCTTACTGCAGCATCCAACACAGCCTTCCATTCCGTGACAGGATCCAAGAGAACAATCACCCCTCGGGGATTATTGCATTGATCTGCCATGGTTAAGGGCCTTTGCTGCCTGTATCGTGTTCGGGATGAACCAATACTCGAACAAAAAGCCAAATGGGCCACAGTATGAAAGACACACAAGACTGTAACAAAGAATTGGACAGCTAGCAATCTCATGGTGACGGTTGTCCATGCTAAGTTTGGATGTTTGGATTGCACAGGACTATTTCTAACAAATTTTAAGAAAGACAGTTTCCTGAAAGATACTTAATTGTTGAAAGATAAAGCATTAACCAGATGAAACCAAATTTAGATTAATCATAAATAGAGCTACAAAATCTAACCTCTTTAGAGCAGCTCCTAAATCTTTCACTGCATGAGAAAAAGCTGCACCACTGTCCATACTAAATTTGAAGTACGGATACCGGTACCACCACTCTGCCTACTAGCTAGCTATCATAGCTTAGCCCCACCTCTTTCCTTAACGTATCTATTCTGTCCATACTGTAGTCCGCAGTGGATAGGTAGCGGAACACTGAGCGAAGGGGAGAAGCTGTGGTTGTGGCCGATACTTCTATTGGAGATCTCCAGACTTTGTACTTTCCCTCTGCTCTTGACGGCAAAACTTTGTGGGTCATGACTTCCATGGAGAGTGTGGCCTATTCTTTCTAAATGGTTCATCCCTCTTTATATGCTAGAATATCCCCCTCAAACCTTTTTGAGTATTGAAGTGGATGCAGCTGACAAGAAACGCACTATAAGAAGTTCACGAATGGCTTGGGTCTTCCTTGTCTTCGTGAGGAGGTCACCGAGGACTTGGTGCCAAGGATGACTTTGGAGACAGCGATGAGCTCCTGGAAAATAATCGCGCTAGCCAGCACCCAGATTGTCACTAAGAAGGATTTGCTATCGATTCTTCGGACAGCACAGGATGTGCTGGGGGATGCACTACTGGAGCTTGGTCGGCAGCTATCTACCTACGTCCACCCATCAGAACTCATGGAAAACCAGCACTTTCTCCTTTAGCAACACTGAACCTGGCTACAGTTGGCATCGATAGAAAAGAGTGCTCTTGTGCTCCTATCACACAACCCCAACGGTATCATTCCCGTGATGGACGTCTCGGACACGTCCAAGTGTTGCAAGTGCTCCAGTGTGGAAAGCACTTGTGGTATGGAGCCTGAAATGGCCATGTTTCCCGACAGATCCAATCCAGTCAGTGCCGTCAACAACGCCAAGTCAGTGGGAATGCTTCCCGCATACGCATTATGGCCCAACCCCAGAAATTGAAGTTTGGTGTTGGTGTGCAGCTCAGTGGTGGGTAGCGTGCCTGCGTTTCGGTTCTGAGTGAGATTGAGAATCTCCAAATTGGGATACTGTTGAAGCCATTTCAAGCTAGGAAACACCAATAGATTTCTATCCAACTTGACAATCTTGCGTTCGGGAAAGTATATTCCACCATCGGTAGTGATGGGCGGTGGAGATAGCTCATTGGGCACTTTTCCAATACTGTTATTGGAGAGAATGATGACTTCTGCCTTGTTGGCGTGTACCACATGTGGCATGGGTCCTGAGATGTCATTGTGCGAATAGTCCAAGTACCGAACAGTCTCCAACTGCACTTCAATGGGCAAAGTACCACGTAGGTTATTGGCCTTGAGGTCTTGTACTACCAAGCGTTCTTCCTCACAGGGTTGTTCGTTGTTTGAGTACCATTGGCATTCATGGACGTCATGCGATAGCCAATGGTTGTTTCGGTACCAGTTATCTCCTTCCATAGAGAAGTACATGTATTGCAATACCATGGAGAACCTTTGGATTTGCCGCCAACGTGGGTAGGACTCTAAAAAGATAGGATCGTTCCACATCCATTCGTTGGCTTTGTACTGAGGGCTACTGGGATCTTCCCGGATCGCCTTGAGGGTAGAAGGGTAAAGATGGTCATCAAATGGCGGATATCTCTGACGCTCCCCGTAGGTTGGTTGAGACGTAGATTGTTTCCTGGGTTCTGCTGCAGCAGCTGGTTCTGCTTGGTCTGGTCGGATCGAAACCACCAAAGCAATCAGAGCAACGAGAATGACAACAGCAGCAATCCCAAGAATCACAACGCCTGGCCCTGTCTTTTCTCTTGGTTTCCGTTCTGGTAGCGCCCTGACGTCCATGGCTTCTTCCAAGGACTCCATGAGTGCCTCAGAGGACTTTTGTCGAGGAAGGGTCCTTTCTTCGTCTTCTCCTACCACACTTGCCTCGAAAGGTACACGGAGAGACACAGTATTCTCATTGTTGATCCTCCGACTCAATTCCCCGTCATCGGGATCGTTGGAAGCAGTCGAGAGGGAACAATCCGATGCGCTTCTGGTATCCTCTGCCTGAATTCCTGGAATTGAGTAGGCCCCGGGTGCCGCATGACGCCGTCCCGGCGACAATGCAGGTGGCGAAGGGACCACACTCTCGCTAGGACTGCCTTCTGTGATACCAGTGTTATCTTTTGTGAAAGAGTCAGCCTCAACAGCATTTTTGGCACGACTTTCAGGTAGCGCCAAAGCATGGCCGTTCATCTCGCCTTCGTCGTCACCGGTCAAGGCAAGAATGCGCTTGGCATGGCCCTGAACCTCAGGGTCCACATACACTAGGCCTGCTGCTTCTTCTGCTTCTTCTGTACCCGTCTTCATCATGTTGGATATTCCAGATATGCTCAGTTTGGTGTGAGTGAACTTGTGAGTGCCTCTTTCTGAAAAGGGGAAAGACACGCGAAAGACCCCAAGAAACGCGATGGGTTCTGGAAGACAGTTTTAGATTGGTAGTTGCGGTAAGGTTAGGGTTAAAGTTAATGTTTACTTCTCATTTTTGTATAGAAAACTTTATTTACCGCAGCTACCGATACCTGATTTCCAAAGTTGTCTTCCTGTGCTTCTCAATTGTCGTTGTGCCAGTTCGGTGTGTCGCTGAAGTACTGTACCGGTAGCTGGCTAGGCTACCGGTACCGGTAGCTCTAGCTAGCGCTAGGTACCGGTACCGCTGCTCCTATGGAGATCCAGAGCTCGGAGAATAGACTGCACTATCCGGTACCGGTAGCTAGCTAGTTCCAGTCATCACTGCACGCCATGGCAGAGTGTTCGAGGTCTTTTGTGCAACTGCTCATCATAGCTGTGATGAGTTGATACAGGATTACTCGCCGCCAAGCTTCGTGTACCGTCAAAGGTTTGGCTGGGCATTATTTGGGCAGCGGTAGAAATGTTTCGCTTGAGTACAGTATGCATGGTACTCTACTTTTCGGCATGACAGACCTTGGCCGGCAAGTTGTGACGGCAGGCACTCTCATGGAGATGGCTGCTTCCGGGTGTCAATCAAACGGTTGCTTTCAAGAGGGGCAGCTTTCTGTATGTTGACACAAAGTTATCATTTCACAGGTGGAGCAGCGTTTGCTACTCCTTGTTGTGATGAATTCTACTAGACGAGGGCAGCTCATGCCCGTGGACGACTGTCTGTTTCGTAAATCAGCCAATAAACGATTGTGTGTGATGACTATGATATATATAATAAGTATTCTGCTACTAGCTGACTTTGTTGGTTGCTCTTGCGACTCTGGCTTTTACCTGGCCCAGCAATTGGATTGGAATAACTTGGCAAGTCAGCCTCAACCAAAAGGGGAAATCAATGTATTGTAGCTCTGTTTTTTCTGTTTTTGTGTGTGTGTGCATTCAAGTATGTGTTTGTGATGTCTGTCTGTCATTCATGTTTCAATTAATTGTCTTCACCAATGAACCAATTCTTCTTGTCAAAAATCCTCATGTAATCTTCGGTTTTCATGACTTTTCGCAGATTCCAAATACTGGCCACGACATCTCGATCGGCGAGTTGTTGCGACGCCAGAGAGTATACATCGGCATTTTCCTCCATTTCATTGTCAAATACTTCGGACAAGGGCCTTATTTCCCATTCTTCCTGTTCGGACATGGCAGCCATTTTTTCTCCATCGGCCGTGATAAGACCCGTGCTTTCGTCTCGTGCCTTGATGACCCGTTCTCGCCGCCGTTGGGGATCCGTATTGGCAGTGGCCTTTTTGGCAGCAAAAAAGGGGAGATTACTACTACTGGTAGTAGTAGTGGATGATGATTCCTCAGTGGCAGCAGCAGCAGCAGCAGCAGCAGCAGCAGTTTGTTGATTCTGTTCCAACTTTTGTTTGGATTTCTCTAGTACCGCCTTGGCCCGTGCTAATCGTCGCTTGACTTCTTCTTCTGGATCATATGCCTTGGTAGTGTAGTCGTCCGTACCACCGGCCGCTTGTAGTAAGAAGAACGTGTTCATCTGATGATACTGACAATGATAATGATGATGATGATGAGTGATGGGTTGTGCTTGCAAAAACGAGTTTGCCAAGGGAACCCTGTCAAACATAGCCACAGCAAAGGCAACGAGACATAATCGGTACATGGATGGCGGTATCCACAAGGAAGAGGATGTATGGTCGTCGTCGTCGTGACTGCGATGTTGATTTGTTGATCCCTGATGATATCTCATGGTTCCTTTCCTTCTTTCTTTCCAAAAGAGAGGTAGATTTCTTTCGTCTTTTTCCAGTTCTCTGTTCTATGGCAGTATCTTGCTAACTACCGGTAGCAATCTAATAGAGTAAGTAGACTAAGTAAAGGAGAGAAGAACAGATCCGTGCGGAACACGCGTATGCAAGTCAAATGGCAAGGAAGAATCGAATCCTCACTTTATTAGCAAAGCAACAAGAAGTACTGTACATGTGGACAAAGTACGATGTAGTGATGGCAACCTGTCCTCCCTTCTCGTTGTTGGTTGGTGTGATGGTGATCAGTAAGGGAGGGCCTCTCGCTGACGTACGAAGAAATTGATTACGTCATTATCGGGTTTCAATCAAAAGATAACCCTCACTAAGGTTAATCGAAACGCACACAAAAGAACAGACAGCCGAAGGCTGATGCCCTCAACTGTCAAAAAAGAGATTTGATTCTTTGGCCAAATCCAACACTGTGTTCAACTGAACACACAGTCTACTGTAGTCTATCGATAGCCAACCAAAACACACACATTGGTACTCGGAGTATGTTTTACCAGCTAACAATTAATATTTACCTCATCCTTTATGACGGACGTACAGACTAACTTGCACACATACTCTGGTACTCGGAGTATGTTTTACCTGCTAACAATTATTATTTACCCCATCCTTTATGGCGGACGTACATACTAACTTGCACACACACATAGTTTGGTACTCGGAGTATATTTTACCAACTAACAATTATTATTTACCCCATCCTTTATGCCGGACGTACACACTAACCAGCACACACAGAGACGTACAGACTAAGAAGAACAGGCAGCCGGAGGCTGAAGCCCCCACCTGGAAATTAAGAAAATATTCAGCTATTACAGGGGCCTCAACGCCTCAACGCTTCACAAAGAAATCAATACATGTAGACATTCAAAAGTAAAGAGATGGAGAGACTAACTCGTCTATTGAACAGGCTACTAAGAGTTTCCGTGATGGTAAGCGAGAGGCCGACAGACTCAGGAAGAGAGTAATACGTGCAAAACAGTCAAAAGAAAAGAAGGATGCTATAAAGGCGGCCACTAGAGAAAGAGTTCAAAAGCTTCGAGAGAGACGTCGACAAGCAAACGATACCTCTGAGCTAAATGCAAACTGGAAAAGAATGCGAGAGAAGCGTGCGCAGCAAACAAATGAACAGCACGAGGCTGACAAACAAAAAGCTAAGGAAGGCATGCAAAAAATGCGAAGTAGACGTGAGAAACAAGAGAAGAATCACCCCTTTGTTCTGAAAAAAAGAAAAGAATTTAAAGAAGCAGCAAAAAACAAAAATTGGAAGGAAACTGATATTGGCTTTAAAAAATGGATGGCATCCCAAGAAGATAAATTAGACTGCCTTGCAGAAGATTATCGCAATCAACCAGGAGTTATGTTCAGAAGACATGCTCGAAAATATGATTATCGAAAGAAAAACAATCCTCGTGGTACTATGGTAGATGACCATGGATTCAGAGCTTTTTTTGGCAGGGTTTCTGCAAGCACAACCACAAGCACAACCACAAATGAAAACAACAGTACTGATGAGAAAGAAGCATTTGCAAAAATGGCAATGAAATACACCCAGTATTATTATCAATGGAAAGCTCAAGCTGAGGCACATGAAAAACACCTTCAAAGATCACTTTCCCTAAGCTCATCTGATCGCATTGAAGCTCAAAAGCAAATTGATTGGTTTAAGTATTGGGCCGATCTTTCTAGTCGGGCAGCTCATTATTATTTCCACTCAAATTCAGACTCAGAGCTGTTGTTCCAGTTACCACCGGCACCCCACACCTCTAGGGCAGAACAAGAACACTGGCAGCATCAATACAATACTATAAAATAGTCAATTTATTGTTTAAAAGTCTCTGTGTTAGCTTGAAAGAAGTTCTTTTGCTGAGAAAATAGCTTTCTATTAGTTCAGAGCTAAATATTAAATCAATTTCATTGTTAGCTTACATCTAATTTCTAACTAGCTTCCATGCTGCAGCTGATACTGTGTCCAACAAAACACAGCCTCTTAATTTTATGTGTTGGCTTAAATCTCAATCTCAGTTCCGGTTTCAAGCTACTGTGTTCAGTTGGACACAGTCTCTCGATTTTTGCTATTGTGTTTAACTGAACACTATTTAAAGCTACTGTGTCCAACTGAACACAGTCTCTCAATTTTACCTAACTGTGTCCAACTAAACACAGCTCCATACAAGGGAAACTTCCCCTTATGTGACGGACGTACACACTAACCAGCACACACAGAGACGTACACACTAACTAGCACACACACACACCTACCGATAAAAGTTGGAAGGACCCCCAGTCTGGTGGGGGCAACAGGCAGCCGGAGGCTGAAGCCCCCACCTGGATTTTAAGAAAATATCCAGCTATTACAGGGGCCTCAACGCCTCAACGCTTCACAAAGAAATCAATACATGTAGACATTCAAAAGTAAAGAGATGGAAGAGACTAACTCATCTATGGAACAGGCTAAGAGTTTCCGTGATGGTAAGCGAGAGGCCGACAGACTCAGGAAGAGAGTAATACGTGCAAAACAGTCAAAAGAAGAGAAGGATGATATAAAGGCGGCCACTAGAGAAAGAGTTCAAAAGCTTCGAGAGAGACGTCGACAAGCAAACGATACCTCTGAGCTAAATGCAAACTGGAAAAGAATGCGAGAGAAGCGTGTGCAGCAAACAAATGAACAGCACGAGGCTGACAAACAGAAAGCTAAGGAAGGCATGCAAAAATTGCGAAGTAGACGTGAGAAACAAGAGAAGAATCACCCCTTTGTTCTGAAAAAAAGAAAAGAATTTAAAGAAGCAGCAAAAAACAAACATTGGAAGGAAACTGATATTGGCTTTAAAAAATGGATGGCATCCCAAGAAGATGAACTAGACTGCCTTGCAGAAGATTATCGCAATCAACCAGGAGTTATGTTCAGAAGACATGCTCGAAAATATGATTATCGAAAGGAAAACAATCCTCGTGATACTATGGTAGATGACCATGGATTCAGAGCTTTTTTTGGCAGGGTTTCTGCAAGCACAAGCACAAGCACAAGCACAAGCACAACCACAACCACAACCACAACCACAACCACTAATGAAAACAACAGTACTGATGAGAAAGAAGCATTTGCAAAAATGGCAATGAAATACACCCAGTATTATTATCAATGGAAAGCTCAAGCTGAGGCACAGGAAAAACATCTTCAAAGATCACTTTCTTTAAGCTCATATGATCGCAGTGAAGCTCAAAAGCAAATTGATTGGTTTAAGTATTGGGCTGATGTTTCTAGTCGGGCAGCTCATTATTATTTCCACTCAAATTCAGACTCAGAGCTGTTGTTCCAGTTACCACCAGCACCGCACGCCTCTAGGGCAGAACAAGAACACTGGCAGCATCAATACAGCTGAGAAAATAGCTTTCTATTAGTTCGGAGCTAAATATCAAATCAATTTCATTGTTAGCTTACATCTAATTTCTACCTAGCTTCCATGAGCACTGCAGCTGGTACTGTGTCCAACAAAACACAGCTTCTTAATTTTATGTGTTGGCTTATATCTCAATCTCAGTTCTGGTTTCAAGCTACTGTGTTCAGTTGGACACAGTCTCTCGATTTTTGCTATTGTGTTTAACTGAACACTGTTTAAAGCTACTGTGTCCAACTGAACACAGTCTCTCAATTTTACCTAACTGTGTCAAACTAAACACAGCTCCATACAAGGGAAACTTCCCCTTATGTGACGGACGTACACACTAACCAGCACACAAAGAGACGTACACACTAACTAGCACACACACACACCTGCGATAAAAGTGTGAAAGACCCTCAGTCGGTCGAGGGCAAGATCGCTCTTTGCTGTCAGCGGCCAAAAAGACAAAGGCAACAAACCAACGACCAACAACAACCAGTCTACTAGCTAGCTACTGCACTAGCTAGTGTTGTGTTTATTTGATAGTACGATACCATGGCAGACCCAGCAGCAGTAGTACCAGTAGGAAACGAAGGGGAGAGCGATGAAGAACGCCGTCGCCGTGAACAAGAAGAGGCGATGGAGCGTCTGTTGTTGCAACAAGAGCAAGAGCAAGCATGGCAAGACAACCTCCTCCAAGACAACGACGACGACCATGCGCCACATGACCATCATCACGAGGATCATCCGGAACCACCGGCCATGATGAATAATAATGACAACAACAACAACAACCATGACATGATGCCTCCTCCTCAATCATCATCCAGTAGTCCAGGATTATTGCGCAGTTTGTCGTATACACAAACGTCGTTATTCGCGGCACTGCTGTTGGTGTTTTATGCGCTGCGGACGCGTCAACAATGGTACTTGGCACTGGTCTACATTCGATCCAGCAAGGCCGCCTATATTATTTTGGCGAATGCATTGATTGCCACGTGTGTCGGTGTCTTTCGCGCCGTTACCAAAACCTTTTTGGGAGGATTGCGATTGCACGAAGCCGAAGGCGTTGGAGATTTCTTTCGTTGGAATGTCACCGAGACGTGTTTGGCATTGACCATGTTTCGCAGTGAATTGACCGTTTCCAATGGCATTCTATTCCTCATTCTCGTACTCGCAAAGTGTCTGCATTGGGTCGCTGATCTACGAGAAGGACATTTGCGCGTCACGGAAGAATCCATTGTGGTGGGGGCACCCGGTTCCATCTGGCAAGGATGGCCCGTACTTCAGTGGCAACATGCCAAATTGTGGTTCTTGCTCATTCTATTGCAAGTACTCGACATTTTCGCCGTACAGTGGACGGGAAATGATATACTGACGCATGGACCCTCGGTATCCATTCTATTTGGGTTTGAAGCCGCTATTCTACTAGTGTCCGCGTGGAACAATCTAGTACTCTGGCATTTGCATGCACTCGATGGATGGATGCACTATTTGCACGAACAAACCACGCCCGATCAACGCATGCATCGATGGATACATCCGTGGAAAGAACACAAGGCCACATTCACATTTGCCGTCGAAGTCCAGGCACAAGCACTCAAATTCCTATTCTACGTCATTTTCTTTGCCATTGTATTGACATACTACGGAATGCCCATCAACTTGTTCCGAGAAGTATACGTGTCATTCCAGGCACTCAAACAACGATTGGTAGCATTCGCCAAGTACCGAAGACTCATGGCCAGTATGAATCGATTCCAGTCCGTTACCGAAGACGAATTGGAAGCGGCAGGACGCGATTGTATCATTTGTCGCGATGACATGACCATTAATGATTGTAAAAAACTGCCGGGGTGTGGACACATTTTTCACAAATCCTGTCTCCGCGAATGGTTGGTCCAACAACAGACGTGTCCCACGTGTCGAGGAGATATTTCCGCCATGGAAGCACAAGCGGTCGCCGAAGCGGCGCGACGTGCTGCGGCGGAAGCGCGGGCTGCACAAGAAGAGGAAGAAGAAGAAATGGAAGCAGAAGAAGAAGAGACACCAGAATCACACCCTGCACAGGAAACAACCACAACCACTGAACATCACGAAAGTCATACCACCAATCCACCACCACCACCACCCGTCGTGGAAGAACAGTCACCCTTTCCAGCACTATATCGAGTCGTCAAGGACGAAGGAGCAGATGTATGGGATGAAGCACACACAGCGGTCGGTCGGACGGTTCCATTTGGGGTCGTCGTACTCTGTCAAGCGCTTCAGTGGAAACAGGAAGTGGGATTCATGATGCAGGTGCCCGATGGATGGGTTCACGAAGATACCGTGGTGCGAGTGCGAACGCTGGGAGCTTTTTTCAACAACAACAACAAAAAGTAAGGCAAAAAAACACCAATTGATTGATTGATTCACTATTAGAAACGAGATTTATTTTGGAGCAACGCTTCGTCACAGTGTCGTCTCTTTACTAGCAGTTAGTTTAGTTGTGCAAGGTGTCCAGCAGGTCGTCTGATTGATTGGAACTCGTTACCTGAGTGACAGGGAGTGGAGGAAGGATATTCATGACATCTATTCCTACCGTACATCTTGGATGTCCCCATTTTGAAGTTCTCCTTGTGCACACCGCTTCGTGGGTCATTTTATTTCTAAAGCACCCTCGGATGTTCTCAGTATCTGGACCTGCCGTAGGTGATGCCTATGACAATGCCATTCCCGATCTGGGCTGTACCATTGGCACTTCACTTAAAATAGTCACAAGTACCGGTACTAGCTATGACAGGTCTACTCTTCGCCATTTTGCCGTTTCATCTGAAAGTATCTGTGAGTCATGAATAGTCTATTCCCGGTCGACTAGACAACCAGAAATTCCAACAACGGCCAATCACCACCAAGATCCAGCCATTGTCTTTGAAGGCTACCGGTACCTTCAGGCATCCATTTCATTGATCCCTTCCACCAACGCAACCCCCTCCTTTTAGCATAGCCAGATGCTCTGATTGTCTAGTAGTGAAATCGAACCATAGCTGGCGATACCCCTGATTCCTGATTCGATTCGATTCACTCCTCGCTTTTGAAAATTCGATACTTTGGAGGTGCACCTCCAACACGTGCCTTGACACCATGAGGTGAGCCTGTTGACCTTGTTCACTTAATTGTTCAATTTCATGTGTCTTCTTATGCATCTCATTGCTCTGCTCTGATCGCCCGTCATGTCAATCAGTCCTCAAAGTCCAAGTAGTCCCAGGAATACCCCCGCTCCTTCCCCTTCCCGCGCTACTACTCCTGCTAGTAGTACAAGCAGTACAAGTAGTAGTGCCAAGAAGGAAACGGCTCATCCGTCATCATCATCACCGCCGCCACCATCCTCCGAATTGGAAGCTACTGATGCCATGTGCTACCACTGCTTTGTCACCTTATCCCAGGAACTTCAGCAGGGCGACAGCAGCAGCAACAATAGCAAGAGCTCGTGGCGTGCCTTTCGCAACAAACGTCCCATACCAGAGTACGTCAAGGCTCTCTCCGACCCTTCCATCGAATGCCCACTCTTTATCACTTGGGATAAGCTACGGCCCAAGGCGTCGTCTCTCTTCCCCAGCAATTTACTCTTGCGAAATAATAATAACGCCAGTGCCACCGAAACTACCCCTGCCACACCAATCTACGAACTTCGAGGGTGCATCGGAAGTCTCACCCCCAAACCACTCCTCACGTCGATTGGAGACTATGCACTCAATTCGGCCTTGCGAGATCGACGATTCCATCCCGTCACAGCTTCCGAAGTACCCCAGTTACGAGTCGCCGTCAGTCTACTCGTCAAGTACGAAGTCTGTGATCATTGTCTCGATTGGCATGTGGGGAAACACGGGATCCTCATTCGATTTACAACAACAATAACAACGGCATCGTCGGGCAGCAGCAACAATAGCAGCAAGACGTACTCGGCCACCTACCTTCCGGAAGTGGCATCCGAACAAGGATGGGATCAACGTCAGGCTGTTACGGCATTGGTACGCAAATCGGGATATTCCGGCAAGGTCGATCAGAAACTACTCGACACCATAGACTGTACCCGCTATCAATCTTCCAAACGACGCATGACCTACGATGAATTTGTCAATACCCGAAAGCGAAAACGCCAACAACTCACACCCTCCACGTCGGCATCGTCCTCGTTTCATCAACAAGATGTCGAAGAAGAAGGGGAAGAAGGAGACAACGATGACTTTTCCGGTGAGTTGAAATGGAATAGTGGTACCTGTCAGATACTGTGATCATCTCCTTCCTACAATAAGTAGTATAGGAGACTCACTACTCCCAGTCAGTCAAATCCAGCTTTTTTTCGTTATTGCTGCTGCATTCGATGTATTCATTTATTTGGCCTCACAACAAACTGATATCGTATGTACTTTGACTAGCAGGGCCTGCCTTTCGACGAGTAGCCTTCTCTACTACTAGTAGTTAGCTTGGGGACTCGACTCCGAATGTTCTAATATAGGTCAAATCCCGTGCTGCTACCAATGCTACTACATTGTGCTTGTTGGATGACTTGCCTCCTCTTCGACCAGTACTAGTTGCTCGTCTTGGATAGTGTTTGGCTAGCTAGCCAGGTTGTGACCGTTTCCCTGACGGATAGAGTATACTCGCTGCCAATACATACGGTAGTTGTGGTTCTTGCTGACTTCTTGAAACGATATAGCAGGGAAATGGGTGCTCATGGATTGCACAAAGAGATCAGTTCTGCCAAGGGCAAATAGGCCAACTAGCTAGACCTCAAGGTCTCCCGCTGCTACCGTAGCTTGATGGCTAACTGGAAGTGCTGAAATGTGTCACGCTGATGTGCCTGGCCGGCCAAAGAAGCAACAGTGGACACTTCCACTTGTGCTAAACAAATGGACCTCGGTAGGGCTATCGACGGACAAAGCTGGAACAATGACGTACTATGGAAGGCAAAGAGCAGTGTAAGTGCCCAAGGGATCACAGGAGAAATCGTAGGTTTGTTGATGAGTCTAATGATAAGTAAAGAGGGGAACTGGAGCACAATTGAAGAAACATGCAAAAGGGGTGAAAGAGCTGTAGAATACCCAAAGAGGGGCGAGTGCAGAGTAGGACTGCGAGCACGCACGGAAGAGGCAAGCAGGTCTATATCCAAAGAAGGGAAAGGGGCGACTCAGAGAAGTTCACGCCTTGAAACCCCACACAGTCACCTCCTCCATCCTCGTGTGCCCAGGATGAGGCTTCGACTTTACGGATCGGAAGGACGCAGTCTCTGGTCAGCACCATATGTGGTCTCTTTCGAAACCAGGCAGGAGTGTCTGATGCCGAAAAATTTGCGGCGTAGTCGCCAACAGGAATTCAGCTTTGTATATAGGTGAGGGGGCACTTCCAACCACCAACCGGTTTTGCCTGAGGCTCTCCGCTGGTTTGCTTCGTAGCATTCCAGGAACCCTTTTGCTTTCCGGGTTGAGAATCCAATCAAACGGGTGGAAGCCCAACCTCAAGACAGGGTGGTATATTTTATATTAGTGTTTATGGTTGGATGAACAAATATCTTTGCACACAATTATTGATAGCTGATCATGATGAAAAGAAAGGATGTCTCATGGCTCAAAACGCCTTCCACGAAAGGACGTTTCATCCTGGCTACAAGACGAATAGTCCATTCGTCTTGATCATTTATTTCACTAGCCAGGGATTTCTTTGTGAGCTTGCGTCATGCATGCATGCATGCATGCTTAAGATGATTCGACTCGTTCTCTGTTCTTTTGGGCCTCTGCATCGATTTCTGCTTGCATCTTGACCTCCTTATCGGCCGCTCGCAAGGCTGCCTCGGCCTTTTCTTCCAAACGTTCGGCCATTCGCTTCTTCTCACGGATTTCAATCTCCTTCATCATGGTCTCCATCATGTCAAGCTTGTCGCGGATTTTGAAGTACAAGTCACTGTCGGCCTGCAGGTATGCATAATATAATATTTATGTTCAAGAAGCCGATGTGAAGCAAAAGGTCAAGGTCAGCACTTTCCACTTGAACCAAGGTGTCATTCCAGCGCTTCATGCATAGCCATGAATTGAATTGTACGGTACGGTACTTACGCATGCAGTGAGGTGAGAACGACCCAATTTGTCGGTCATCCAGCTTTCAATGACAGGGTAGACTTCATCCTTGTCCATTTCCTGCCCAACAGATTCCATGACCTTCAAGAGACCAATGCCAAAGTACCGAGAGTACATCCAGAATTCATCTCCCTTGATGTTCTTGGCAAGTGCAGCAATGGGACCATCTCCTTCTCCGGACAAGGCAGCTTCTACATCTTCTTTGGTCTTGCCGGCTGCCCAGTCTTGCACACTCTTGGCTTCTGCCATGATTTCTGCCTCATTCATGCCAATGCACTTGAAGAGAGCAGACTTGATTTTGGTGGCAATCTCTTGCTCTGGGTAGTTTTTCAGGAGCAAATCCAGGGCGGTGATGATACCCAAGGACCACACAGGGTCTCTTTGGAATCGGGCGTTGACCACAATCAAATGGGTAGTTCCTACAATATCGGTAACCATGTTTTTGTACAAGGCGTTGACAGTGAATCCCAATTCCTCAGTGAATTCCGCAAAGGCTTCTCCCACAGTCTTGATTTTCTTTCCCACCAAGTGGCCATATCGCTTGGCAAATTCCGTGTCAGCTGCACCTGGCTTGTAGTTGAGCTGAAAGTAATAAATGTGGAATGCAAAAAGGTCAAAATGGGTTGTCACGTTAAGGGTTTCATCAAAAAGGGGGAAGCAGATAGGTATCCATGAGAGAGAAGAGCGGCAAAACCGAGAAAAAAGAAAGGATTCGAATTAGACATTAGAACACTGGTTATGGACTGATTCCAGGAGACATCAACTTCAAGAGTCGAGTTGCAAGCAATTAACCTACCGACTTTCGAATATCTGCCTTGAGACTCCTGTCAAAGTCACTTTCTTCTACTGCAGCCTCTGGTTCTGCCTCTGTGCTCATCATCAAGGCAGAGCTCTGAGTAAAAGCAGGGACAGAGGGAGCCGTGAAGGCATGGGTAGACACTGTCAAGGCAAGGATAGCGAAAACTGATCGACGGAAAAGCATTGTTGCAGTGGTTGTTTGTGTTTTCAAAGGAATGGCAGTTAGCAAGAGGCAATGACAAGTTGGGTATCTAGAAATAGAAGATAATGACCTTCTGCAGTCGGCTACAGGCTCCGTTTTAAAATGTTGCTCCGCTGATGCTGTTGTTGACGAAGGCGGCGATTGAATCATTACCTCGCACAGCTCAGTCTCTCATGCATGGGATCCCAGGCAACACAATCGTACGTCAAAGCCTTCGAGAACTGTTGCCAAAAGATCTCGTCAGAACAGTTACTGAATCACCCAACATCAAACACAAGCTGTCACGCAGCAATCGAAGCTCAGTCTGTCCGCATGCCTTACAACTCATCAGTAAGAACCCTAATAATGTCTTGTATTGTGTTGAAACTTCCATTGATGATTGATCGGGAGTGTGTTACTGAGTCAGTGTGCCGGTCCCGTGGAGGCAACATTCAGGACTGACTGACTCATCCACGGTGCACTTCACCACAACTGACTGGGAGCGGAAGCTGTTTGCGGGCTGCCACTATGCCGGTTCCGATGGTGTCTACTATGGTATGCATAGAGCTAGCAAGCTAGCCAGATACAGTAGATGTTCGGCATTTCTCTGTGCCAACTTTGATGGGCAGATGAACCGTGGAGGCAGCGAGTCGAGTCTCTTCTCAGGTTTGAAGGTACCACTGCTGCTTCGACCCTGGCCTGACTAGCACCGTACCGTGGTGGGTACGGTTTCCTTATCGGTATAGCGACACCTACTCCAGCAGCGGCCCGATTCAAAGGCGGTCCAACGTCCAGCCCAAGTAATGGGCCAGTACGAGGCCCGACACCTGGCCCAAGTCAAGGTCCTACACCAAGACCTCCTACAGGTCCAAGTCATGGTCCCGCCCGTAAGTAGGTGGGCCCAAATCCTGGGTCTACGTCTGGCTCAAGTCCTCGCACTGCAGCCAAAGTAGGCCCCACCACACACCTGCACCCCACATCAGGAACTACTACGGGGTAAGTCCCAGCCCCCACCAGGCCCTGCATACATTTGGCTGGTCCATTACCAGCCACAACCTTCGTCTGCTTCACGGGCCAAACGAAAGGATCATTTATTTTCGCACTGGCAAGTCTTCTGCGTGCAATGGATTTCGCGATGTGTCTGGCTTGAAAGCCCTGGAAACTAGCCTGAACCAGCCTGGCGCCTAAAAGCTTCCCTCTGTGGGTGTGTTGCTTCAAGGCATAGAAAGACTTGAGCGATACGGTAGGTGCGCCCCCGCTGTTTTCTGGGTGGGACGAGCGTTCTCGAAGTTTGGAAGGTTGCTCGTTGCGTTCAAAACAAGCTAGAAGATTCCACGTAGCAGTCGGGACTCGGACCAGACAAGAGACCACCCGGTACGGTACATGCACTATGAGTGCAGGCGGGGGATTCGCCTATCAAATGACGAGCCTGTTTGCTTGCAACCATGGCGGCAGAATCGTCGTGTATCGTTCAGGGCCGGCAGCACTAGTTAAAAGAATGCTTCCTACATGTACACTATTCGACGGTCGCAATATTTTTGAAGTATCGGAGATCTCGTCGATGATACTCATCACCCATATCGATCCTCGAAATCTTCGTCTCCATCTTCTCCATCATCTTCGAACTCACTATCAGTCTTGTCTTCAAAGTCGCTGTCGACGTCGCCGGTTTCTTGGTCGTCAAAATCCTCGTTACCCTCTTCATCATGGCTCTCGTCACTTGTGGTAGGATCCCCCAAACCAAACGATTCCCAGACTTCACCGTCGAGAACCGAATATTCTTCGTAATCAATCAGTAATTCTTCACCTGCCTGAATGTCGCTCAGGGCATAGTCGTTCTCCGAGCAGCCGCCAGATGTATTGACAGCAAGATCTGGGATACATCCCAAATTGGCAATATCGTCTTCCCCCTCTGCAGCAGTGGAATTTGGTCGGAATCCAGTATTGACCAAAGAGCCATCATCCAAATCGACAACAATCTGAGGTGGCTGTTCGGCGCCGTCGATGACGACCTTTTGAATAGTCGTCCATGCCAATAAATCGCAGGCTAGCTCGACCGAGACCGACATGACAAACTGTTTGAAATGCTGTCCATGGGAGAATCGTGCTTGTTGCTTTGGAGTGTACACGAGCGTGCCCTGTGGTATGAATTCGTTGGTAAAGACACCTCTTCCCCGAGTGGGTGAACTGATCTTGGCAGTTACATTGGCATGAAAGCTGTTTGCATCTGGATCATCAGAGAGGGTGGACTGGTCGGATCCTACAATGGAGGCGTAGATTGCTCTGAGTTTCTCCCACGTTTCCATTGTTGGGGGTTGGCGCCGTTTCTGCTTGGTGTCTTCCTCTTTATAGAACTGTTGGCAATCCAAATATTCTTTGAACTGTTGAAAGGTCCAGTGACTCCAGTTGTAAAGCTCGCGGTCGCTCCAAAAAAACACGGTGTCTTCGCTGAGTTTGTCATCTTCCTGGCATGATCCTTCTGTATCAGAAGTAGCGATGCAAGTCCCTTCTTCTGTAGACAGCGTCCAGTTGTTGACAATGCTTGACAAGGGATCGCCGATCTTCCAGGCAACAGGTGCATGTTGAGGTAGCGGAAATGGCAGATTGTCACTGTTTGTAGGTGGCTTGCTAGCCTCAATTTTCCCACTTTCGTTGGCATCATGTACCGTAAAGAAGACACTGAAAGCGATGAATATTTCTCCCGGACTGTCTCGATAATCAAAAGATCCAGTCCCATAGTTGGTTGTATCTCCCAGAATCATTGCAACGTCGAGGTTTTGCTTTACTTTGATGATATCGGCTTCTCCTTCTACCTGGATTTCGGGCCTAGAACCTTGCTTGAGATACACGGGGATGAGAATTTGAAATGCACTTGGGTTGCTCTGGTTGTTGTCATCATTGGGGTAAAAATGAGATTTGAGGATACTCCTTCCTTGATTATTTACCCCAGCTTGAGAATAGGTAGCGCCCATAAAGCCCATGGAGTGTATGGAGAACATCGCCTGGGACAAGTTCCGGGCATTGCCAACGGCTCCAAGAACAGCATCAAAAAAGTCTCCATGAGCAAGTAGAGACAATAGGCGGGAATGGGTTGTTTCATCATCGGCGAATAGATATTGAAGGTTGGAATCCCCACACCCAGATTCATCCTTGGTCTGATGAGCCACTAATTGCTTCCAGCGCCCCCCTTCGGAAGATGTTACCGTCGCAGGGGTATCCTCAGCGGTAGCATTGCTGCCATTCACACTTTCGTCATTGTCCAGACCAACCAGTTCTTTCCAATATTCATCAAAACCCGCTGCATGATAATAGTCCCCTAGAATGGTGGTGATGGCCCACGGAAGACGGATTCTGGCCGCAACATGGTTTGTTCCGGTGGCCGTTGCGTTTGGGTAAAAAAGATCCTGGATCTCACCCACAGCAATTGGAGCAGGCAACAAGGTTTTTTTACTGCTGCAGCACCAAAATGAGCACAGTAGCAACACCAGCAGCAACCATGTGGAGCAGTTGTAACAATTCATGCTTTGTCAATCCCTTCACAAATGATTCGATTCCATGCTTTCTTTGAAAAAGTGCAGTGGAAAAAGCATGATCTCAACTGATGATGGGTTGAGGAGTTGACTAGCTAGCTAGCAAGCTATTATAGTACGAGATAGCATTATTATTCATATGCCCACGGGTCGTCTCCGTTTCCAGAAATAAGGTTGGGGATTACAAGTATTGAAACAGTATTCGCGCGCTCCGCGCGCTCATCCCTTTCTTGCTTCGCCACGAAACAGCTCCCTCGCTCATTCATGCGAAACTCGCTCATTCATGCGAAACTTGTGAGAAAAGCGAGGCGACTTTCATGTGCATGTACATGCGTTGACTGTATCCCGTCAATACAATACTAGTCAAATACGTAGACTTCTACAGATGCCTCTAAGTATTGCACGCCGGGTATAATTCAAACCTCTGCCCCCATCGGTACCATTACCCCTAAAAGCAAGTCGTCTCCAGGAGACGAAATTGGTATTCATACCAATACGATGAGGACCCTCACTTGCTCCTAACTAAAAGGGCGCCAAAAAGAGCGCCTTTTCAAATTTCGCATTGGGAACAACGGCTACATTCGAGAAAGAGAACGACTTCCCAACTCACTCCTTCCATAATTTGCCTCTTCATAAATTGCGCCTTTGGACTAACGGTATTGCTACCCTGTGCCTTTCTTCGACATCCATCAGTTCATACCCCAGTCTATTATTATCCACCATGGGAAAGAAATCCAAGAATCCTTCAAAGTCCGCTCGTGCTGGCCATCGCCGTCAACAAGCTGATATCAAACTCGAAGATACTGTGGAGAACCCTCGAGCCAAAGAGATTCTCCAGCTCATTGGAAAGAAGGAGACCGTCCTCCGCGCAAAGCTCGATTTAGCCATCGAACTGGTGCAACTGAAGGACGGTGGCATGTGGAATGCTGCGCGGGTCGTTGTCTTTCACTCTTATGTGGCATGTGTCAAGGACCACCTGGAAAAGTATTCGTTTGGGGACACGAAACTCACAAGTAGCAACGACACAAAGTTCTTGAAGGGCATCACTGGAGCTAAGGGGAAGGAACCTGCATTTTTTGTTGCCTTCGCTTATCATGTTCTAGGGAGCATTGCGTTGCACATTGACGCCAACATGGATTCTTGCAGCTATAACTACAAGCAGGCAATTCTGGCTGTGGAGTCAGCGGACGTGAATGAGAAGGCTCGTGTGATGCCCAGTCAAAAGGGTCCAAGTTTCGGCACTGCTGTGATGCCCAGTCCCCTTTACAAAACTGTCTGTGGTCACCTCACTTGCGCACAGCAACACGCAATCAAGAAACTAAATGAGGTCCGTCAAAGGGGCCACATCCAAAAGTTTGGCTCTGGCGACAAGGTGATAGAAATGTCCACCGTTTCTGGTGATCAGTGTGACGGCTGTGGTACAAAACCTGGTCGTGTCATGGAAGTCTGTGGCCGCTGCCAAGTAACATACTATTGCTCTCGTGCCTGCCAACAGAAGGACTGGGATGCTGGCCACAAGCAATGCTGTCGCAAGAAGGGTCAGTTTTGTGATGGCGATTTGGTGGAGACTTTGCAACCCTTTGGATCCGTTGATATTGGATGTGTTTGCCGCATCGTTTCACTTGTTCCTGGCACTCGTCGCACTCGGACGAAAGACCGTCGTCGTTTTGTTGTGTCTGAGAAGGAGGAGGGAGGAGAGACGTGCACTATCTCAGCTCGAAAGTTGCGTATCCATACTGTGGCAGTTCGGGGTCTGGATGAAGATAACACAGTGGCCACCTGAGTGGTGAGTGTTGGGATCTAAAGAATGGTGGATGCAATTGGACGGGGATCAGTTTCATTCTGGATGTGTCCTGTATACATAGCTCTAACTTCACTATATATAGCAGTTCCGTGAGGTTCATTTTTTGTGTTGCAATAGTCTGGCATAGATTTGAACTACCGATGGTGTCCATTCATACCAGTAGTGGCTTCTACTGGTGCACCGACGCTACCGGTACTGTTCCTACTAGCTACTAGACCCGTTCCAAGTCAGTCCGCCAAAGCCTCCTTCCTATTCAGTTAGGTAACTAAAACTACCTCCCTGTAGCTGGCTATCGAATGTCGAGACGTTGCAATATCTCTCTTGTTTTTTCCAACTCCATCTCGGTTGGTTTGTGGAATGGTGGATTCACGTGGAGATGTTCAATGATTCCCATGGCCACCAAGGCACATTTGGTACCCCGTATCAATCGACCAAAGGGATGCTCGATGGGTTCATCCACGGTATTGTAAATGGCTTGAAAGTCATTGACTTGTTGTACGAGTTGTTGTTGGGTGTTGGTTGGTGCAGTGGTATTTGCATCATTATTATTATCATGATGATTGTTGTGATTATTTGACAATGCCTGGTAGAGATCCACGAATAGCTTGGGTAGTACATTGGAACCTCCGTTAACACCTCCATCGGCACCAGCCTGTATGGCTTGTGGCAAGAGATGTTCCGGTCCCATGAGTACAGTGAATTGTGGCAGTTTCTGCTTGATACGACAGAGTTGTTGAAAATAGTCTAGATTGCCACTGCTATCTTTGATTCCAACAATTCGATCGGGATAGGTTTGTGCCAACATCAGTACTGTTTCGACATTCCACTGTGTCTTGGTGAGAAAGGGTATGTTGTATAGGAGAATGGGTAGACATGTGGCTTGAAGCACCATTTCGGTGTAGTGGATCAATTCGGCTTGCCCCATGGTAAAATAATAGGGTGGTGCCAGCACGACGGCCGTGGCGCCACAGGTTTCGGCACAGTGTGCCATGGCCACCGTTTCCGCCCATGCCGTATCGGAAATACCGACGAGTACAGGAATATTGCCGTGGTGTTGTTGTTGTTGTTGTTGTTGTTGTTGCTGTGTGTGCTGACAACACAACTGGATCAAGTTTCGTCGTGTTTGGTAACTCAGAGAAGGTCCTTCTCCCGTGGATCCCAGTAGAAATATTCCGGCCACTCCCCCCTCAATGACATGATCGAGTAGCTTGCGGGTGGATGGTTCGTCGAGAACATCGTGGTCGAGGAGCGGCGTGGCCAGAGGCGTGATGATGCCTTGGAGTGGTTCGTTCCAGCCATGAGCGGGCATGACGATACTACTGATGATGATGAAGATGAGGATGGTCGTACTACATGTACATGTAATCCAGGGTTGAAGACAGGGGGAGTGATGGATCATGCTGGCATTATATTATGTCATGAGTACCGGTACTGGTAGTAGCTCCGATGCAATCCAATCAAAAGCAAGGCCCCTTTGTCTGCAAGAGTACCTACTAGCTAGACCGTTGGCTACTAACGTACAGTATCTAGTATGAAAGTTGAGTTAGTTTTGTTCGGATGGTTGTTTGGAGGAGGTGATGTTTTGGATATGCATATCTTTTGGATCTTTTGGCTGACGTCATTCCGCGGAACGCGAGGAAACCGCAACAACGGATTTCCAAGACTGAACGTTTCCCCAAAATTGGGAGCTTCCTTTTCGGAAACTTGGAAATGGATGTCACCTCATCGTTCTATCTTTTGTTCTCTATCTGTTTAGCTAGCTAGCCCAATCGAAGCCAAGCAGGGCATGGTCATATCCAGGTCTCGCCTCGTCTCGTCTCGCCTCGCCTGACAGCTGGCTACACTCTGTAAAGTTGAGGAAGAAGAAGAAGAAGAAGTGTGAAACCAATAAAGTAAGTATGATGGTCAGTCGAAGCTTCCGATGGACCATGGCTCCTCGCTTGGTTCTGTTGGAATGGTTGTTTCTACTTCTGCTAGTACTAGTAGTTGTGACACCCACCACTACTCGAGCCGAGATTATCGAGTTGACGGCGGATGAGTTTTATGAACTGTCGGATCAGGTGGATTTGATTCTCGATGTTCGCACTTCCGCCGAATGGCTCGTGGGACACATTGACAATGCCACCTTTGTGGAATCTCTCTTTGATCAACTGCTCGATTCCACTACTGCTGATGTTGCGAATGCTGCTCCTGATAACGGCATGGCGACTCTACAACGTTTGGGCTTGTGGAACTGTCGATCGTCGTGTCGGATCATTGTCTACTGTCGCTCAGGACGACGGGCCGGTGGAGTCCTGCGACAGTTGGAACAAGCCGGATTTACCGGACAACTCTACAATGGAATGGGCATTCTCCAATGGACGGCCGCCGGATACGAATTGGTCACGGGACCCTCCAACAAGGATCGAGACTGCATGACGACTTCGACGACTACGACTACGACTACCATTGATTCGGCCGTCTCGCGACAAGGCAGTGGTGTTGTTTGTGGTGTTCATACTACTAATGCTGATGCTGATAATGCCGATAATGCTGATGGAGGAGCGGTTGAGCATCAACGAGAACTCGACTTTTTCAAGGACATGTTCGTGTTGCAAATGGAACGATACAATGCTACGGGATATTCCTTCCTCTTGACCGTTCCATGCTTTTGTCCTCCAGCAGGATATCCATGGTTGGTCACGGCCGCTTGGCAGGATACCAACAACAACGACAACAACAATAATATGACAACTACTACTATCAGTAATGACGTTGTCCTCTCGGCCATTACCAGCAGTGGAACGGATGTGTTGCAACGCGAAAATCTGTCTTTGCAGCAGCGGGTCCATTCCATTCTGGATCTATTTGATAAAATACAACAAGCCATTGACCAAGAAGCCGCTTCCATTAATGTGGTATACAACCAACAGTGGGGATACCCAGAAGATATCTTTATTGATCGCAGTCAACAAATTGCCGATGAAGAATTCTATGCCACGGCAGCCAATTTGACTCTTCTCTATGATACAGATGCAGATGCAGATACAGATACAGATACCAATGACAACAACCCTACTATTACTATTGGAAACTCTTCTTCTTCTTCAATGCAAGGAGGAGATGCCTTGGATATGGAAACACAACTCACCCTCGTCTTTGGAAGTGACTACTTTGAAAATCCAAATTCCATACAATCGCAAGCACTGGATTGGCTTCAAACACAAGATACTTTCTTCTCGGAAGAAGAGGAGCCAGACAATGATAGTGTCCTCCAACGATTCGTCATGGTGTACTTGTACATGTCCACATCCCAGCAAGGTCCATGGATCTCTTGCAACCCTCCCGAGGGAAACCAAAATGACTTTTGCTATTACCAATTTCTCGTCGATGCCAACACGGACCCCTTTCGGTACACAGAGGTATACTGGACCCGGTGGTTGACTGGGGCACATGAATGTGATTGGGCTGGTGTCGTTTGTGATGACGACGATCAAGTCACTGAAATCTTTCTAGGTGAGCATCATCAACTGGCTGCTGGTCCTGCTGTTATGGATTTAGTGTCTCATGGTCTTTGTTCGTCTCTTATTATACATCTCATACATGCCAATGAATGCAAAAATAAACCGTGTGCTGCAGATGCCTACGACTTGACCGGATCCTTTCCTGCCAGAGAGTTGGCCCAACTGCACAATCTAAATCACATCTCCATGACTCACAATACCTTTGCTGGCACTCTGCCCACTGACTTGGCTCAATTGACAAACTTGACTTCCTTGGAACTGCAGAGCAATCAGTTTTCAGGATTGATCCCCACAGAATGGTCCACGATAGATACACTCACGTATGTCAATGTGGGTACAAACAAGTTGATTGGCAGTTTACCGTCCGAGCTGGGGTTGTTGACAAATCTAGAGCGATTTTTTGTGCAAAACAATGAGCTGACAGGTTCCCTTCCTCCGCAACTGTTTGACCTCACAAACTTGAGTACGTGTTTCTCATTTGTTATTCTGATTGAATCATCCATGCTGAGCGTGATCTTGGATGGACCCATCTCACGATTTCTTGCTTGATTACTACTTACTCTTGGTACGAACCGTAGAATGGTTCTTTGGAGGTGGCAACACCTTTGTCAGGACCATCCCAACCGAAATAGGAAAACTTTCCAACCTGGAATATTTCTTTCTTCGAGGCAATGCCCACACAGGCGAAATCCCGTCCGAGATTGGGAATCTCAGCGGAATGCGTGAAATTTCGCTGGCTGACAACTTTCTCTCTGGAACCGTCCCGGAAGAATTGTACAATGGCATGTCCACTTGGTTGAACCTCCTGGACTTGTCTTCCTGTCAATTATCCGGGACCATTAGCACCAATATTGGCTTGCTAGACACCTGCGATTGGTTCCTGATGAGTGACAATCGATTCACTGGAACGATCCCCACCGAAGCCAGTCTCATGACCGGCTTGAAGCGGTTCTTTGTGGATGGCAATGATTTGACTGGCACCATGCCGAGTGGTCTCTGTGCACTGAGGAGTGATTCTGGTTTGCGGTACCTCAAGGCGGATTGTGCTACCACTTCCAGTGGTGAAGTCCCAGTGTTTTGCCCCAGTGGCTGTTGCACAGAGTGTTGCAATCAGGACACTGGAATTTGCTTGGCGGCCTAGCTCTACCGTTGCGAGACAAGAAGCCTGCCAGCTGTGCGATGTGTGGCCCCTGGTTAATGAAAGATGGTGTAAAATATCAGTACCATACCGTAGTTGTTTGTGCTGTGCATTATTAGTGAACACAATCAATTCTTCTACTTTTGCATTGGAGCTAGCTAGCTATTAATAGCTTCTACCACCGGTATCACTGGTTGACTATGTTTGTACTTTGACTACCGCTCCTCCCTGTTTGCCCGACTCTAATAGAGCTTGTACCAGTTTCAAGTCTTGCAATGCTTGTTGAGGCGTATTCTTGTCGTCACCTTGTTTTCGACATGCCGCTGCAAACGCCAAGAACTCCTTGTCCAATCCTTGAAACTTGAAAAACTCTGTAGTCACTGCGGTATCCTTTCCCATTCCTTTGGTGACAATCAAATCGTATCCTGGTTGTTTGGTGCTGCGTTGTAACACAATGGTTCCTTGTCTTCCAGTGACTTCAAAGGCGTAATGAAAGGTATCACTGGCATAGGATGCGGTAATGGTTCCTTGGACACCATTTTCCCACTGGACGTGGCCCGCCATGGTATCAGGACCCGGCAAGTGATCTGCACGATGGCTCGTGACGGCACTTACTTGTCGCAGTTCGCCTGGAATCATGGTTCGAATGGCTGCTGCCGCATGAATAAATGCATCGACAAAGAGGCCTCCGTACCAGGATGGTTCCTTGCGCCATGCCGTGTTGAGATAGGGATTGTCGTGTCGAAAAGGATTCTTGACCACCAGACTGAGTAACAGAATATCTCCAATTTCGTTTGTTCGGATCTTTTCAGCCACAGTTTCAATGCCCGGTTCGTATCGAAAGTTTTCCGCCACGGACCATTGTCGTTGTTGTTCTGGTATAGCTTGGTATTCGGCCACGAGCTGTTGGGCTAGTTCCACGGTGGGTGCAATGGGTTTTTCCGACAAGACGTGCTTTCCGGCTTTCAAGAGGCGCAGTACCAGCGCTGGCTGTACATCCAAGGGCAAAGCCACGACAAAGGCGTCAATATCTTGGCGTGCCATCAAGCTGTCCAACTCTGTTTCGCCTCCCAGTGCTTCGCAGCCTAGCTTGGGTGCCAATTTTTCGGCAGATTCCTTTGTTCGTGACCACACAGCCTTGGTGTCAAACACATCTTTGAACTTGATCAAAACGGGAGCATGTGAATTGGTGGCAAACAAACCAGCTCCCAGCAGTGCCACACGCAACGGAGGGGTTGTGTCTGTCATTAGGCGTATCGGTTGGAACGAGGAGGAGGAAGAAAAAGACACGAGATCCCGTGGATTTTGATGAAAAGATTGAGTCTCGTCTGGAGTCTGGTGCTGAAAGAGAAACCCTCCAAACAAGTGAAGCAATGAAAACAGCAAGATGCAAGATATAGTTCGTCGAATGGATAGTATCACGGGTGCCATTCCACAACAAGTGATGAGCAGAATCGAATCTACCGGTACGGGGGGTGGCAAGGATGATCTTTGGATCTTTGTTTGATCCGCTAAGATCTATTCGATTGAATAATCCGATCAGTTCGAACTATTCGTTCACACATCCCATGTTTCAATTTTTTTCATGACGTCGCCGAGGAAAGACAAACATTGACAAAGGCGATGTCATGGCCTTTCCTCTTGATTGCCCAACTCCCACGCCAATGACGAGTCCAACCACATCGTAGGATCCAACTTGATGGCTCGTGATGTTTCATCCCATCAACCAGAAGCACTACCACTCGGATTCCTGCAATGCTTGGCATCACTCAAAGTTGACATTTCCAACCCTTGACATCGATCGACCAGCCAACCATATTCTCTGGAAGCAACTTGCTTGATGGCTCGTGCAGTCATGTTTGCATCACACTCTTTCATGCCTTGCTTGTTCAGATTCGTACCATAGATGACAGCACATGAACATGATCTCGTTTCTGTGAAATTCTATGCTTTGAAACGCAAAACTCCTGTTACAGGTAACATCGCTCCTCCCTACCGTACATAATGCTTCGTCAATGCATAGAGCCTGGCTTTGAAGACTGCGAGGGGTACGGAAGCGACAAGCGAGGATGCAGCAATAACCCCGCCCGAGAGAAAGAAAACGAAAGAGTCTCGAGAGGAAGCAAGTCGCTGCGGGGACGATGGCGGATCACACTGTTCCTGTACCGGTAGGTACGCACAGCACCTCGACGACGGACGACACGATTTCCCTGGGCAGCAATCGAGTGAAAGTCCACATTGTATCGGGTATTGCTATCATCCCGCTACAAGCAAAAACACAACATCTCTTCATGCAGCCCAGTCGAGAAGTGGCTTCGAAAGCTAATGTACGCATGAAAAGTCGTGGTGAAAAACGTGCCTAAGACTTGTTACTCATCTCTCCCATGAGATGTTTGTGCCTTGAGACACTTGGATGGTACTTCTGCATCCGGCCATTGGCTGTACGTCAACCGCAGCCAACATCGAATGCCTGGCGTGGACATGGTTATTTACAGGTGTCATGTGTCTGCTGTGGGTTCTTTCTTTCTTCATCGTATCTTTTGATCCCATCAACTGGTTTGAAAGGTGGAGCGACGGAGCAACAAGATCAATGACGGTGGATGCTTGACTTGCGACGATTGCCCAGAATGGCGAGTCTAGAAGACGAGGTTTTTCTCTATAGATGGTCGTTGCACTCCTCTTTGACTTCTTGCTTGCTTGTGACATTGATGTATGATAAGATTGTTGTTGTGTATGATTCTTTTTATTGATGAACTCGAGTCGAAATGGTACGTATATCTTCCTTCCACTGCACACTTCGTTTTCGATGTATATGTGAATGCAGGTAGGGGCGTGTATATCTGTGTATGTATGCGATTGGTTTGATTGTGTCTATGTGTTGTGATGGCAACTCGCAGTAGTCTCAATCTGCGGTATCCATGTCAATTCCTTCTCCGATGGCCCAATCCTCATCATCCACAAGAGACATGAGGAAGTCATCCGCCGTTCCATCCGTTGGGAACATTTCTTCTGGTACCACGTTGAGGTAGGGTGGAATGAACGAAGACTGTTTCCTGTGTCCCGGTGGTGCCGTGATGGGCTGCTGACCGACTGGGGCACTTGGCTGCGACGATACGATAGCCATTGGAAGCGGTTGCTGTGGTGGATGCTGCTGAACTGCCGCGACCGGTGCCTGCGTGTACTGAGGCTGGAGCGTCACAGTAGGGTGGTAATGCACCGAAGTCACCTGTGTGGGTGAAGGAATTCGAATCTCCACGACTTGATGATGTTGCTGCTGATGCGGCGGCGGACCTGGAGCTGCCACTGGAGCCTGACCTCCGTATTGAACCGGAGGTGTGGGTGGGATAATCTCCCGGAGGTATCCCAGAACTTTGTCCACCGATGGCTTGCAGGTTTGTTCCGCGTCGTCTGGGCTGATCTGCAACAGTTGCGGACGCTCCCCATCCATACTAAGGGAGGAACAACTGCGCTTGAGCGAACTCGACGATGCGAACGACGTATCCCGCGACAAGGAGTCATCATCTTTTCCGGGCTTTTCGGGTGCACGCCCCAGGGACTCGAACGAAGGGCGACGAGACAGCTTTCTGAGGGTGGCACCTGTGACCAGCGGAGCTGCCCGCGGAAACACTTGCATGAGCTTTTGCAACTGGTAATTGACAATGTACAGGTTGGCTGCCACGTGCTGTTTCTTGTCGGTCTTGAACCTTTGGTCGATAAAGGCGCTTTTGGCGGGTGCAGTTTCCATGTGCTTCTGAACCTTGTTTTGCATGACCCTGTGCAACTTTTCCTTGTTCTGATCGGCCCATGTCAACAATTTGACCTTTTGAGCCGGAGTGAGGACACTGAGCATGGACCGTTCACGCTGCCCCAAACGCAAGCACATGGCTTGCGTGCCGTCATGCACGGCCCCCATGGCAAGATCAGCAGCTCGTGCCGTGTGTCGTTGCAACCACGAGTCATTAGACTGCAAGAGGGTCCTCTGAAAGCCGCGGACACGCTCCTCTTGATCGTAGGAGAGTCCCACCTCATTACAGAACAAGGGCCACATGGACTGTGCAGGAGGGACCCTGTCATTTCCACTGTTCAACATCTAAGAGGATGAATGAGAGAAAAAAGCCAAATGTCTTAGTTTTTGACGGATGGAATGATGACAGGGCAGTGGACTGTACCACAACTTACTCGTTCCCCAATACGTGCTGCCGAGAGTCTCTCACTGGCAGCTCTTCCTCCACGAAAGTACTGATCGTTTTGTAGAGTAAGCCATAGCACGAATTTGCTGTGTGGTGGCAAGGAGAATGACTTGAGCTGCTGAGCTTTGAACGTTGCGAGGAGCATCATTTCCGGGCTTGTCCTGGCCAGCCCGTGGTCCAACATGCGAATGCGTTCTTCCTCTGGTTTGGATGTATCCGTGAGAACCTCTCGTCGTTTATGAACCGTCACTGTCACAGCTTGCGATGCATGGGCGCGTCTTCCTTGGTCGAGTTCCATGGAGAGTTGAGTGACACGGTCTTCTAGGACTTCTAGATACTGCTTTCTTCTGCGACGAGACAACCTAGCCGACTCGCGATTGCGCTCCAATCGTTTCTGTCGCCTCGAGTTGACGGACCCACCCTCGCCAGGAGCAGCAGCAGCATTGGTGGCGGCGACCGTGGAAGCAGCCTTGCTACTGTAGCGCCTGCGAGCCGTTGTCTTTGCTCGGGGTGACTTTGGACCGTTGCTGTTGTTGTTGCTGCTGTCGCTGGTTCCAATGGAAAAGTTGGGACAGGAGTTTTCACGTGCCCAACCGGCGTAGTGGTGTGTCGCAGGAGGGTGGTGATGGTATGCCGGCGGTGGAGCAGGTGTCGAAACCACCATGGGAATGGCTCCTGCATGATGAGGATGTTGGTGATGGGGTGGCGGTGGGTGTCCATACGGAGCAGGGGCTCCAGTCATGGAAGTATGATTACCCCATCCAGCTGGGGCAGGAGCGTTCGCGGTTGCAAAAGGATTCGGTACGGATGGCATGTAGGATGAGCCATTGCTGTTAGCAGGATGTCCATGGTGAGAATGCGAGGGTTCACTGCTAGTTGTCGAACTAATGGATGCCGGAACAGGAGATGGAACATCTTCCTCCATGGCTGCACCACCACTAGATGCTGTCGTGGTCGCTGGAGGGGATGGAGTCCTGGTTCCTTCTTTAGCCGCTGCTTCTGTTGTTGCCATTCTCTTCTCTTCTCTTCGTGTAGATCTACCAGAGTCAAGCAAGCACACTCCCTTCCTCCTTGACCAATCTAACTTAACAGGATCCTACCTTACCCTCCCAACTGCACTGCACTACTAGCTAGAACCCTTCTCGATTGTTTGGCCCTGCTCTGTCTGTGTCTGCTGTGTGCAATAAGAGGGTGAGAAAAAAGAATCCAATCTGTTTTTGTTGCTGTATTCTTCGTACCTCCGCAACCAACAGCAAACCCAGGCGTTCCTATCTAATTGGTCGGAGTAGACTACTAGCTACTAGCTAGTGTGCTATCTCACACCCACGCAAGCAGATCGTATGGTATCGACGGAAGAAAATCTCCTGTCGTCCCTAGGGAAGCAAGTTGGCGAGATGAGACTTTTGAATACAAATGGTAGAGTCCAAGAGCCTGACGTACATCAAAGATGAGCAAGCAAAGAAGGATGCTAAGATGGGCAATGATGTGGACGGTTACTTTCAGTACTTACCTACCGTACCTACCTGGCTGGCCAAGCTCTTACCTCATCAGAGCTGTTGTGTGTTTCTATTCGTAGTGCATGCGGCCGAGTCTTCCTCCTTCTCGATTGCTTTCGTTTTACGAATCAGTTGGGCCAAAGACCATGTAGAATCCTACGAGAATCCTACGGATTCCGCGAACTGTCCAACCCGATGACGTGTTCGCCCAAGTTGCTGAGGTAGTACGCAGAGTGCGAACGCAATTAAAATTGGGTGCCGGATGTGAAGAAATCTGATTGGAGTATCGCCATTTTGGATGAGTGAGTGCAAGTTCAGTATCATAGACTAGTACCGGTACATGATGAGGTACCGGCGCTGTTCGGTATGTAGGATAGGAGATAGGAGGGCAATGAATGAACAAGCAAATCAAAATCGTTGTGGAGTTGCAGAGCCAGCATAATACTCCTATCTTGGGAACATCTAAATATAACGGTACGGTATCTTTTTGAGCTCTGTTACGCAATGGTACCACTTGGACTGCGAAAGGAGCCGCGGAATCGAATCATTACATGTATGTCTCTTGCATTTATTAAGTTGCCCAGTCGTAGCTCTCACTGGGTTGATCACTTCTAAAGTAGCTAGCTAGCTCAAACAAGCAAAGTATCCACGGGATGGTTAGGGTGGGAATGGATTCGATATCTTTCAGTTCATGAGAGGAGTTGCTAGTTGGCCAACAATCGCTCAGCAGCGGGATAACTGCATCAGTGCTTCAGGCCGTTCCGATAGAATATGAAACATGGTCCTGACATCCACTTGAGGCTGTATCAAAAAGTCGACAAGAGAAGAAGGTGATGATGAAGACTGATGAAGAAGCACATTGGCTCGACCAAGCCGATTGCACTGCAAATAAAATTCCACCACGGGGGATTTCCAAACCACCGACCGGTTGGATGCAAACAGTTCCAGTGTTTCCAATGTCAAGTTGTACTGGATGGCCGGAACGAGCGTGTCTTGCAGAATTGCCGCGGTACTGTCCGAAAAAGGTCCTATGCGAATCGACTTGATGGCTTTGTTCCGAGTCAAGCTCCATGCCAATGCTCGTACCACACATGGAGAACTGAGGATTGTGGTCAATTGCGTTAGGCTGTGGCTACTATTGTGGTTGGTGTTGTAGTTGTCGACTGCCGTGAAGTGATGGTTGTGTTCTTGTAGCAAGCCTCTATCATTGTTGTAGTCCGTGTTGTTTTCACCAGCCTTGAAGCTATTCATAATCTCCACTGTCAAGTGTTCAATGGAAGAATTGCAAGCCAGAGCCTTCAATACTGGAAGAAGGCAAGTGCCTTTGATATTCTGTTTGTTGGCGGCACAGCCCTGCTGGCGTTGACTTGAGTAGTAGCCGATCAGTGTGAGCGTATGAAGAGACTTGTTGTGTTGAATGACATGGGCCCAGGCTGTGCAGGTTTCCCGAGAGAGCAGTAATGGAACCTTGAGCGTTTTCAAAGTCCCGTTAGATGCCAACAGCTTTACAGTTGAAGGGCTCAGCATCATCGTCATGGATTGTGTGCTTGTCGTGTAGACTGCTATTTCCAGAGTGCAAAGGGTTGTGGATTGAAAGAGTTTGTTGTAAACGTCTGTCGAACTTTGTAGATTGTAAATGAATAATGAATGCAGTGTGGGTACATTTGAAAGAGCCAATATCAAGGGATCCAACAGCCAATCATTGGTGGCAGTAGTAGCAGTAGAGGTAGGTCTAGTATTACCCCGACAGGAGGATTCAATGGATATGGATGATAGGGAAGGATGAGTTTGAACGACTGTTGCCATGACCTCGATCTCTTGCCGCTGTTGAGCAGTGTCCCTTGTGAGTCGAAAGAAGAGTGACAAATCTTTCAGTTTCTGAGCTCCTGGTTGTTGCAAGAAGAAGGTCAGGATGGAAAGTGGCAAAAAGCGTAGATCCATGGAAACTGCCAATAGTTGTGGAACATCTGCCAGCTCTTGAAAGATGGGTATTATTTCGGTTTTTGCATAGTGTTGAAATGCCAGTATGGCAACCTTTCGTAGAGTGTTTTGGTTGGACCGCAGCGATTGGACATGTGACGCAATGGAGCTGTCATCTAATACCAGTTCCAATTCCTTGGAAGGATAAAGATGGCACAATAGCAAAAGAATACCCGTCAGGAGGATGCAGAATAAGTAGGTCCAAAAGACCATTTCCAAACTGGATAGGGTGGAGGAAGAGCCATGATTACAAGGGTTGTCGTTGTCGCTGGCCGAAGAAGGAGCAGGGAGGACAATCCAATCAAGGATGCAGTGGGAAGCATTGGTTTGAATGGTTCTCATCCAAGCATCTCTCATCCAACCACCATCCAAGGCCTCCAGCACGATGCTGTCCATGGCGAGGTTGGGTACTGGTACCAGTAATAGCCGTAAAACAAATCAGTCATTATTGATGTAAGCCAATCCATGGGGAGGGTTTGTGACGGGAGTGGTTGTGGCTGTTGAAAACCAAAATTTGGACGAAAAACAACAATAATATTGCTGTTGCCTGGGAGAAAGTGCGTAACACAGGCAAAGTATTACACGTATTGAAAGGGGGTCATCTCCATTGTACCGGTAGCGGGAACCACAAATGCTTAGAGCAGTCACTAAAAAATAGGTCGCACCCAATATTGGTCGATTGGTTTTTAGCTGGAACCCAAATCGAAACCTATTCAGTCACTAACTCATTTCGGTCGAGGTTTAGGTTGCGACCGAAATCGACCGGTCGTTCCACTGGTCGATTCAAGGTCACTTTGCGACCAGTGGATCGACCAGGTCGCTGTTTTGGTTGTAGCCACATCAACACACAAAAGCCTCATCAACAGGCATAGCAACAGGCATAGCAACAGGCATAGCAATACCTGCCAACAAGGATATCCCATGGAAGAAGTAGCAATGAGCCGTAGCAGCTCAAAGAGCTCGCTGAAAGAGGAAGAGGATTGGGACGAACTCACCTCTGGGGCAACTAGGCGAGCCATGACGGATCAAGTCGTCGTAGACTTGCTATTTGATAGCTCTGTTGATGGTCCTGGAGAGTTCATTGATCACCGTACGCTGCCAAGACGAGAAAGGAAGAAGTACGATCATGCCAGGGCGAAGGAGTGCATCATGTCGGATTATCTTGGGCTCGCACCTCTATTCAACGACCGGCAGTTCCAAGTCTTCTTCCGTATCTCTCGTTCTAGGATGCAGTGTTTCATTGAAGACTTCGGTGGCACTGGAGACAAGTATTATTGCGGGAAGGGAGGATCATGCCTTGAAGCCCGTATCCTGCTTCCACTGAAGACTCTTGCCTATGGCGTGCCGCCCCACACCTTCTGCGATTATTTCCAGATGTCTTTTCAATTTGCCCGCGATTGCTGCGACAAATTTGACAGCACTCTTTCCGCAATTTACAAGGCCGAGTATCTTCGTCTTCCAACCCGTTCGGATGTAAAAAACATCACGAAATGCCACAAAGCAACCCATGGAATTGACGGATGTTTGGTTCTCTTGATTGCATGCACACGATTTGGAAGAATTGCCCTGTTGGATGGCAGGGTAGCTATTTGGGAGCCAAAGGGAAGCCAACGATTGTTTTGGAGGCGATCTGTGACCAGCAATTATTTTTTTGGCATGCCTCGTATGGATACGTAGGAACGCTGAATGACAAAACAATTCTGGAAATTTTACCGTTCCTCGAATCGTTGGTGGATGGATCTTTTGAGGCCAATGAAGTGACTGCCGTGCCCTTCAAGATTGCCAATCAGCAATTCCACCGAACTTATGTCTTGGTGGATGGAATTTACCCTCCATTGGCAAGGTTTGTCAAGGGCATTACCGAACCTGTGGGAAGTGGCGAGAGAACATTCACAAATGGCAGGAGTCAGCACGGAAAGATATTGAGCGTGCCTTTGGTGTGCTTCAGGGAAAATTCCAATACACACACCGTTCTTTGATGGAAATGAAATTGAGAAGATCGGTAAGAGAGTAACGACTTGCATATTGCTGCATAATATGTGTGCTTCGGACCGAGTGATGGAAGGTGCATGTCGAGCCCGTTACAATCCCTGCAACTCGATCATTGACGAAGGCGAAATTGCGATACCATCAGATCGTGCTGGGCTTCAAGGAGCTAGCCAAGCCGACGACCTCTCTAGGATTGGATTTGAGGGCCGCAGTAATGTGGAAATACACAACATATCGAGACGAGAGAAATGGGCTGCCGTGAAAAGCACAGTGAATCACGAGGAATTGCAGGCAGCATTGGTCAAAGAATGTTTGACATTGAGCGAACAATTTTTTCAAACCTAATAACTAAAATATTTGTTAATTCTCTAGGTTCCTGTTGACAAACTAGACACCAGCTTCATCGTTGATATTGTTGGGAGAAGCGAAATGAGCTCGAGCGAAAGTTTCCACGGAACGAACGACGTTTCGGCGACCTATGTTGCAACCGAAATTTAGTGATTGAATTGGTCAATTAGGTATCAGTCGACCGATATGGCGCCCAATTTTAGTGAATGAAAAAGTCGCCGTTTGGGTCGACCAGATAGGTATCTATTTGGGAACGACCAATAGTGCGACCTATATTTTTAGTGACTGCTCTAACTGTATGCATTCAGCCAATCTCTCCTTGGTGCACCCCCCCCCCTCCCAAAGCCATAGGAAACTAAAAACATTAATTCAGCCAACCCACCGTACCTATGATACCTACTGTAGCTAGTTGCCCGGTAGTACATATTATCCTCGCACAGCAGCTCCTACAGCAAACCACAATACCGTCTGGGCCATAATGCTACGGTTTACTGCTAGAGTCGTAGTGCTAAAATGCAGCTAGCTACCTGGTACATAGCAAGACAGTCATCACTATCGCTGGTCATGCATCGTGTTGGGGCGGGGCAGGCCGAGTGTGTGGTGCGGTTTTTGAAAATGCGTGTTTTGGGTAGCTCCAGAGATGAGAGAATCGAATCAGAAACAACCTCAGAAAAGAGGATGGTGGAACAGAGTGTAGCTGTCGATGGATGGCCAGAATGGTTTGTGAGAATGAAGAGGTGATACATTATAGCTTACATTAATATCACGAGACGGGTACGCTGTATGCGCAGCATAGAGCATTTATCAATTGCAGCAAAAAGTGAGTATTCTAAATATAATTTACAGCATAGAGCATCTAACACAGGGGGGACAATTTCAATTTCGAGATAGGGGGGTACCGTCGGCTGGAACCATGTTCTAGCCAGCTAAGAAATCAAATAAAATACTACCAGTAGTAGCAATAATAATGCAAAGAATCGAATCAACCCGGTGCGCGTTCCTGGAGGAGACCAGGCATTGATAACAGGCAAACAGCAGCGATTTCTAAAAGCAAAGAGCCATCCAAAGCACTCATCTCCAAAGTGGACCATCCGCCTGACTTGACTCTCTTTTAAGAAGATAACCATGGCGTCGACGGATACAGATGATAATAATAATAAGAGCACTGATGGAACGCCTGACGATGACAAAAAGGAAGAGGCCGTAGCGTCCATCGTGGTCAAGGAGAAAGAAGAAGACGCCTCGACTACTACTGCTGCTGCTACTACTATAGCTATAACTACATGTACTACTGCTACTACTGCAACTACAACCACCGCGGCCAAGCCTGCTACGACCAAGGCTACTACCGATACGACCAAGACTAGCGCCGCCAAGCCGAGTGCAACCACCAAAAAGAGCGAGGAGAAGAAGAGCAAGGACAATGACTCGAAGAAGGACGCAGAAGATGCGAAAGCGGCAGTGGACGAAGACGCTGACGATGACGTTCCCATCAAGGCTTTAAAGAAGCGTAAGCGAGGCCCCAACAAGAAGAAAGGAGACGAAGGTAGTGGTCCAGCCAGGAAGAAGTGGAAACCGCCGAAACGCAAACCCAAAACTGGAGATGACGAGGGCAAGAAGAGTCCTGCCAAGGACGCCCCCAAAAAGCCACCGAGTAAAAAGCCACCGGCCAAAAAGCCACCAAAGAAACCCAAAAAGGAAATTACTCCCAAATCCGATGGCCGCAAGGGCAACAAGGGCGCCGCCAAGCGCGAATCCTACAGCGTTGCCTTCAAGGCCAAAATGGTCAAGGACTACGAAGCCTGGGAGGCTGAGCGCAACAAGGACGACACTGGCAAGAACAAAGCGTCCGTTCGAGAATTTGTGCAAACCAAGAATTTGGGACAGAAATTCGAAAAGTTTCTCTCGTCGTGTGGATGGCGAGATCCCAAAACACGTCTACGCATCCTCGACGATGCCGCTCGCACGGAATACCAACACATGGCTCGCATGCCCGATCGTACCAAAAACAAATCCTACTACGCCGAAATGGAAGAAGCACTTGAAAAGCGTCTCGAAGAACGACGGGCGCAAAATTTGACCGTCTCCACCCAGACCATTCGAGATCTCGCCCGGGAAGAATTGAAACGATTGACCAACAATGACCCCGAGAAAGTCAATGCCTTTAAAGCCAGCAATGGATGGGTATTCAACTTTTTGAGACGCACCAAACGCAAGGCGCGAGATAAACACATGGCACTGCAACAGCAGCAAAAGAATTCCAGAAAGCAAAAGGAGCAACAGCAACAAAACAACAGTAAAGATGCTGAAGAGGAGGAGGAAGAAGACGAGGGAAAGACTGAGTCCAAGGTGCAGGCAGAAGAGGAAAATGAGGAGGATGACGACGACGACGAGGAAGACAATGATCAATCCGAGGTCATGATCAATTGGGAAGAAATCCATGCCACAGCGGTGGCTAATTCAAACCATGCGAATGACTCCATGGAGGTATAAAAGGAAATTACAGCGGAAACATGCAACACGTTATTGTTACAGGGCGCTACCATAGCAATTACTGGGTAAAAAGGAGAACCTTGTTTTGACGTCGTTAAACTAAAGAGAAAGTTCTATTGGAAAGATTTTGATGCTTCTGCCGCGTACACCAAATGTCATTACCTGTAGAGCCGTTGGGACTTCCTCCCGGTTGAGCAAGCCCTAGCTAGCTCCCGGTATCCTTCAAGAGCTCTCGTCACCCATTGAGACAATGCCGCAAACCTTGGTAGCAAATTCCACTATCCGATCCAGCCGATGAATCCCCCTTCCACAAAAGACAACGTGTTTTCTATACGTGTATGCAATGATGCAGCCAATTGGCTCTCCGCTTACTCCCTGGACTGCCATTCTCACTCCGTGATAATATGTCGGACATACACAAAACGGCCTTCTAGCTACTGTGTCGGTAGTTTGGGAAACCTAGTTCGTTAAAATAGACTAAACTCCTTGTGCCATTCAGAATCCAAACATGTCTGGATTGGACTGGCGAAGAGCACCTTTGGGTTGCTCTTTGGATTCACTTGTGCGAAAGATGCCATCAATGAATCCATTCAGGATATCCACCACATCTTCTGCATTGTCACCAAGGATGACTTCAGGCAAGTTTTGTAACTCATCCAATATATCCTGCCCAAGGTCAGGAGGATTCCCCTTTTGCTTTGCCAGGCTTGCCATTTGACTTGAATCAACCACTTCTACATGGCCATCCAACAACAACATCATGTCATGAATATCGTCCAACTCTAATCCACCATCACTGGATGTGTAGATGTAGTTGATGTATCCACGAGGAAAGTTGTTGATTCGATTTGCCATTTGGTCTGCACTAACATGAAAGTCATCTCGATTGTCAACTCCCCGCCAAAACACTGTATCGAACACTGCCAGGTTTCCACCAATAATCCGGTAGGTGTTGTCCAAGAAGGGATACGTGACAATGGGGAGAGCATAAGGGACATTCATAGCCAACACAGACTCAATGACCCCATTGTTTGTGTATCTTGGAAAGTAGTTGGTAAAGGCATTGTTCCAGGTGCCAACCCATTCCCATGCAACCATGGTATTAGTGTTGAGAGTTCTGGCATCTTGTTCTGTGAGTCGAATAAATTCAGCTTGTGTTTGTGGGCCCATCAACCCTGGGTAGCCGTACAAATGTCCAGAGGGAGGCAGAACAAATGTGTCCAATCCCTGAGTGGCATTGAATGCACTGTCTTGATACCACTGCCACATTTCCGGGGCCAATATGGGTAGGTGAGGTGACATGGACCACGAGAGAGGATAACATATAGGTTGGAAGGCTGGATCGCCATTGGCCAAGGATAGCACTTGTTGGTCTGGAGGCCGTTCAGAACAATATCGTACTCGTTCCTTCATCCAATCTACGCGCCAATCTTCAACAAATGACAAATTGTCACCATCACCCACAACTACTGCAATGTAGTTCTTGTCAGGATTGTATACAGGATCTTGCACTGCCAGGGGCACTATAGGTGATGAGGAGGATGTGCCAGCCGGTGCTCGATTGAAGAAGCTCAGGTTTGTAACTGTCTCTGTGGCAATTGTTCCCATGTTCCAATGGTTGCCACAATGTGTATTCGCTTCAAAAAAATCCCCTTGAAATACTGTGAAAGTTCGATCATAACCATAAACAGGAATCGGATTGGGCCAAGGGTTGTTATTTGGATTGGTCATGTAGCTCACATACTGCTCTTCGGGATCTCCCTGGATGCACCCAAACCACAAGTAGAAGGCAAATAGTCGTTGCTGAATAACAAAATCAGATAGTCTCAGCCTCGAGTTTCCAGGAACTAACTCTGGTGTCCATTCTCCCAATCCACCAAGGTCTTCAGCTGGTTTGTACCCAGGATTCATCTTGGCAATACCCCCTTGAGTCATTTGTCCATAGTTCTCAAAGACATATCGTGTAGCATCCAATGCCGTAAAGCCTTCAAATTCAGAAGTAGCATCCAAGAGCAGAGGTATACCAGAGTCTTGTACCAAGTTGACAAAATTGATACTACTTCTGGTTGTTTGCTTTGGCAGTTCCGATATCGCCAAGGATACGGGAGCAAAATCAAATATAGGAATGGCATCTAGAACGCCTGCCAACGTAATGATGTTGGGCAGGAGGGCAAGTTGGCCTGTGAAGGAATAGCGGATGTATCCCTTGACTGCAGCTCTATTTGATTCATGAAAACATTGAACCAAGAAGTCTTCTGCAGGAATCAGAGATCCTTCATATGATGCATCATCATCAATTAATCCAACATCCACGAGCCAGGATTGATCCCTCTCTCCTCCATGCAGATAAACAGGTTCCCCCTGATTCTCTGGACGGTTGAACAATCCAGCACAGACTCGCAAGGATAACTTTTCATGCTCCTCCAAACCAGAGAGATCCACAATCTGAATCGCTCCGGTGGAATCAAATAGGGTCACTATTAAAAGCAGAACAAGGAGGGTCGTCGTCCTCCTCATGGCTTCTAGCACCATCTCAAACGATGGAAAACTCTCCGCTCCTCTGCCCGTTTGTGAGACTAGTCTACGCCAGTGGCACAAACGATTGTGAGGGTTGACTAGTCTACTACGGTAGTATGCGTGCCCCTTCCACCACCTATTACTGTACGCACGATCTTTCGCATAAATCGGATGCCAACGGCTCGACGAATTCCTCCCCTTTTTTGTGCTTTTCCCCACGAACGATCAAGAAGGCCACGTCACTCCTGCGGGATTTCTCAAACGTGAGTAAAAAACGGTCAGAACCAGAATGCGCAGAGGCGGAAGGACGCATTCGAGCATCGGCCACTCGGGGTTGGGGGTTGGGGGAGGAAGAAGCGCTTATCTCTTCACGGATGTGGCTGTACAAAGAGCATGACCGGGGAAGCAACCAAGTTGTTCCTGCCAGGTGCCGGACCAAAGCGCTTTGCATTGCTTTCTTGGCGCCGGTGGCAAACCCTGGAACGCTTACCACCGCCTCGTTTCAGTTCTAGCGTGGTGGAACTCTAGGAAATTCATGGTGGGACCCTCGGGATGATCCGACAAGATTCCCTCCTCCTTCCCTTGGAACATCTCGGGAAACACAACACGATGGACCGCTGGTACTAGGTAGTACTTTGTTCGCCACATCTACATGATACGGTTTGTGCAATTCCGAACCTATCGTCAACGTTCTGCATGGAATCGAATCGCCACCACATCCGATTGACTTCAATTGTGGCAAACTGATGGATCAGAGGCTCCTTCGATTTGACCGCTATGCATCCAATGACAAGTACTTGGCTGAAGCAACATCATGACATATTTTCCTGCTTGCAGAGGCTCGTGTTCTCCGCCTTTCACTGTATCGAGCTCAACATTGCAGCAACCTACGCTGCAGGTGAAGAAGTTGAAAGGCTGCAAGCTTTCTGCATCAACCAGAGTATTATTGGTTGCTCTTCGGGCAAATCAGAAAAATCGCAACAGGGTGGATTCAGTTGAGGCAAAACTACACCAACTAGCTATCCAGAAGGGATGACTACAGTTTTTCACTTATACCGGTACAAAGCAACTTACCTGTGTGTCTGCAGTTGAGGCAGTTGCCTAGCTAGGTCAGCATTGCCACGATCGTTGAGTTGCGATGGTGTCCTGCTTGAAAACTATGTGCACATGCCAGCTCTCAAGAAGAAAGAGGTACTATACAACAAAACTATGTGTTCCTTTTAGAATCCAAACATGTCTGGGTTGGAATGACGAAGACCACCCTTGGGTTGCTCTTTGGATTCACTTGTGCGAAAGATGCCATCAATGAATCCATTCAGGATATCAGGTAAGTCTTGTGCGTTGTCGCCAAGGAGCACTTCCGGCAAGTTTTGCAACTCATCCAATATATCCTGCCCAAGGTCAGGAGGATTCCCCTTTTGCTTTGCCAGGCTTGCCATTTGACTTGAATCAACCACTGCTACATGGTCATCCAACAACAACATCATGTCATGAATATCGTCCAACTCTAATCCACCATCACTGGATGTGTAGATGAAGTTGATGTATCCACGAGGAAAATTGCTGATTCGATTTGCCATTTGGTCTGCACTTGCATGAAACTCATCTCGATTGTCAACTCCACGCCACACCATAGTGTTGAAGACTACCAGGTTTCCACCAATAATCCGATAGGTGTTGTCCAAGAAGGGATACGTGACAAACGGGAACATGTAAGGGACATTCATAGCCAACACAGACTCAATGACCCCATTGTTTGTGTATTTTGGAAAGTAGTTGGTAAAGGCATTGTTCCAGGTGCCAACCCATTCCCATGCAACCATGGTATTAGTGTTGAGAGTTCTGGCATCTTGTTCTGTGAGTCGAACAAATTCAGCTTGTGTTTCCGAGCCCATCAACCCTGGGTAGCTGTACAAATGTCCAGAGGGAGGGAGGACAAATGTGTCCAATCCCTGAGTGGCATTGAATGCACTGTCTTGATACCACTGCCACATTTCTGGTGCCAATGTGGGTAGGTGAGGTGACATGGACCATGAGAGAGGATAACATATAGGTTGGAAGGCTGGATCGCCATTGGCCAATGATAGCACTTGTTGGTCTGGAGGCCGTTCAGAACAATAGCGTACTCGTTCCTTCATCCACTCTACCCGCCTGTCTTCCATGAATGATATATTGTCGCCATCACCCACAACTACAGCAATGTAGTTCTTGTCAGGATTGTATACAGGATCTTGCACTGCCAGGGGCACTATAGGTGATGAGATAACAGGGGTGCCTGCACCACGATTGAAGAAGCTGAGGTTGGTGACGTATTGTGTGGGGATAGATCCCATGTTCCGATTGTTGCCACAATGTGTATTCGCTTCAAAAAAATCCCCTTGAAATACTGTGAAAGTTCGATCATAACCATAAACAGGAATCGGATTGGGCCAAGGGTTGTTATTTGGATTGGTCATGTAGCTCACATACTGCTCTTCGGGATCTCCCTGGATGCACCCAAACCACAAGTAGAAGGCAAATAGTCGTTGCTGAATAACAAAATCAGATAGTCTCAGCTGGGAACCTCCAGGAACTAACTCTGGTGTCCATTCTCCCAGAAATAATCCAAATTCTTCCGGAAGCACATCATCAGTCCTTTCTTCTGGTAAATACCCAGGATCCAACTTGGCGATTCCTCCTTGGGTCATGTGTCCATAGTTTTCGAAGACATATCGTGTAGCATCCAGCGCAGTAAAGCCTTCAAATTCAGAGGTAGCATCCAAGATCAGTGGCAAGCCAGATTCTTGTACCAAGTTAACAAAGTTGATGTTGCCACTCTGTGGCTGCCCAGAATTGTAGACTGGAACGGGAACTGCGTCCATTACTCCTGCCAGGGTAATAATGTTGGGTAGGAGAGCTAGTTGGCCTGGAAAGGAAAACTGAATGTATCCTTTGATGATACTTCTTTTGGATTCCTGGAAGCAGTGAGCCAAAAAGTCTTCTGCTGGCATCAAAGATTGTAGAAAAGTTGCATCGTTCTCAACCATCCCAAGATCCACAAGCCAGGATTGATCACGCTCATCTTCATACATATAAACAGGGATCCCCGTGCCTAGGTTCTCTGGCCGATTGATCAACCCAGCACAGGCTCTCACACTTATCTGTTCATGGTCTTGCAGGAAAGCAATATCCACGAGCTGAATTGCTCTGGTAGAGCCAAAGAGGAGTATTGTCACTATTATTAATAGCGACCTCATCAGGGGAGCCATCGTCGGCATCATCTGAAATTACCACGGACTCGACTCGTCTGTTTTGTGAGGGCAACTCCTTCGATTACGTACGATCTTTCGCGTGGCCAACTCTTGGTTCTTAGTTTTCACCACAGTGTTCATTGCACTGTGGGGAGGAGAGGTTCCAAAATGCCAATGATACTCCGACCACTGGATAATTAACACGTCACACGTTGTTCGCGTATCTTTCCGCAGAACGTGCAGACGGTAGACCCCGACATCTCCCCCCCAACCAAAGCAATGGGGGTTGGTTTAGAGAGGTAGATTATCTACTAGGCCCCCCAACCAAGATCATGATAAATGGGTGATGGACGGCTGTTGCTGAATGGCGATGGTGGTGCTTGTACCACATTACGTCCATTATCCTGTGAATTGTCCTGCTTGCAGCGGGCCGATGGGTCCTCCTTGTGGAAGTCTGGATCCACACAAGTCATGGCTGCTGTATATGGTCCTATTGCACCCCGAATTCCATCTCAAGAAAAGGGCGACGAAGCTCAGGTGTCGGTTGTCATCAAGTCAGGACGACACAATAATGCCAACAACAACAGCAAGAGCAACAATAGTATGCTGGAACGAGAATGGGAACAATTGGTGACATCCATTTTCACCGCCTGCATTGATACCAATGCCTACGCCCGGACTGTAGTGGAAGTGGTGTTGCAAGTCGTTCAAGATGATGGTTCCGTCTTGGCGGCGGCACTACACGCTGCAGTGGCTGCCTTGATGGATGCAGGAGTATCCTTGACCAATCTACCGGTAGCCACCACGTTTTAACTCTCCATCCACAAGGACGCACCGCTCCTTATTTTGTTGGATCCATCCTCCAACGAAGAGACAAATCCAGAAAATTGTGTGTTGGTAATGGTGACAGAAAACAACGACCCCAAATGCATTCTAGCCACGCATTCCATGACGGCAACATCTGCCAAAAAGACAAAGACAGCGGCCACTCTGTCAGCTACCACTGTTCTGTCTTGTGCCCAAGCGGCAGCCAAAGCTACACCTGCCGTGGTCACTTTCTGGAGACTCGCCATGGAACAACGAGTCACACGAGAATCTCAAACCTTGTGGTCGTCATAAAAAATACAAAACAGTAGAAAAGTAAAGTTGTCTGAAAGCCTAGATAACTGTTTTAAGACTATTGCAACCAACATCCAACTTGTATGCGTAGCCACCGGGAGTCAGGAGCGCTGCCTTGGTCCTAGCTCATGGGGTGGCAGGGAATGATTTACATGTTTGCATGTAATCGAATCGTACCTCCGATGAAATTACTTACAAGCAAGATGTCCATGCGCTCTCCCTCTCGAACTCCCACAACCACCAAATAGACAAGCCACTACCACCACTGCAACCAGCCCATCCAAATTACGTATCCGCCGTCTCAAAGTATTGCTTGGGTGACTCGACTCTACATTGGCTTAACTGCTAGTAGCTAGCTAGGGGTATATCTGTCAACTCACTTTGATGGCTGAAAAATGAACTTATTCGAAAATGAGAGGTTGGACTTTACCCCATCCTCGAGAGGTTCCGCTAAAGAATCCAGTGATAGGCACAATCCATAGTTGGGTGAGGAGCATGGGAAGGACTGCCACACCAGAGTCAAAGAACCAAGAAGCGTCCTGCTGTAATGAGCCTAGCTAGGGCGCTAACAAGAAGCAGGATTCAGTCCCCAAGCCAGAAGACTTCTGAGAGTCGTTGTGTGGTCTTTCCGTGAGGACCGGTTAGTTGCTTGTCAGGAAGGAAAAGGACGAATGGAGTGAAAATACTTTGACCGGCTGCAACCTGAACTGACTGATTACAAGTATGGCTACACAACTCCAAGCCAACAAACAAACAAAAAGAAGAAGAAGGTAAACAGTGCCTGAGAGGATTTAATCCGATCTGTAGAAACAGAACGTGGCTTCTCCCTTTGTCTCCCTGGGATGGATTGCACTCAGTCAAGGCAGTATGTGCAATATGTCATTCTTACTTGTGATGCTGGTGTTTCTCCTGCTTTGAATGCAGTGAGTGGCGACCTCAAAGGAGAATCGACTTGCATCTCTGCCGAAGCCTTCGCGTCTGGGAAGTTCAAAACATGCTAGACAAGGAATGCACATTTTTTGCACCCGCTTCAAGTAGCGTAAAGATGGCTCTGTAGAAGTCCTGGATACACAAAACATCAGCCCAATGACATTCTGTGATTTTCATTAGGTGGGTTGGCATTGTCCCAACTTTGCAGCAAGCAGCAGGTGTCCAGTTCACGTTGGACGTCCACAGTGGCAACAGCTGTTGATTGAAGATTCATTCCAAAACAATGTGTTGCGTAAGCAACAAAGGATGCAGCCGATTCCAGTAGTATAATGCATCCAGGTCGTCCACAAAATCCAACAAGACATCTTCCACCCAGTCGCGTTGATTCATCGAATCGATTTCTTTCATGATGTAGCCCCTATCCATGCTGTTTAACTTACAGTATAGGTCAATTTGCTCTCCCTGTATCGTCATGAGATCACAACACGTCAGCGCGTAATTCTTGCCCGATTCGAGTAGTTCCTTGTACGCGTCAATGACGGCGGAAGTGACAATTAGTGATGGCGAAGCTTCCTCTTTGCTTCCTCCTCGAACTCGAAGACCTTCGAGAAATGTATTGTTTTCCAAGGCACGGCAGATATCCAGGAGCAACTGTTCTGGATGATGTTGGTTGTTGCTGTAGCTGTCTCCTCCTTGTTGGGATTGATCCATATAATCATCGGCATCATCATCGCCATCGTCGCCGTCGTCATCATCCTGGCAACCGTAACCATTGGCAATCCAAAGTCTCATTCTTTGATAGGGTCCATGCCCACCGGATGGGATTTGAGCCTGCAAGATTTGCCGAGTCAAGCGGTTCACGGCAGCATCGGTAATGTCGCCTTTCTTGCAAAGTCCCAACAGAATCCGCCCCCCAACGGCATCACCATCGTCATCGATTGTAGCTTGCACTCGAATGTCCATGCATTCCAAACTGGTCACATATGCCAACGACTTGAGCAACTCGTCTACCCAAAGACGATCCATGAGAATATTATTATTGCTGCTGGATGCTGACGATCCGGGTTCTGTAATGACGCAATGAACACACTGAAACAGTTTCAAGTTTGCCAACTGGGATCGAAGGGCTTGATGAAAGGGTACCAGAGTTTCCGAAACGTGACTTGTTGTTCCGTCTTCTTGTATTCGTTCTTCGACTGTAGAAGTCAGAAAGCGCAATCCATCAAGTACTAATCGTTCCAAGCCTTGACAATGAGTACAAAGGATAGTCAAAAGCGGAATGGGAATTTCGCCAGTGGTGGAAGTTGTGGTGGTTGTAGTCGATACCCATGTGAAGGACTGGAGGGGTAGCGTGGCCAGCTGTGTCATGAAATCTCGTGCTGCAGTGCGAGTCCAGTAGACATCGGCGTCCAAGATGACTGCTGTGACATGCTCGAATCGACTGCCGTGTAGAGAAAACAATTCTACAAACCTCTGGAACGTCCGATGAGGCAGTTGCGTCTTGGTAATTTGGAAGTGTAGTGTATCGACTGTCTCTCTCTCAGGTGACCAAACCGCGGATACGAGATCATCAATGCTTCTTATCACCACTACAGACGCCACCATTTCTTCAATCTTTGTGCTAGTAATAGCTATAGCAGCTAGCCAGTAGCAGAGGAGTCAGATGATACCGGTAGGTTCAGCTATAGCTTGGTAATGCATGAGATCTTCTATCTCTTGCTCCAGACTCGACTCTCCCCTCATTGTTGTTCTGTTCTTTGGTCCTTGGATCTTGAGGGTTGCCAAGCTAAAATCCTGCAAGGCTGTGAAACAACTCAGTGTGCTTTTTTTGCTTTTGTCCTCCTCGCATGTTGATCGCCAGGATTTCGATGTGGGAGCGTCATTGAAACTCACACTGTCCATTTTAGATTGCTGAGGGATTAGAGACCATATTAGCAAACTACATCAAATAGACCAGGTCTTGAAGCGGGGGTCACCAGATATGGGCTTGGTGTTGCTGTGGAAGGAGATTCACTGGGGCTGCCAGGTCTTCCCGTTTGTGGGAAATGGAGTGAACATCACAGCCCATGGTGGCAATAGAGGCTCTGTGAGCAGTTTCTCAGAGAGGAGGAGTGGTTGAATGGAGAAAGAGACTCCTCTTCCCAGAGAAGCCAAACCTAGCTGGATAATCATCACACTACGAACATGCATCAATCAAGACTGATTTCAATTCAAAACCTTGACTCTCACCATTAAATTTTATTAAGCATTTATTGTGCTACTCTAAAGGACTGGAGATTCTATGTTCATCTCTGACTAAGGATTCATGTATTCAGTTGAGTTTCCTAGCTAGAAGACAGCTAAAGCGCCCAACGCCATTGTGGCAGTCAAGATCATCGTGCTTGCTTTGTCCGTTCCACTGCTGTCGTCAACTGTGCTATCCTCTGTTTGGTCTTCGCTGCTCGTGGGAACTGAGGATTCCTTATCACCAGCCGGACTGGGAAGGTCTCGCAACAAAACAAATGATGTAATCTTGTCCATGACTGCTTGGGATTCTTCCATCGTGACACAGTTGCCTTCCAAAAAGAAGTCATGGCCACACTGGAAGTTAGCATGTTCGTAATCAGGCAAGAAGTCGACCGGAAAGTCCGTAGCATACGGTCTGTTGCACAAAAGAGACGTGTCCTCCAGCCCACAAATGAAGAGAGTGGGGATCTCAATGGCACCAATTTTGTCTTCCACTGGAACGCAGGGACGTTCCTCCATGGCAATGGCTGAACGTGTACGTTCCAAGAAGAACGTTGCTTCAGGCCCTTTCTCAGCTTTGTAGGTCTCGACTTCGTCATCCGACACTACTCGTGGCAACGAGAAGTAAGTGGGGAAACTTCCATTGTACCACCATAACATCTTCTGGAAGGATTCAGGCTGGACGGGCAGTCCAAAGCTGGCAAACATTTCGGTCAAGCTAGCATTGTTGGCAGCTGCACTATTTGGCAAGGAGAATTGATTGAAATAGTTTGAAGCAATAACCTGGTCCTCGTCATTGTTGTCACCGCAGAGCGCTTCGGACAGTAGATCAATGTGTGGAACAGACATGGTTGTCAAGGAAAGGACTTGATTGTTGATGTCATGGGCAGCGACATACCAAGCCAAGGCGGCCCCGTGATCATGTCCCAACAAGTGAAACCCGTTTGTAAAACCTGCCGCTTCAGCCAAGGCAAAGGTGTCTTCTGCAAAGATGGAGTAATCATAGTCTTCAATCGTTTCCGGAGAGGCTTGGGGACTGTATCCACGAAGGTCACAAGCCACAGCATGAACGGACATTGCGTCATCCGTCTTGAGCATTTCGTCCCAGTGTTGGAGGAGTGGCATCCACCAGACACGAAACATGGGAAACCCATGCAGCAGCATGAGCTGTTTCAGTGGAGCATCTGGGTTTGCTAGTGATCTATGGTCGAGAACGCTGCAGGTAAAGTTCAAGTTGTTCGCCGCCAAGTATTCAGTTGTCAGTGCAGCCTCGATGGGGTGAACCAAGCAACTTGCCAGGAATGCCCATGGGAGATGTTGCGCGTTGACCTTCATATTCAAAATTCGGGTGCGTTTTGGGATGCTCGTCTGGATTGTGAGACGAGAAATAAATGAAAAGGATTGAAGCGCAGGCATCTTGGAAGGGATTCGATTCCTGCGACTTCCTTTCCTCACTCTCCGGAAGTGGCTGGAAAGATCCAAAGATAGATCAGGTTTCGGAACTGCAGCATCCACGCATCCACCACCCTCTCATCACAGCTCGTGGTTAGCTGCCGACGAAGCACACCACGACTTGGTCCGCGAGCTTCTCGGAAGCTCCACGGATGCAACTTCTATAAGACAGCAGAGTTGACTTCTTCTGTATGGCGCGATCTTGGTACCAATCTCCGATGGAATGGTATTCATTGACATTGAGTTCACGGAGTGATCTTTTCTTTGTCTTTCTCTACCACTTGACGTTGAATCCATGTCACCCTCTCAACAATGCTGGTTGTCGCTTCTTCATTGCCGGTATCGCTTATCGTTGGTGGCAAAAAGCCCAACCGTCCTCCACCTCGTCGACGATGTCCCGAACTCGATTTGGTGAGAGTTTCTGTCACTTCTGCCCATCCCACCAGGGGAGGATCTGCCAAGGCAATTCTTAGATTGTGCAGTGTGGAGAAGAAGAGGAATTGATCCAAATGAGTTTGTTTCCTGTCACGGGCGCCCTGCTCGAGTGCTTCTTGCAACCTTTTGATGCCGGTAGGGTACTGAATGGCAAACAGTGTCGCTCCGTGCACGCCTCCCCCACGACACCCTTGAAGGTACGTGTGTAAGTTTCGTTTGTGGAAATCTTTTGGATTATTCTTGGCAGATTGGTTTTTCTGAATGGCCTTCCAGGAATGTCCCAGGGACAACACGTCCAATTCGGGGTTGGAACAAAAGGCATGCTGGCAGATTTGGACCAATTGACAGGGTGAAATGTGGGCTGGAATCCGTATATCGTCCTCTGCTACAAATACAAACTGGTTGTAGCTTTTCGTAGAACAGACATTGTTGTTTTGGCAATCCTTTTCCTGCCCATGTTCTACTCCCGCTAGAAGACTTTTAAGTTTAGGTAGCAATCGTTGTCTCCACCCTTCAAAGACAATTTTCTTGACCCCAATGGATGGGTGCTCTTGTAGGTTCAACATATAGCAAGGTTCGGGTCGCTGAATGAGACACTGTTGTTGACCGTGCTGCTGGCATTTTTGTTGACTAAAAAGAATGTGTTGTCGAGTATCATCGTATCTTGCGCGGTACTCGGGAGTGTCCACAGTGGCCACTATCAATGGCACTTGAGAATGAATGATATCCTTATTATCAATAATAATGTCGAAACTAGATGTCTTCAGTTTGGTCCATACAAGAGACTTGGTCTCCTCCTTGGGAACGAGCTTGGACCATTCCTTCTTGAGAGCTGCTAGATCCCTCTGTTTGTTGTTATTGCAGGCCGTTCCTTTTCCTTCTTGTTTCTCCACCGCGTGTTCTACTCCTTCCATCATGGCAAAGAAGTAAGTACTAGCTAGCTAGTACAGATGATAGATGCGACGATATCATCGTCGGTCTGTTCATTCACATGACGGTACCGGTTCAGGTCGTTCTGTACCATTAGCACTGTTGGCTGATGAGAGGCCAGAACACCATTCAATCGCAGATTGGGGACACTGGATCTTTGGCTGGAGTATCTTTTCAAGTTTACCCCATCCCAACGAATATCGAGCGTGCCGGCAAACACAACGACTACATCCGGAACAGACAAAACGTCTCCTCTCGATCACTTTTCTCTCGCTCCAGCCCCTGGTTATACGTTGCTCTTGCCTTTGTGGTCTCTGCCTGTCTCTTTCTTTGCTTGTGCAGCTGCGCCATTGGCAGTGCCACCCAGCAAAAGAGCGAGTGGTTGTAGTTGTTGTTGACTAGAAGACTTGACTTGACTTGTCTGCTCTAGCTAGCCAGCCTAGTCATTGGACACCCTTTCCATGATCAATCTGCAGAAAGGTAGGGACTCCCAGTAGCACTTAGGCAACAATTCACGTATCAAACTAACTTTTGGAGACGAGAAAGATACCCAAGCCAACAAACACTCAGTCAGGTCATCCTCCTGTTGGTCATTCGAGGATCAATCGAACGCTACGGTACGGTTCTTCCTTCGTATAGTTGTCAAATACACACAACCCTTCATGGCGCATTGTTGACGACGGGAGGTGCAACAGGTGAACGTTCATTCGCGGACATGAGTCTTCTTCGACATTCGAGGTCGAGGTGTTGCATGATGATGATGATGATGATGATGATGATGCTCTCTTTGGTCCTTTTTGGCATGCTCTTGACGGTGGCTGCGGCAGACACGCAAGAGGCGAGATATCCCAAGAGATCTCTGTCAATCACGGAACAGGTGACCATGCAGATCGAGAAGGGCAATGTGGATTTTTGGCAGAAGGATCCATTGGATTTCAAGCATTTGCCGTTTCGAGAAAGGACGTTGCAAGAGCCAGAAGAGTCTGAAGCTATGGAAACCATGATTGACTACAGTATTGGTGGCGCAGTCAACTTTGACAACATTGATGTCGAACAGGCACGAGAGCCTTCACAGTCACCCACACCAGAAGACACGCCCCAGGAAACTCTGGAATTCACGCAGGATGGATTCTTCTTCTTTGGAGAGGTACTCACTGGAAATCCATCAGAAGCCGAACCTGTGCCAACAGTTGGGCCATCCAAAATGCCAACCACACCCTCATCGCAACCCACACAAACATCTCGGCCTTCAGATTTCCCCTCCAAATTTCCTTCCTATAGTCCTTCCATATCTGCGCTGCCATCGTTTCGCCCTACCAAGAGCCCATCGAGCTCGCCCACAACAAGCATGCAACCGTCCGACATGCCTTCCGACGTACCATCCAATGTGCCGACAATTTCCATGGAGCCCAGTGCACAACCGTCGATTTCCCTCGAGCCGACACTCTCGGCCATGCCTTCGGATAATCCATCCGATATCCCTTCAGATGTACCCTCGGATGTACCTTCCGATGTACCTTCTCTCGTACCAACGCTGGCCGAAGAAGACAGGGAAGACATGGGTTTGACCATGCTGTTCGTCACAGATGCGCCCTCGGATAGGCCGTCCTTTTCCGCAATGCCATCCTGGCATCCATCCACAAGTGTTGCCCCATCATTTACTCCTTCCGATCTACCCTCCATTGTCCCCACGTACTCCATGAGCCCGTCGGATACACCGACTGTTTCATTTTCGCCAACCATCTCGATGGAGCCATCTCTGTCTCCAACATTGAGTCCATCTGACCGACCTAGCATAGCTCCATCCTTGTCAGCGATGCCGTCACAGGAACCAACGGCAACTCCTTCCTTTTTCCCGTCGGATGCTCCCTCCTCTGTTCCATCCATACAGCCAACACAAAGTTCCTTTCCTTCCATGCCGCCAAGTTCCTCTCCCTCTTTTGTCCCGTCTGAAACCCCGTCGCAGGTACCCAGTCAAGCTCCTTCTGATGTTCCTTCCAGTCCACCGTCATCTTTACCGTCGACAAGTCCTTCGGCAAGACCATCCAGCACGCCATCCATGAGCCCAACCATGGTTTGTCACGATGAGCCAGACTACCGGAGTCCCTTCAACGACTTTGAATGCAAACATCATGAGGGACAATCCTGTCTCAAGTGGAGACACTTTCTGACGCTAGATGATTTGGAGCTACTCATTATTAATTGTCCCGTGTCTTGTGAAGTCGACTGTGGGTAAGTGAATATGATACGCAAGCAAGTATGAGTGATTGAGTGAAAGGAATGCGTATTGCTCACATTATGTCTTGTTGTGTGGAGCGTAGAACTGCGGCAAAGTATGACATTGAAATTTCGTACCAAATATCCAGAGTGCCAGGTCTTTTGGATGCAGCCACGGTGGGTGATCTCAACGAACTTACCAAAGGATTCCTCATTGACTATGTTCGAGTTAACAAGGAGCCAACAAAACAGATTTTTATTGACAATGTCGAGCTTCTGTCGCAAACGATTCTGAGTCGAGAAACTCGGAGGAGGATGGCAATAACACAAAATGAATTCAACAACAACCATCATCACAAGAGACAACTCGAGGGATTCATCAATCTTTGGGTTACCGTGGCCCTTCGTGGCATTGCTTTCAATATCACCACGGAGGACACTACAACTCGATTCATCAACGGCGTGGACAGCACCGGCTACTCCAACGCCATTCAAAACTCTGGAAATAAAGACTTGTCTCACGCCTATGCATTCTCCGCCGCTGCCAAGGAAGATGACAGCATAACTCCTCTCTTGGAAGAAGTCCCAGAAGATGGCAACGGGTCGTCAGCGGCTATCGTTGTCGTGATCGTGGTGTTCATATTGGCGGTGGCCTGCGGGGTCAGTGCATACGTTTACCACAAACAATCTCCCAATGGACTGCCATTCTTCCGAAGTCGCCGAAGAAGAAAGGTGGTTGTACGGGATGTGCAGAGCCCAGAATCACAACAATTGGCCTCCCACGTCGGAAGTATGTTCTCTTTTGATGATTCAGCCACAGCAGGTACCAACGGTCTCATGAGATACATTGGCAGTTTCAGCAGAAGCAAAGATTCGACAAGTCCTGGCAGTAGCGCTCAAGAATCATATCAGAACGATATGGATGATGATGATAACGACGGCAACCATTCTCATGACGAAGAACTGGGGCAGATGATGACACCAACCCTGGACGAAGAAGAAAGCAGTGTCGTAGAGGAAGAAGAGCCGCACCCACTCACTGGCATCATTCCTCCAATGATTGTATACGATCACATTGACGGCAATGGGGAACAGGAGATGGAAGTTAGAAAGACTAGAAACAACTCGGTGGTGCCTTCCCGTCGGGTCGAGGCAAGTTCCAGCTTTAAAGCCGTGCTTGGAAAGCGAAATAGACCGTCTGCAACAACCGATCTGGCTGAATATATGAGGTACGTCTGTTCGCTTCAACGCGTACATATATTGATTGATTCTTGATGAAACTGACGGCTAATATCTCGATCCTTCGGGGCTTTTGTTGCTCTCCCAAGCGAAACGAGCAATTTCACATCAAACCCTTCGTTGCGATGGAACAGGCTTGAATCCAGGCGCCCATCCCCCATTGGTATCGTGGTTGACAGCGATGACGACGTGTCCGTTGCATCAACACCGGTTCGTCCTCTGCGCCAAAGAGACCTCATACCGACATCCCACCGAAAGACAAGAAGTCTCGACGATCGCAGTATTCTTGAATCACTCAGCGACATCATAGTGTCTGAGCTTGACTACGGAGCGAATGTCTCGCCCATCGAGCTCCCAGCTCTCAGCCTGACGCCAATGGCTTTGTCACCTGTCAAGGGGAAGCCAACGAGGCCACTACGCACGGCGTCGCCACTCTTGGCACTCAATAGTTCGCCGTCGAGTAATGCAAATGCATCGCTTGAGTATGAAGTAGATCCGGACCCATCGGGTGGCAGCAGCCAAGCTGAAACTCCACAGGCTTTGAAGGGGAATTCATCGCATTCGATGGGTTCCCGATCGTCGAGGAATCTGAACGGCGTTGGACAAAATGAACCAAGAAACTCGTTCTGGAACCGAAGTCCAATCGCCAAGGGGGTCAAGGATGCTATCTTTGCGGCAAAGAGAGCCAACACGCCAACGCAGCGATTAGGATCTCCAGGAACTCCCACCCGAACCGATATGCAGCCAAAACGACTCATCGGCGGGCCTCCGTCAACGCCTCCTACAAGTACGGATGTGCCGGCAAGAAGAAACTCGGTGGGGACACCGCCGACTCGAACTGACGTTTCTGGCGCTCGACGGTCTTCATCGAACCTCCCCCCACCTACTACTCCCACAAGCAGATCTGAATTTCAAACCGTGAGACGCAGTTCGACGCCTACAAGAATGGAGACTTTCAAACGGATACCCACACCTCCGAGAGCAGACCAGCCGGTTCGAAGGAGCTCCAGTCCTAGCAATCTGGTTTCGATGAAGTCCACCAGCGATGAGTCACAAGGCGAAAGCCGTCGTAGTTTGACCATGAGGAGCGCTTCTTTCGGAACGGCACAGGAATCGTTGGATGAGGAACACGAGTTTAGAGCGCAGAGGATTGGGAAATTGGGTATGGTGATCAACTCTTCTCCTTCGACCGGGCCATTTGTAGAACAAGTGAAAGATTACTCGACTCTATTTGGCCGCATTCTTGCTGGGGACCGAATCATCGAAGTTGATGGAGTAGATACCACACAGATGACAATCAAAGAGGTAACAAAGCGACTCTCTGGAAAATTCGGTATTCGGGCTACTTCCAACGAAGTCCGCATCAAAATTGCACGCCATCGCGAACGCGAATGTGTTTGGGCCGAGGATGATGATAGGCGAAGTGTGAACAGCGAAGACAGCTATCGTGATCCAGAACCGCTGCTGGAAAGATTGTCATTGCACAGCGGGAGCGAACACCGGCTCTCTTCCAATAGTGGCAGCAGCAACACTACCCGATCAGGCGAGGAAGTGTGAAAAGGAAGAACAAGGCTTCACAGAAAGTGATGGACGCTGCGATGGGTAGAGGCGGGCATAAAAGACAAAAGTTTCATAACCGAATGAATGTAGAATATAATCCTTTTAAGAGGCATACAATGATGCCCTAATACGAAACCTAACCGGTCCCGAAGTGGATGCTTCGTACCGGTAGTTGCTGGTGGGGCCAGTGTCGCCCAAGGGCATAAAAGACAAAGGTTTCATGACCGAACGAATGTAGAATATAATCCTGATCCTAATACGATGCTAAAGGACCCGAGGTGGATGCTTCGTAGTTTCCGGTGGGGCCTATGACGCCCGCGCATTTCAACAAGCGCCAGCAAAGAAGAAATGGAAGGGATCACGAAGGACACATCATTTAGGCTAAGATCCACGAAGACTTGCTTGTACAGATTATGCATTGAAAGCTTGTTTTCGGAGGTGAAAGACTGGATTGGATGGGAGAAGTATTGTTGCAATTATCCTTTCATACTGTGTCCTCCATTTAGTAAGCGGGAGGCGTGATGTGAGGATCCATGAATTCCACACCTTCAAATTTCATATTTGCCTCGATTTTGACTTCATCCAATAGCACCTCTCCCGTCATAACATCGAACACCACAATGTAGGATCGTTGCTTGCATACTTGATCATCCCCGCCCACACAGTCTTCCTCCACAGACCTCAAAGCGAGAGCATGTCTATCTTTGGTATTTGGCACAAACGCAAATGAAGAGAATCCATGCAATCCGTCCTTGTCAGCCATGTTGATTTCCACAACTTTAGCGGATGAAAAGTCTTCGCTGACCAAGACAAGTTTATTGGATCCATTTTTTTCATCCTTGTTTTCATCGTACGCTTCGGAAGAGATTCGTCTGGGCAAAAATACCCATTTTTTCAAATGATCCGACCAATTGATGGCTTCGTGGATGACATACCCGGGTGATTCGGCTCCCAAAGCTTTGCGGACGACGTTGTAATTTTTGGCCCAGTCAATACGACTTAGGACTCCCTCAGCGCTGAGAGTGGCAACCCAAAGATTGTTGGTGTTGGCAATGGAACCGTCAGGGTTGGTGTATTCTTTTCCCATGGATCCCATGTACAGCAAATCATCCTTGACGGTACTCCACTCCCATTTCATTCCTTGAGGTATATTTATATATAATACCAGAGGATCAATGAATGAATCATTATCGGGTGAGGCCAGGCCTGGTGAAACATCACAATGGTAAAGAAAGAAAGAGGAAAACAAATAGCATACCTTTATCCGTATCCCCAGATCCTTCGGTAATAACAAATCGTGGCACCACAAAAGAGTCATCTCCATTGGGGGTATTTAGGACTTCAAAAACATCCCCGGTACGGTCATCAAACGTGAGCAGTCGATTGTGGTAGATGGTGAGTTCTGAGAATTCTGCTCCACGCCCGGCTTCGTTGTGTTTGGTTTTGAGAGTGCGCATCTTTGGTTCCATGGTGAGGGCGTACTTTCCATTGACCCACTGGATGTCTCCCAGCAGCATGAATGAATCCCAAGTTGGTTTTCTGGCTTCCTTTTCCTTGGATAATTCGTCCAAGTCAGTAATAGCCGCAAATGTGAATTTGCTGTTTGGCTTGATACTGTCTTCCACTCTGAAGTAGCCTCTGTGAGCAGCACCACCAAACGAAGCGCCGCTGGAAAAAGACACAATGAATGAATGAATGAATGAATGAAATCTCAAGAGTTAGTCCAGGGTACCATACTGAAAATGCCGGTCTTGATTGTTTGTTTGTTGTTTGTTGTTTGCTGTTTGTGACTTACTACCGACTGTTACGTCTCAAATTCCCCAAGCCGCTGCCATCATGGACATAATCGGAAGAGATAAAGAGGATAAAGACCAGAAATGACAATGTGGCCAAAATCTTTTGTCCGTGCTGTCTTCCATAAAACTGGATCTGCGCCATAATGTCACTGGAACCAGCCTTGGGGTATGCAAAGGATTCGGAGCGGAGAGGCATCATCATGCTCATGGTGGAGGCTTTCTGGTTCAGAGCCGACATTTGAACGCTCCCGTTGGAAGAAGGGGCGGACTTCATGGTGATCGTCGCTGTCGTCGAAATGGTGGAAAATAATCGAATCACCGGTAGCACTCCGAAATGTGCTACTAGCTAGTACAAGAACAGACAGAAAAAGTAGATAATAACACTACTATTGTGCTGTAGTATGACGATAGAGGAACTCAGCCAAGTTTCCAACACGATGTGTCTTCTGGTCTTTGGTTGTTGTGAAACTGGTCTTTGGTTTTCTCGAAGTTGTTGGCATCGCATTATCGCATTGGTCAAAGGTCAAACGGTCATCATTGGTCATCTGTCGCAGACGCGGTTCCTCAAAACATTGCAGAGCTGCTCCACACCCGGTCCTTCCGCAGTACATACGGTTCGACACCAATGACATCATTATTTGGATTCAATGATCGACGAATGAGCTAGCTTGCTAGCTAGACTAGTAGTAGAGCCGCCCTTCTTGCGACTGTCAAGCTAATTGCACTCTACATTGATTCATTGATTCGATTCATTCTGTCAACTTCCCCTCTGATTTCATCTATTTGGCTGAACCGTTTCGAACCTTCACGTCCAAGTACGGTAGGGCCACACGAAGCCACAAGTTTGTCGCCTATGAACTTGATTATCCTGTATGGTATCAGCTTCATTCCTTTGTTTCCTTCTCTTCAGTACGCACACGGTACAAGTACTATAGGCCTTAGGGCCATTTTTAAAATGCTGTCGAGTGCAGAATTCGATTGCATCAGGTTCACTAGCTAGCTGCCAGTACTATGATAGCTAGCTAGTAGTGGCAGCTAGCTAGCTTGTACCGGTACTGTAGCTCGATTATGCACCTTACAATCCATGCCCCAGAAGATTCTCAACTAGCTACCGGTAGGTATCGTACGGTACGGTAACTTCAAGCCAATGCCATCGATTTTTTTTTGTTTATTTTTGCCATTTCGTGTCCTCCAAGATCTCTCTTGGCTCCCAAAATATATTTCACTTCATTTCATTTCATTCCGATCCATCTTGTCTTCATTAGCCGCCGCTGTCAACAGCACGCTTCAGCTGTCGAACAAGGGAGTTAGAGAGAGAGAGAGAGAGAGAGAGAGAGTCCAATCAACTGTACAACAACAACTTCAACATGCAAGCGGCTCGACTCCCCCTACAAGCCATGACGACCGAAGACGACAGCCAGGAAAAGGCCACGTTGGAGCAATTGATAGGCCAGATGACGAAGAACCTCGGCAATCCTTGTGAATTAGTTGGTCTGATGATGACAGATGTCCCATTTTTGCTTCTCACAACCTCTTTGGATGTATCAAAAGGTGCAACTGCGGATGATGTCACGTTCCGTCTAGCAACAGAGACGCTCCCCTTGGTGCTCATTCAAGCAATGAAACAGCACCCTACAAATCAAGCGCTCCAAAAGCGAGCGACGATGACCGTGTGCCTGGGCTGTACGAGTTCCAGCAGTTTCCACTGGGGAATTGTGAAGCAGCATGGCTCTGAGGCAATCCTGGCTGCACTGGAAGGGCTAAAGCAAGACGACGAAGTTTGCCAGTCTTCAATCTCATTTTTCCTCTTGTCGGCAAAGATGAAAAATACCGCTGCCAATCACATTTCTACTACTGGACTAGCTAGACTCCATGATGATGACGAAGAGTGCGGCTCGAATTACGAGGAAGTGTACCAGCGTCTGAGCAAGACACTCTTCGATGCTCTGGGTCCTATTCTCCAAGCTCTTCGAATGCACCCCAACTCTGCCAAGCTCCAAAAAGAGGGACTTGAGTGCCTCGATCGCATTTCCTTTGATACTGACGAAAGCGGTGAAACCAGCATTTGGAACGTGGGCCATTATGCTTCCGTGGATGCTTTCAGCACAATCTTGGCATCACACTTGCGCTTTGGGGTGCACTCAGAGATCGCTGGAAGTGGATGCCGCCTACTTCGGAACTTTCTCTATTGTTCCACCGATACTAGTACCGGCACTTTGGGTGGAAGGGCGGCGCTACTGGATCTGTCCAGCCAGCTGCCAGAGGTGATGGGTGTCGCAATCTTCCACCTCGAGGTGAATCTACACTGGGCGGACTCTGCTGCTTTGGAGTTGCTGTGCATGGTGCTCTGTCGATATCCTGGCATGGCAGAACACTACTTGAATAAATTGATGAATATCACGAAGAATCCTCCTGTCCACTGGGACAAGTGGCGTGCGTTTCGGGCCATATGTGATCTCCTGGCCCGCATTAGCCCTGTTGTGGGCGACATGGTGGGCAGTAAGACGGAGCTGATTGAATTGCTGGTTGCTGGGGCCTCGGAGGCAACCAGCAAGAATGATCCTGTCTTGTTTGAGGATTGCACATTTGCGCTCAATGAGCTCGCGAATGATGCAGCTTGTCTTCGTGCCATGTCAGCGAATCCAGACGTCGTCTCTGTAATTTGTGAAGGCATCCACGCTGAGTGCTCGGAAAATGTCAGCTTTCACCTAATTGGGGTGCTTTTGTCGTTGGTACAGGATGGTGGCATCGGTGCTATCATGCCTGAATCTAACCCATATTGCTGTATCCGCGGCATCATCATGGCCATGAGTGTGACTCCCAATTGCCCATTTGTCCGCAAGTTTGGATTCAGTCTCCTTGCCAAGATTGACTTTACACCGGCTGATGCCATGCTTGCAGTCATCAATGCTGAAGGTATTTCCACAGTGCTTTCCTCCCCCCTTCTACACGATGAATAGAGTGGAGAATGCTTGCAAGTTGTTGAACATGCTGACGTGGTCGCAGGGATGGAGTCACTATGCTGAGCGATGAGCGGAGGGATGGCATGTCAAATATCCAAGGACGGAGAAGAAGAATCAAATGGGGTACATGTATGCATATGGCGCTGGTTCACAAGGGAAGGAAGTTGTGCTTCCTTCTATACCCTTGCGTAAACCAAGAAAAAAATACATAGAAAAACTAGTCTACATCTAGCTAGATTACACATAGTTGAGCTGGCAACCAGTAGCTCTAATGCTGGCTGGTTGAGGTGCGAAGTGTGCTTTGCCTGCTAGCTAGCCTGGAGTGCTTTGCCTGGCGCGCTGGAGTGCTAACAGACGTACCGGAGTACATGTACTGGAGTGCACTGTCGCCTTGAGTGCCTTTTGCTGCTCCTGTGACAGTGACTGGACCAGTCCTGAAAGATCGTGAAAGAACTCCATCGAGCCTCACTCCCTTTCCCACCATTCTCGCCTGGACGGTTAGGTAAAAGTTTACTTGGGGGAAAACGGGGTATTTAATAACAGGAAAAGTGTGCGACAGTTGAATCTTGGCCTTCTGCCCATTTCGTCCAAAATCTTTCGTCCAATAAGTCAGCGGGAGCTGCGATACCTCGGCAGAAAGACAGATAGAAGAAGGATGACATGTTTGAGATTGCACCCTTCTTTCAAGGTAGCCCTGGCGACAACACCCGACTTCGTCGTGTGTTGCCGCCCCGTATCATTCCCTCATTATAACCTTCTTTTTTATTTAAGGTAGCCCTGGCGACAACACCCGACTTCGTCGTGTGTTGCCGCCCGCTAACCATAATTTTACAGCTGTCACTCCGGTATGTACCTGTAACTTTTGTAGCTTCTGCTGGCTTATTGTGTTGAGTGTACTAACCTTGAATATCCATGATTTATTCCTACCCCTAAATTTGTAGAGTTGGCTTGTGCCTATCTCTATCCCTATATTTTGGCTTCACCGGAACAGGAAATTCGGCTTTTTCAGCGCTCGTCTCCTGTATCCCTTTGCCTCAGTTTGGATCCTTATGACGAATACGGTACCTGGTACCAGTCAATCCAGCCATTGCAGCCTGCTACCATAGTTACATCAGCGACAGTGGCAGCAGTACCGAACACACTCAGGTTCAGCTTTGCTCGGTACACTTCGTTACCAGTACTTTGCATTGGATCCTTATGACGAATACATGCACAACCGAACATTGTCAATCCAGCCATCGTAGCCAGCTACCGTAGAGTTACATCAATCGGTGACAGTGGCAACAGTACCGAAAACACTCAGGTTCGACTTTGCTCGCTGCAGTCGGTTACCGGTACCTTGCATTGGATCCTTATGACGAATACATGCACAACCGAATATTGTCAATCCAGCCATTGTAGCCAGTTACCGTAGAGTTACATCAATCGGTGACAGTGGCAACAGTACCGAACACACTCAGGTTCGGCTTTGCTCGCTGCACTCGGTTACCTCGCATTGGATTCTTATGACGAATACATGCACAAAACCGAATATTGTTAATCCAGCCATTGTAGCAGGCTACCGTACAGTTACATCGGCGACAGTATCAACAGTACCGAACACACTCAAGTTCCGCTTTGCTGGCTACACTCCGTTGCTGGTATCTTGCATTGGATCCTTATGACGAATACATGCACAACCGAACATTATGAATCCAGCCATTGTAGCCGGCTGCGGTATAGCTACATCGACGACAATGGCAACAGTACCGAAAGTTCGGCTTTGCTCGCTACGGTTACTGGTACCTCGCATTGGATCCTTATGATGAATACATGCACAACCGAACATTGTCAATCCAGCCATCGTAGCCAGCTATCGTAGAGTTCATCGATCGGTGACAGTGGCAACAGTACCGAACACACTCAGGTTCGACTTTGCTCGCTGCAGTCGGTTACCTCGCATTGGATCCTTATGACGAATACAAGCACAACCGAATATTGTCAATCCAGCCATTGTAGCCAGCTGCCGTATAGCTAGTGGCCACAGTACTTGACTTGCACATACAGGAAAATGGGTACCGACACAGGAATCACCACCAAAACAGTAGGAAATAACCCTGGAGGGATGAATCCAATAGGAGGATCCACTCTCCTCTGTGCGTTTCGAGTTGTGGTGTAGCCACCTTGACGACTGTTGCCTTTTCAATGACTCGACGATGATCCGTTCAGCCTTTTGGTAGGGCTGGAGTTAACAGACGATATGCTCCTCTGTTCAGGCTGTTGGTAGGGCTGGAGCTAACAGAGCCTCCTCCTCCGTAGATCGATCAACAGCAGCCTCTTCTTGTTATCCGGAGCAATCGATCGTTCGAAAAGGACTCGACGCAATGGTATTTCATGGGCCGTCAGCAGTGCAGCAGAGAAAACAACGAATAGATATGAGTTTTGTTTTCTGTGCTCAACTGAAGAAAACCGGCGACTTACCCTTGCTTTTCAAATTGCACCAACTTGGCCGTCATGGGCCGAGAACTGACTGCCTTCCCGCGGTCCATAGGATTGAATGAGGGATGGCTTTCGCTTCTACACCGGAGACGACCGGCTTGAGTGAGGCTTGGATAACAAAGAATCAGAGGTGCGACCGATTGATTCGATTCGAATAAAGCACCAACTCACCTGTTGACGGTCAAGCTCGGATTTATCTCCTGAATACCATAGGAATCCAATGAGGGAGAGAAGTCAGCGCTGTACCTTCAATTTTAAAATACTCTTACCTCGAATCGATCGGCCGATTGGATAAAGCACTCACCATGCATTGTTGTCGGCCAAGCTTGGATTTACCTCCTGTTTACCATACGAATTCAATGAGGGAGAGAAGTCAGTGCTGCGCCTTCAATAATGGACTTTCGCTCGAGGGACCATCGGTACTAAATCAGTTTATCTTTAACCTTAGTAACTTCAACGGTTCTTTTATCCACGAATCGATCTAAATCTTTCGAAAGGGAACGTGTTACTTAACGATACACATGACCGTTGATTCTGCAACTGAAGTGCGGGTACACTAATTTGCACAGTAAACGCAAGCCAATCGATTTCAGAGTGCAACTGAGGGGGTAACCAAAAGGTGCGTCGTCTCCATGAGATGAAACAGGAAACAGGAAGCAGGAAACAGGAAACAGGAAATACCAATAAGTCAGCGGGAGCTGCGATACCTCGGCAGAAAGACAGATAGAAGAATGATGACATGTTTGAGATTACTCTTCTTTCAAAGTAGCCCTGGCGACAACACCCGACTTCATCGTGTGTTGCCGCCCGGTATCATCCCTTCATTATAACCTTCTTTTTTATTTAAGCTAGCCCTGGCGACAACACCCGACTTCGTCATGTGTTGCCGCCCGCTAACCATAATTTTACAGCTGTCACGCCCTTACGTACTTGTAACTTTTGTAGCTTCTGCTGGCTTATTGTGTTGAGTGCACTAACCTTGAATAATCATGATTTATTCCTACCCCTAAATTTGTAGAGTTGGCTTGTGCCTATCTCTATCCCTATATTTTGGCTTCACCGGAACAGGAAACAGGAAGCAGGAAACAGGAAACAGGAAATACCAAAAAAGGGGGTGAGGGCTCAGGCAGATAGACTGCCGAGGTAAAAGGGGGTGAGGGCTCAGGCAGATAGACTGCCGAGGTAATGTTTCGCCTCACCTCTCGCCTCTCGCCTTGGCATTCATTTCATTATCATTTCATTATCATTTCAATCCCATCCATCTCGTCTTCGAGAGAGAGAGAGAGAGAGTGACGAGTCGAGTTGAATCGAATCGACCGTGTAACAACACCAACACCAACAGCTCAGTCTTTGCTGCTTGGCGCTGCGAAGCAAGAAGAGAACATCCGTCGTGTTGTGGATTGTCATTGGAGGAACAACCAACCAACCAACCAGGTACTGTGGCGGCAACGAGTTGTTTGTTGTTGTTGTTGTTGTGCCAGCAGACAGAAATCAAGTCGAGCAACGCAACCATGGCATCCCCAATTATTGCGAACAGAGACATGTGGCGCGGGCTACAGTTTCAGGTAGAGATTCCTACTACTGGTCAAGTGCCAGGACAGCGATCAGTCATTGCACCAGAACTCCTCTTTTCTGGCCAGAATGCCGAGACCAAAGTCGATCCAAAGTATCTCGACAATCTTTCGCAATTCCTCCTGACAAAGGTGGAGGATGATCATCTTCGTTCTCATATTGTGACAGCAGATTTGTTTATCAAAGTAGTGGATGGATTGGAAACAGCAGAAGATGGCGGCACTATTTTACCTGTTTGGAGTGCATTTGAACTGGAGGGAGTCCTCAGTGGACTTTTGAACAATGCGGAGTTTGATGCTGAAAATGGTATTCTCATTCTAATGTATCTCCAACCTGAAGCTGGACATGCAGAACGCCATGGAGTGGTACCGGTACACAATAATATGCTGGCGGCCCTTGAACTGGCGCCTACGGATCTAACAGAAGAAGAGGCCATGCTGTTGGAGCATTTGATGGGCTTGTCTTAGTCAGCAAATCCAGACAATGTCTGTGTAATTTGTGTGAAGGCATCCCCGCTGAGTGGCTGCTCGGAAGATGTCAATGTTCACCTAATTCAGGTGCTTTCGTCGTTGGTACAGGATGGTGGAATCGAATCGAATCGAATCGAATCGAATCAATCAGTGTGTCTGGGATTGGTGGTCGTATGGGACGATACCGGTACCAGCATTATTTGATACGCAAGAGAATGAGTGATGAGCAGAGGGAGGGTGTGTCAAATATCCAAGGACGGAGAAGAAACAAATGGGGTACATGTATGCATATTTGGTACTATGGTATTCGTATCACAAGGGAAGGAGCTTGTGCTTCCTTCTATACCCTTGATTAAACCAAGAAAAACTATATAGAAGAACTACATCTAGATAACACATAGTTGAGCTAGCTGCCTCTCTGCAAAAGAGCTTGGTGGGACGAGGCCGAGGGAGCTTCCCGTACACTAAGCAAATTATGCACGTGAAGTTTCGCGTGGTTGTGTAGTTGATGCTTTCTTCTTGCTACAATAAGGTTAGGGACTCCATTGTTGCCGATCTTTTGACACTCGCTGAGTCAACATGCGCATCAAAGATACGATGTCAGCCCGACAACAATCCGCCAGGTTGGTACCATGCTTACTTGTCGAGAGCTTGATTATTGATTAGATTAGCTTGGTAGATAGATAAGTTAGTTGTGGCATCCCTTGAAGCCTTCCAATTGCCATAATCCTTCAACAATCTGGATCGATACGATTACCCCTTCATTGGTTCCTTTGGCTTCAGTCAAATCTCCGAAGCAACCACCAATACCGGTATTGCATTAGTCTAGTTGAATAAGATGCAGTCCTTATTGCACTCCGTGGCGATGCTATTGGCTCTGGTTCTCATAGCGCTAGTAGGCACTGGCTCGTCCTTTGTCCTGCAACGGAATTCTGCCTCCATGATGGCCATCGATCGGTCCCAATCTTCTAAACTGTCTACTTCTCGGGTTTCTGCTTCTGCGGGTCATCGTGCAAGTACCAAGCTACAAATGATGGAAGTGCTGGAGTGTGATGTGGCCATTGTGGGTGGAGGACCAGCAGGTTGTACGTGTGCTTTGTACACATCTCGAGCTGACTTGTCGACTATCATCCTGGATAAGAATCCAGCCGTGGGGGCATTGGCCATTACCTCCCATATTGCCAATTATCCGGGAGTGGATCGCAGCATGAGTGGGTCCGAGTTATTGGAACAAATGAAGGTTCAAGCCGTACAGTACGGTACTCGTTATGAGCGAGCTCAAGTATTCATGATTGATGTGGAAGATCCTTCCGCGGACGAGGACAATCCGTATACCAAGGTCGTTTACACGCCAGACTATACCGTCAAGGCACGGGCGCTCGTACTGGCCACAGGTGCTATGGGCCGAGCTGCCCCCCCTTTCCCAGGAGAAGAAAAGTATTTGGGACAGGGTGTCAGTTATTGTGCCACTTGTGATGGAGCCTTTTACCGAGATGCCGAAGTTGCCGTGTTTGGAGCAACCACAGAAGCCATGGAGGAAGCAATGTTCCTCACAAAGTTCGCTTCGATGGTGCATTGGATCACCTCGATTGACATTTCGGCCTGCATGCCAAAGGAAGGATCCAAAGTGGAATGCAACAATGTCTTGGATCCAGAACTCTTGGAACAGCTTTTGGACATGGAGAATGTCAAGCACTGGCCCAAGACACGCTTTATGGGAGTAGAAGGTGATGCATCCGGTGTCACTGGAGTCAAAATACAAAAGATGTACATGGACAAGGCTGAAGTCATTCCTGTAGAGGGAGCTTTCATCTATGGCGCCGGTGGTGGTTCCAAGCCTATCACGGATTTTGTACAAAACAAGGTGGAACTAGACGACAACGGTGGAGTGATTGTTAGCGAGGATATGGAAACCTCTGTCAAGGGAGTCTTTGCAATTGGGGATATCCGAAACACTGCATACAAGCAAGTGGTCGTGGCCGCCGCGGACGGATGTATTGCAGCCATGTCCGTCGAAAAGTTCCTCAAGGGACGAAAGATGGTCAAGGTTGATTGGATCCACAAATAGGATCTTTCTATTACTACATCATGCACGCACTTGTTTGTCTGGCAGTTTGCATCGACTACCTTTCCCGACCGACCGAACACATGGGAAACGCAAGGAACAGTGCAACTGTGGCAGAACAAAAACATTCTTACCAAAACATCTCTCGCAAGTTTCAGTGCTGCGGGATGCTACCATGCTATCATGTCCGCACTTTCTTCCGGAGAACTAAAATCACAACCATACGACACACACGCTCGCTGCAAACCACGCTGTAACTAGTAGCCCTTCAATTGAAATCCTCAGTACAGTCGTACCGTAGCTTCCACACTTCTTGATGTTTCCGACAAACATGGAGCACTAGCTAGCCAACTCGCGAGGTATCTTCATCGTGTGTCTTGGTTTCCGTCGGCATTGTGTTCGAAATGAGACCCCACTTGAATGGTAAAGCTGGTGAAGGTCACATATCCACCTTGCTGGTCTTCGGGAGACGCTGCGAAGACACCGGCCCAAAGTGTGCCATCTGTGGGAGCCCCATCTTCCAACGTAGGATCCTGCTTGGCAAAAGATGAGAAGCCACCGCTTGACTTGGCCAAATGAGCAATTCGAATGAACTGCCACTCGAATGAACCTGAAGGAGTTGGCATTTTGGCTTCCACCACAAAGCTGTCTCCACGGCAATGAACCCGAATCTGACAGTGCACAGTAACCACCGTCGCACCGCTACCCTTCAAACTCTCATCGCCTTGATCAACTGTATAATTGGACCAAGCTTGGGTGGACCAATCACTAAACACATTCGTGACAACACAGGACAGCCGAGGTCGGTTATCTACAACTTCAATGCCTGTCTTGAGCCAGTGCTCAGGACCAAGCCGAATCATGATACCAGCTTGATCAAATTGTCGGACAGCAGTGAGTTGGAGAGTTGTTTCAACTGTATAGTATTTGTCATCAGTCAGGGTAGCATAAAGAAAGGGTCCATCATCCTTGATCAAGACGGGTTCATAGTAAGTTTTTCGCCAGTTATCCTTCTTGGCAGGGGGTGCCATAATCAGCGATTTGGACGCATCATCGACTGACCAAGATCCGCCTCTGCCCTCCCGTCTCCCTTCAATAGGATTCCAAGAATCGGGAGCACAATACCAACGTAGGATCTGACCAATGTCACTGGTAAGAAATCCATCAACAATTGCAGCGGTACTGGTACCATGCTTCGTTCCGTAAAGTGTTGTTGTATCCGTATTCTGCAAAGGAGATCTAAGGAGAACCGAAGGGGAAGCACTTTTGCGGCCATTGCAGACCGCAACAGTTGCAGACATAAACAAGAAGAGCCCAATCAAGACGAGCGTTTTGTTCTTGATCAACTCCAGAAGCTTTTCGTTGGAATCGCGGGATGTACTCCCACAACTGGGTTTACTATCATCACGCCGGTTCCGGTTTCCATTGGCCGACGGATCGACGACGGTTCCATAGGAGGAGTCGGCATTAGATCCGTTTGGTAGCATCATTTCAGCTGCCAATAGGTACCAGTAAATGGTTAACAATCTTTCTTTGGTTTTGGGGGTTTGCGGTTGTCTTGGAAGAACATGATGTTGTGGGGTTACTTGAAGCTGTGCGGTACCGATGTAGGATAATCGAATCGAATCGTGGATGCCCCAACATCGAACAAGAATCGAATGCAACCAGGTCGTGGGTTGGAGCCTGGATCTTTCACGCATCCCGACAAGAGGTACCGTGGTACCTGGTACCGATAGTCCAGGCTTAGGCTAGATACGAGACTGTTACGGTAGTCCCTTTTAGCATTGTATTATTTGCGCTACGCACGCGGTGGATGCGGACGATGGCTATATGGTGCTGGTGCTCAAAAGGGAGGCACTGGCCTGACTAGTAAATTGAATCTCTAGGTATGACCCTTGCTAGCTACCCAGCGATAGGTACAGTTTTTCAGCTCAACTGAGATGGTATCTAAGACCCCTTACTTGTACGTGACATAAATACATGTATACCAACTACAAGTTACCTCACAGTATTGGAATCGCTGAGTTGGGTGAAACAATCCTGGACAAAAAGTGCCTGTGTTGCTTCCTTTGTTCCCTGTCTGGTACGGTACTGAAGTTGATTCTCCTTACTCGATGTCAGTTATTAAAATGCTTTATAGCAGGTTTTTGTACATGCAGCAGCTTCTGAACCCTCGATCAATTTGTGGAGTGGAGCTGCAGGTTGGTGATGCTAGCTAGTTAGATCTACTAGCTATCGGTAGCTCGCTTTTTGCAAAGAAGATCCTCTCGTCGTCGTTCGACTCTTGGGAGCACCCCGGACACACGCAAGTCGAATAACCGTTGTTTTCTTGCGCCCACACGATCAAATCCAACACAATTCTTCCAACGGTCACGAAAGCAAAGCTACGTTCCTCAACGCACAAGGAGTTGTTAGGAGTTGTACTCAGCCTGTTATTGCAGAGCATGACCTGTTCTGCCAAACGAAGAAGAACGTTCGAGCCGCACCTGTCACACGATCATACCCAGAAAACTGGATCTGAATAGCCCAATAGTCTATGCCGGACACGAAGGCTGCCTGAACCGGGATCGTTTTGCTGAGGCAGCACGAAAGGCAGCAGCGGCTGGCCGTCAGGCATAGCAGCAAGGCAAGATTGCGTTGGTGTGTTTCATTTCTCGAAGCAGCCACAACAACAAACAACGGTCAAAACAGTAGTGTTTGACCTCTCATTCATTGCAACCTCATTTCCTAGTTTAGTGCTACCAGTACCCGTAGCCACTCTTATCATCATGACCAACTCTGGTCGACCAACGTTTCAGCCTTTCAAGCCAATAGTTCCTGCAAAGCGTCGGTCCGTTAGAGGCGGTCTTCGAGGCACCTCACGATCGAAAGTCTTCATTACCAATCTATCGGCTGTTCAAGAAGACCCCAATTCTCCAGACACAACACAAGACCGTTCAGAGACCAAGGAGTCTCTGCCGTCGTTCGACGCGTCCTTCGCAACGGTCAGCAACAGCCAGCACAACAACATGAGCAGTCAGGGCAATGTGAGACATCCTACTTCAACTTCCTTTCCTTATCCACCGGCGGAAGCTGCAGCTCAGTCGCTCTTCCCGCATCAAACTCACCAACCTCATCAGATGCCAAACTTTTCAACGCCATCTCGATTCCCTCAAGGACCGCCATTCTTTCGGGGGCCTTCTAGGGATCATGGGAACCAAAGGATGGCATTTCGAGTGGCCCCAAGAGGTTACCCCCATACCCCCACCAGAAGACCTCTCATACACCCAACTCATGGGATGCCTGGTGGGATGCCGGGACCACATGGTCCTTATCCAATGCCGGGCTGGCCTGCATTCCGTGGCCCCCCTCCTGGACCTGTCTCGCAGTGGAAGGCTCAACCCGCCGGTTACCAGCCCCCGAATAACACCAGTGGTAGTATGGCGAAGGGGGCGAGTTCTTCTGTAGCATCGGAACCTCCAACCTGTGAAAGCAGCAAGAAAGCAGCTCGTCTGTTACTGGATACAGCGTTGGACATCGTGACGACTTGTAGCGTGGAATCGCAGGACGACAAACCCAACAGAAAATCAACAGACGCAGAAACAATGAAACCACCCCCCACGCCACTAACCCCAATTCGTAAGATTGTTTGTCATGACCTGGAGGGGAAGAAACTGGTCCAAGCTGTGTCGGCATCTCCTTCTAGTGTGCACTCCGGAAAACAACCGGAAGTGTCGCGACAGGTGGAAGAAGAAGAATACAATGGAAAGTCACAGATACCCGACTCGCCTGGTCAAGCCTTTCTGTCCTTTATTGATGACATGAGCGAGTCGAATGGCGGACTCACCATGGATGAGAATTCCATTGCACGTCAACTTGGGAGCATTGACAATTTCAACTTTCTTCCGTACCTCGAGGAGGATTCTGGGCAAAAGACCTGCTCCCCACCTATGATACCTTTCTTGTCCAAATCCCCGCAGCTATCATGGGAAATGACAGAAGAGGACAGCGCAGCAGCATTCAATGGTATGTCGTAGCCCAAGGTTCTTCAAGTAGCACCCGTCGAATAGCTAACACGCCCTTCCTTTGTGCAATATTGACAGCAAGCTCCCATGTTGGCAATGTTCAGGAACCGGCCAAACAAGACCTGCAACATCAGCCAAAACCATCGGATCCTCTTACACGAGCGAATCTTTCATTTGAAAGGACCGCCTCTTCTGCTGCCCAGTCGGTGTTCCGTCGTGGTGGCACACCAGCTAGACTGGGCGGCAACGGAGATGACTCCGACAGGGCGAGATTGGAGCCAGAAGGAGACATTGGAAGGGTCCAACGGTCATGGTCGGATCAGTCCAGTCTCGGCTACGAGAGAGAAGCAGCTCGCCAGATGTCAAGAGATGATATGGACTCGAAGGCAGATGAGTCAGAGACAACAAGCGCTAGGGAAGCGCCCCAGATGCCATCTTTGCCCCACAGACAAATTCCTCCCCCACCTTTCCCCGGAGGGAATTTCCAAAGATTGCCACAATCTACTCAAATACAGCCTCGTCCTGCAACCAGTGCCTTTGCCAGGCCTCCTCCTTCCTTTGCAATGCCGCATTCGAGCGGCTCTGGGGCGGGTTCGAACGCCGCCAAGCCATCTTACGTCCCAGGCATTGAGACATCAAGATCGTTTCCTTCTCATCAAATGTATCCCATTCGCCCTCCTCAAAATTCCAAGGAAAGGTGCATTCCTTTGACAAACCCGGTGCCGACAGTGCATTTTGGCTCGTCCCCTGGCCAGGCAAATGACCAGACCCTCCCCGAGTTTTCGGAACTAGTCAACTTTCCAAACAACCTCCGTCAGACGAGATCTCTCCCTGTTGGCATGAGGTGCTGTGTTATGTGTGGTGGCATTCGCCCCACCTGCTCGCGGATTCGAAGCAGAAAGAATAAGGGTCTGTCACCAAGCCGCGAGATGAGTGCCATGTCGTGTGATGACTTTGTCACCATTCCGACCCAGAACAAGGGCCTGTGCACGATCTGTGACATTAGTGTGTGGGTTGTGAAAGAGTCGGGTTGCCAAATCAAGTGGTGCAAGGGCTGCAAGAACTTTCGTCAGTGGGCTTCCTTTGGCGAGAAAGGGTTTGCCACCAAGTGTGCTCGTTGCCGTGAGCGCCAACGTGAAAAGTATGCTTTGCTGAAAGACGCCAAGATGCGTGGACAGAATGGCAATCAAATGAAAGGTGCCCCCCGTAAAGGTGGGAGGTAGATGCACTGAGTTGACAGTGGCATGGATGTGATGATGGAAAACCTTGAGAGTTATGGCTGGCGCAGGACTGTTACTTCAAGACTACATACGGTAAATGGAGGCCCAAGGTCAAATAATTGTTTCCCTGGGAATTCTGGGGTTGTAGATACTTTTCGAAATGCCTTGCCAAAGAAGTAAGAGACAAACATGCATGTGTACAAACACCGTATGGTATTGGTACCTGGTACCGTTTAGTGGCCTCGATCATATGGCTATCAAGGAAGGCGGAATCTGGCGGCTTGTAGCTAGGAGCTACCTAGTAGAGCTGGCTTGCAAGCAAACGAAGCGGGACTGCAGGAATCCCTGAATAACCGTCAGGGATCTCCCCAAAGCCATCTACAGCGAGAGCAACCATTTTTGCTTCCGTCTGGTCGGGTCAGAGCACACCATCAACAAAGCGCAACAATTGCAAGGGCGAGCATAATAGTACTGTAGCTCTGTTTGTTGCCTCTCTTGATGGATGTTAACGTGTGACAGAGGCCATCTGCTGGACTTCTCTCTACTGACTTGTCTTGATAAAAAGGCCACGGTACCATCGGGAGTTGATCGATGTTTTTGCTGGCTGCTGCTGGCAAGGGAGACTAGCTAGCAGTCCTACTGAGAACCAACATTACGATGCCAACGGCTGACATGAACAAACGAATGGCAGCGGTGCTTCATACGCCTGGCAATGATGTTTGTGCCGACTGTCCCGAAAAGCGTCCTCTTTGGGTTTCCTTCCTGGTATCTCCCGTGGAAGAAGATCGACATGTGAGCGTCTTGTGCTGTACCAATTGTGCCCAGCATCATCATTTTGAGCTTGGGGAAAAGAGGTGTCATATCAAATATCTCAAAATGGCACATGAATGTAAGTTGGGGTACATGAAAAAGCAACTAACGATACTTACTGCTGACCTAACTATCTGTTTTTAAATAAAATTTATTAAATGATCAAAAGGGGAACTGGAAGATGTGGAAATGTTGGAAGACAGTGGGAATGGTTTCGTGAATGCCTGCTTTGAAGCCAACTTGACCAAAGACATCTTTGACAAGGATATCGTAAAGGACAACGCACAAGAGGAAGAAAAAAGAAGATCCAAGTTTGTCAAACACAAATACAAAAAACTCAAATACTTTGACGAAGTCTTGTACCATCAACAAGTCTTGAAGATTTTGCAGAAGAAACACGAACAACGAAAATCTCGACGGCGGAGTGGCAGCCACTATCATCATTCTGCTGCAGATCGTGACGAAGACTCCTCGTCCGATGCGGAAAGCCAAGGAACACGACGGTCTGCCGGAGATGTCATGAAAGAGACCCGTGAAAAACGACGCAACAATTCCAATTCGGATCTCAGTCTCAACAAAGAGGGGTCCAATTCTGTGAAAAGCATCAACTCTCAACAAAACGACAATACTCGAACTTCCTCCTCCAACCACCACAACCACAACAACAACAAATCATCCAGACGGGACAGCAATGGCAGTCTCGGCAGCAGTCATCGCTCCGATCGACGAAGTAGCCACGGGAGTCTCTGTGATAACAACAATAACAACAACAATTCCTCATCGTCACTGCGAAGTGGTCGATCGGAAAATAATCAATCCACGACGAAACGAGACAGCAGTAGTCATCATGGCAAGGAATACAGGCCCAATCCGTGGGCTACGGCGGCACACGACGAGGAAACTCCACCACTGATGCAAGAAGAAGAATCCAAGGAAAACAACAAAGAAGCAGGTGGTGCCAGTGGCGTCCATAGGCAACACAAGCCCAATCCTTGGCTGACAAAGGAATAATGAATTAATGAATGCCTTGGATGAATGCCATTCATTCATTCATAGTTTGCTTTTGTTCCGTACTCGTAGTCCTAGTATACCACTACACTACAACAACAGAGTTTGCAGGAAACGGCAGCCAGCGACGAAACCAAAAGACGTTGATCGGAACACAACTTTTGAGCAACCGATTGATTGAGGTCGAGTCTACGCATGCATGCATGGCAAGAATTTTTGTATCGGTTTTGTCAACAGCAAGAAAACGTCGAGTTGAAAGAATGAAACCAACGTTGGGATTCTTTTGCCCAGAGACGTATTTTGTATCGTATTATACAATGTATAAAGATGGCCGATGAATCGAATTTAATTTAATTCATTTACTGCTACGGCTGTACAGTACAGTACATTCGTTTTTTGTACTGTACGCTTTGAATCTATCGGTAGATTCCGACTCCAATTCCACTGCCATCCAGAAAGCACTTGAGCTTGGCGGCTTGAACAGGATGAATGCGAAGTGTATCTTCCAACGATGCCTTGGTAATGCCCGTGAATCTCGCGAGAACTGTGAGTTCCTGCACGTTGGCCGCATTTCCCTCCTCGTCACTTGCTTCTTCCGGATGGCTGCCTTCGTGACGAGCATTTTCGTCTCCCACTCGATTAAAATCGGCCGATGCTCTGCCATCAAACCACCCGGTCATGCTATTCAGACTGGGATTGCCTCTGACATCCAGGTACTTGACGTGTGGTAGATTGCGTCCGAGCATGCCCATGAGGGCATTGTCGACGACGTATTCACAAAAGTGCAATGCCAAAGAAATGAGCGAGGAAGATACTTTGGAGAGGGATTGCCGCAGTACCAAGGATGTGAGGTTCATGGAGAATCCAAAACTGAGTGCCTTCCAAGGTCGTTGTTGTTGGTTGTTGTGGTCTACATCATCGTAGTCGTCTTCATCGTCGTCGTATTCCCCCGAGCACGAGACTACCATTTTCAAGAGATGATCGTTCCATCCCAAGCCACTGACGTGCAATTCGATCAAGTCGGGACAGGGTATCGTGTTCTTTTTATTCTTCTTTTTGTTGTTGTTATTGCTGTTGCTGTTGTTTCCCACTACAATCGTCTCAATGACTTCATCGGGTGTAATGTTGTAGACGCCTCCAATATCGAGGAATTTCAATTTGGTTTGATACTGTGCCAGTATTTGCAAACTGTTACAGGTGACTCGTCTGCAGTTTTTGAATGAGAGCCGTTGAATGTTGGGACAATGGGGTAGTAATTGTTCCAACATGGTATCGTTGAGATTGTAAATTCCGGTCAAATCGAGTACACCAATGTGTACTCCCATGCCACTGTCTCTCATGGCTTCAAGTGTTTCCTGTCCAATGGCACAATTGTTGAGTGAGATACTTCCCAAAGGAGGTGGTGGTCCCTGTTTTTTGACACGCAATCTTAGAGTGGAATTGTTGTTATGGTCACTGTCGCTTCCTCTTCGACGAGTGCGTTTGCGAGGAGGTTCTTCTGGTTCTTGTGATGAATTTTTTTCGTCCCCTTCTGGTTTATTATTGCTATTGCTGCTAGCTGCGGGCAGTGGTTTGCCGGCTCCCACGAGGACATTGTTTCGCCATTCTTCAAAGAAATGAATGCCCATCCGATTGTCATCCATTCGTCCCAGTTCCACCAACGAGTCAATGTAGGATTGAAGACAGTCCAGGGCAGGATTGCCATGTTCCATAATGAGCACTACTTCTTGCTTATCATTATCGCCATTATTGCCATTATCACCACTAGTACCAGTGGTATTAATAGCATGATGTGCAATCAGGGGATGATTGAGGTCCACGTCGTTGGCTTGCGCTCTTCGAGAGGATCCCTTGCCCACACAGACACTTCGCGACATGGGGACATTCCGAAGAGTCTTTTCTTCTTCATCATCATTGTCATTATCGTTGTTGTCATCATCTATGACAGGTCGCTGATGAAAACTACGAAGCAGCTTGGATGCTCGACTCGGTTCGTTCGTTTCTTGGTGGACTGCAAACGTCTCCTCGGCGCTGCAGGATTGAGATCCGACGGCACGAAGACACAACACTTGCAGCTTGGGGATCTCACGCATTCTAGTATACTCTATTCAATAGATAGGATAGAATAGGATTGCTCTCGAAGCAAACCAATAGCGTGCTGCTGTTGTTTTGGCTGGGGAGGGTCAAAAAACAGGTTGCAGCCTTTAAGCCTGCAAGTCGGTCTGCATGGTACCGGTACCGTGCCTGTCTTGCCCCAAAACTAGCTAGACTATGCATTGCTAGCTACTACTAGCTAGACCCAGACCAAGCACCCGACCCTCTCAAACTTTCTCGAAGAATGGCACATGCAGGTAGTTTGCCAGAAACTAAATGGAATGAATCGAATCAAAAAGAAAGAATGCGACCAAAAAGAAGGGAGCAAATAGTGTCGAAGGCAGCCAGCATTCCTTGATGGCCAATGCCCAAGAAGGTTTGAAGAGGAGAAAGGTCCTGGCTGGTCCTCAAGACGCACGGTGGATGCAGAGACTGGCAGAGAAGATCAGGTCAGGGAGAGAGGAGAAGCAACTGGGTAGCGACGATGACTACAACAGTGGAGAGATGGCTGGTGACTGGCTGCAGAGAAGGTTCGTAGCTATGACGAGGAGAGCCATCCCTGGCCCCAACAGGTCAAAAAGTGCCACGGTGTTGAGCAACGTCATGCTTCGCAAGCTGGCTACCAGTACTGCCCAGGAGATGGTATGATACATGCAGTGATCAAAAACCAGATGGAAAGAAGTCAGCCAGCAGCAAAACCATCGGGGAGCCACAAAAGACAATCAAAACGCAAAAATAGATACAATTAGCTCGAGCTGATCTTTGTAGATCATATCTAATTCCTGCCGCCTGTTCTTCTTGTATGTATGTAAATGAAAACACTATGATTACCTTTGTTCCGAGCAACAGAGCCACCATCCATAACCAAACGCCACATCATAGCCAGATTGTACTTGCTACGTTCCGAATGATTTGATTCGATTCAATCCAGCATTGCCTTCAACAGGAGACCTTCCACAGGTCACCACCAATACCGGTACTGCAGAGCAGCGTCGACAAATAATTACTCTAATGAAATCACGCAACGCTCCTCAAGGCAAATCTAGATGTCAATGGCATGATGACAGTCAAACATGGTAGTCAAGTTGCCATCGACGTAGATGTTGTCTCTCGTCACGTAATAGCTGGTGACATTGGCGTGATGCTTCACCACACTGAGAGGCGAGGGACCGTCAATGAGGTTGTCGTTGTTGGCGGCAGCAATAGCGGCCCTGCGTTCACAGTCTTCACGGCCCAAGACTTGCCAGATTCGTCCACTGTTGTTGCGGTATTCCTCCATCGACATGAGCTCGGTCCAACGATCTTCCAACCACGGGCTCGAAAAGTGAGGCGCTTCCAATCCTTCTTCGAGTGCACGACGTTCGCCATTCCTCCTGCGACGGCATCTGCCAGTACTTCGTCGGCACTGGCCACTGCAGCAGTGTCGGTTGCGTTGGCATCGCTGGCCAACTCGTTGGCACTGTGGTTGCTGTCCACCACCTTGAGGGGGGTTACCACCACCGCCTCCTCCTTGAGGGGGATTACCACCACCGCCTCCTCCTTGAGGGGGATTTCCACCGCCGCCTCCTCCTTGAGGGGGATTTCCACCGCCACCATTGGCGCTACATCCTCGGGTTGGAACAGTCCCGGGAACATGCCATCCTGGATTGTTGTCAAACCTAGGGTCAGTTCTCTGAAGCATCAGAGCTAGTTCGTCATCGACGTATTGAACATTAATGATCCCACCTCGAATCATCATGACTTCTCGGATGGTTGGAGGACGGTTTGTACCCGGAGCATTAAAGCTGACACGTGGTCCTTGACGGATTCGCATGGGAGCATCAATGTTGGCGCTGTAGTGCTGTAGTACGCATTATTTATTTGCGAGGGCAGAGCTTGAGTTAGTTTCTCTTCCAGCATCAAAGTTTTAGCAAAATAAAAAATGGCAAAATATCCCAACGTACCTGTCCACCCAGTTGACCCACGGGTACGCCATCGTGGTTATGGAAGTTCTGCCAAAGAGCGAAGTGTCGGTCAACATTGGAACTAATTGATTTGTTGTTGTTGTTGTATGGGGCGCAAAAACAGATTCCATCAGTGAGAAAAATGGTGGTGTTGATTCGATTCGCTTCTGCACAACTTGACTTACTGATGCAAATGAAAGATTGGATCATCAGGAGCCCAGAAACCTTCCATAGGGCCACCGATATAGTCATGAGGGTTTGTGTGAGGGGCAGCTTCGTACGAAGGCCAGAATTGAGCATGGGTTGGCTGGTTGACAATTCGGTTCAAAATCTCCACTAGAATGATAATGAATCAAAGAAAAACGCAATAATGAGGCTTGGCCAATATTTTCACCACGTCCAATCAATACTGTACCAAAACATGTATTGGCTAGAATCGACTTACCATCACGAATCAAGCCAATCTGGTTTTGAAATCGACGGATAAGGCATCCGCCATTTTCAGCTACTCTCCAGTTTCGAGTGATTCCATCGGTGGTGCATCCTCCACCATTGTTGCTTCCAAAGGACCATGGCATGAGAATGGGCGCTACTGCTTGGCCTCTGGAACCACGCTCCCAATCCCAGTACGGGACAGTGATGCAAGTGCCTGTCATTCGCTGCATCTCCCTCTCAAAGATCCAAATCAGCCAGCGATGAAAGGGCAAAAAGGGAGGCACGAAATGGTTGTCATTGCCAGAGTTCTGATGGACGCGAGTAATCTCATCGTAGATTCCACTGTTTTTCATCAACACCACCGCATCAATGTACGCCTGCTGTTCTTGACAAGAGAGGGATCTCCATGGGCGACGGCGGCTCACGCCACAGTTCTGAGCATCCACAACTCCAAGCTGGAGCAAAGATAATACCAACAAGGCTACCTTGGCAAACATAGTCATCATTGGCGATGCAAGAATCAATCGAATCTATCAGATAGATAACAATGAGATCAGCAGAAGAATTTGTTTTTTGCGTTGCCAGGAAAGTGATGCCTTGGTTTCTTTCTCAAATACGGCACCTAATGAATGACAATCTGGATCAGGCACCAAAGAGTGGAGACTTGGATCTCATTTTGTCCTACCGTTACTTTGAGATGTCACATAGACAGGTCTTGGCTAATCACCAAGATATCGTTTAACGCTTTTACATCGGGAAATACACTAAAGATTTCGGAGGATTTCGGTTACGGTACCGAAAGAACCAAAGGTTGGTGGCAGTTTACCTTTTTTTGAATTCTTGTGAGTAATTAGAGCGATGAGTGAAGGTCATTCGGTTTGTGTTCACGTTCAAATCGCTTCAAGCTGAAGACCGAAATCCAACGTTAAGTTGTTGCCAGTGATCTCCCGTTGCTTTGGAAGCTCTTATAAAACGGCGGTAAAAGTGAAAGGCCCTCCACAATTCTAACGGCACTGAAACATGTTATGATTGAGCCATGATGTCCCACATCGTTGAAGGGCGCCATTGTGGTTACCCGCGGGAAGCTGGTAGCACTGTTCGCAATTGACAGAAGTTATGCAAACTGCCAGAGCATGTGACTGTGTGTGGACGGTACCGGTACCGCAAGGACTGACAGGCTTTACCGCAAACTGATGGATGATCCAAAGATAGGCGCGACAAAACAGATCGGGCATGGTCGTGGGTGCTTTTGCTGCATTGGCGCCGTTGCATTGGATCTCTGTCAATCTTGGGCGTTATTACTACTAGTATCATGAATTACTACCAATACCGGTACAGGTACCGCTCCTATTGGATCTCGACCTGGAGCTTGATCTTGCTACCATGAATTTCCGCCACCCACGCAATCTCAAGAAGGAGCTCTAGTAGATCGTGGGCACTATTGCTATCACGAATTGCCGCTTCTTTATTGGATCTCTGCCTCTTGCTAGCTAGTACCGGTATCATGAATTGCCGCTCGCGCAATGTATGATCAAAAGCCTTTCCTTTTTGGTCCAGTACTGTACCAGATCCAATCTATTAGCTAAAGGTCCAGCAGGCGGGAGGTGCGTCGTTCGTAGCATTGGTCACTTGGCCTGATCAGAGTTGGACTGTACAGTACTTCGTATGGTATGGTACCCTACCGGTACTACGTTTCTGGAAGTAATAGAAGTGCCCCCGTTTTCTCTTGGCAGGTGTAAAGCAGGATCTCCATCCTCTAGCTACTAGCCAGTGACTGCGTTACTGGCATGCTGTTCAGCTAGTTGCCTCACCTACCGGTAGTAGCTAGTGTAGAATTCGAGAAGAACAGTGATCTAGAGTAAAACCAAGCGGTTGAAAGTCAACTCCAGCCAGAGTAAGGCTTGAAACCGTGTGCCTATAGTACCGTATCGTAAAAGCCTGACAAAAGACCATCCGCATCCGAACATCGGCATCCAAATAAAACCCGGACGTCACTCGAGTCTTGCACAATGCATGTACAAACACACCACGAAACACACTGGTACAGCCAGCATAGCCAAAGTGATACTCTGTCGTGCTGCATCAACCCAACATCGCTACAAAGTCTTCCCGTGGAGACGGGACTATTGCAGTTGCGGTAGCCGTTGCCGGCGTTGCTTCTTGGGGGTGTAAATGGAAACCCAGGGAGGGGTCCGGATCCAGTGTTCGAATGGGCACAAGGACAGCATCACGGGCCTACCATGACATGACATGTCTTCTTCTTTCCGACCTGGTGACTGGTCGCTTGTCAAAACCCAAAACCCCGAGACCTTCGAGGAGTCGAAACGGAACAGGCAGATCCTTGAGGATTTCCATCCGACAAGGCACGAATGAGCCCAAACACTGACGTACCCCTCTCTTCTTCCGCCATCAGCGGCGTACGGTAGTACGCAACTACTTGCGATGGGACCTGTTGGGGAACGAAGTGCTGGATGGAAGCCACCTTCCAATGATGTCGCCTTGAAATCCAAGCCCCTCTTGAGAGTCGATTCCTTCCGTTCCTTGCTTCCTTGGCAGGTTATCCTTGCGTGCATTTCTTTGGCTAACCTAACTTGAAAGTGAGACGGGAACATTCTCGTGGTTTGGTAGTTGTATTCCTGAAATCATCAATCCAGAACAAACAAGAACAAGATGTTGTCTCGATCCGCTCTTTCGACTCTTTCCAAACGATCACTTCTGAATGGCCGAATGACAACGCCATCGGCGGCAGCATCCGCTCGCTTTGTGCACATTGAGAAGCGTCTGGAAGAATTGGGCATTACACTTCCTCCAGCATCCGCTCCCAAGGCGAACTACGACATTTGCTGTTATGCCCAAGGCAATACAATGTACGTTTCGGGACACCTTCCCCTCAACAGCAACGGAGACCTTACCACGGGAAAGATTGGCCCGGAAGGCGAGAGCGTGGAACATGGCTACGCAGCAGCCCGTCAAGCTGGTTTGGCAATTGTCTCCACTCTCAAGGCACAGCTGGGGGATCTCGATCGAGTGGAGCAGGTTGTCAAGGTACGAATTTGGCATTATTAAAAATGTGTCGTGTGGGCCTGAGCTCTTTGTGTGGTTTGCTGCTAACCCTTTGTTCCTTTCCCATTGCATTTTTGCCTTTTTCTTAATCTGATTCGATTCTATCCAATTCAATTCAAGGTCTTTGGCATTGTTCAATCCACGGATTCCTTCAAAGAACAACACCTGGTAATGAATGGCTGCTCGGACGTCTTGATGGAAGTATTTGGAAAAGAAGCTGGGTACCATGCTCGTAGTGCCATTGGAACCAATACACTCCCGTTGGATGTGTCGGTGGAAATTGAGGCCATTATTCAATACAAGGATTGATTTTAAAAAAAAAATAGGACAATAGACAGCCGTCATGGCAATGATGATTCGACAATTTGCTTGTACAGCGCAGCATTCACGTCTATCAACCGGTATCTAGTAGGAAAGCAATTCCACCTGGATGATAGCAAATCCGCCACCGATCGATCAATGTGATTTTTCTTCGTTTTCTCTACTAGCTAGAGGTTTCTCTTGGCTGCATATCTAACTCGAGCAAGCGCGGCACGCAAGACAACACTCTCTCCCAGAAAGCTCCATTTTAGTTTGGCACTCCGACCCTTGATCGAATGTTTGGCCATCACATTGCGGGAACGGCCATTCAAGCACGCGATCGCACCGTTGTCTGCCCTTTGCCATGGAGGTCACACATGACAATCCCAGTGCCCTTGTACGATTGGAGGATTGCCCGTGCAGTATGGGACGAGTGGAGCCACCGATGGCGTTTCCTGGACGCATGTCATGAAGTATCTATTGACCAATCGCATAGTTAGTGCTACGCGAACGTGCCAGCTACGGTACTGTTTGTGGATGCTTGATACGACAACCTCATATTGTACTAGACATCCACACAAGCCGTATTTGGCGGGATGAGTCGAGTCAAAGACTGAGTCAAGAGTTCATCTACCCGTACCGCAGTGTGCGGAGAGTTGATCTTATTTCATTGCTCCAGGGAGCTCGTCTTCTGTGTTGGGCCCCACTTTTGCAGGTTCGTGGAAGCAATTAATTAAAGGATCTGGAATCCAAGCGATGGGCGGAATGTAAGAAAGGCTTGCACCCTCTGCTACCTAGCTAGGAAGAGTGATCTCCGATCTTGGCCTTCAGCGACAACTTGAAGGGCCGCGTTTGTGGTTTTGCACCGGGAGCAAGCAACGCCCGCCTCCTGGCTTTCGAGTCGTCAAAAACGTCGGAAGCAGACTTCCTCTGGAAAGTTTCCAGGAATGCTCCACTCGACTCACTCTCAGTTCGGTCGGGTTGGTGAGTAGGCGCACACAAAACCACTCGACGTGCTGAATCGTCGCACAACTCTCGCACCATTCTGGCGCCAGATGTAAGGTGTACTGCTTCGTTGACAAGGTTGTAAAGAGAGATTCGATTCTCCAATATTGCTGCATTCCTTGTGAAGCTCGTCTTCCTTCCGCTTCAGGTTCGTTGCGCACTTCATGTCTCTGTCATGGGAGATAGACGACGACCATGGAACCGGCGACGAACCGTTGTAGCCCAACGCACCTCTCTTGTCGTCACGTTCATTGTGGGCGGTGCCTTTCCGGACCAGGCAATGGGATTTGGGAACAAGCACATCCGATTGTCATCCCCAGGTCCTTGCGTTTTGCGACTATCAAGCGACAATCGAACGATCCCTTCGGGCACGCTGGGTCGACTCACTTCACTAACGACGACAGGGACATGAAGCTAGAGGCAGGGTGTAGACTTGCTCTTCTGTTCGAGCCTCCGGAGCGAGTGCGATTCACCTGAGGCAGGATCGATGGAGCTCGAGAGGACACTGGAAGCGATACTCATTTTTGCTGGTCGTTGGGTAATAAGGTGTGAACGGGAGACGAGCCTTTGCCATCGCAAGGGTGGACCAAGTCAAAGAAAGAACCTAGAACCTAATTTAAATGTATCTGATGGAGCGATCGAAGGAAAGCGACTCGGAGGCAACAAACTTCCGATCGCAAGCAAACCACATGTGTACATGCATTCATAAAATAAAATAGAGCTGCACTTGGTTCTCAACCAACCACCAAGCCATGCAGCGTTTGCCACTATCTGGACCATGGGAAGAATGGCCATCTAGCATTCAATGGGGTTGGGAACCTCGATAGGATCCGCGCTCTTGACTCCATACTTTCGGCGGGATTCCGCAACCATCTCCGCAACAGCGTGTTCGCCCTGCCTCTCCCACTCAGCTCTGTTCTTCTTGGCATGATGAAGAAGTTCATCACTGGAGATGCCAAAAACTCCACAATCCTTGAGCTTCTGGGTGAGTGGGATGATGTAGAAGTCAAAGAAGCCAAATTCACCCTTGTACCAGAACTCGACAGGATCCTTCTCCATGCGGCCATTCAAGTAGGCAGCATAGAGCTCTTCAAACAAGTTCTGGTTCCATTTTCGGTAGACATGCCAATGCTGCATTGTGTGCGAGATGTCGGAAGCCTGAATGATGTGCTCAATCTGAAGTTTGCAAGGAAATGGTACGTTAAGCATCATAGGTGGGTCAAAGGAAGAACAGCAACGAGAGGCACTTACCACAATGGTTGCCTTCCGATTGACAGAGTCCCTGGGGCTCTCAAGGTCCTGACCCAGAGCCTTTTCAACAGAACCATTCTTGAAAGCTTTCTCCCAACGGCCGTTCCTCAGGGCCTTCAAATCCTTGTCAACAATGTCAGTAGCCATGACCGACTGGTGGATCAAGCAATGGAAAACTTCAAGTCAGTGATCACCCGATGCCAAACGCAAAAGCCAAGCAAGCGAGCTGAAAGCACTCACATTCACTACGAGCTGTCGGAAACGGACAAGATCCTCCTCCTTTTCAAAGAGACAAGTGCGTAGCTGTGCGTGTTCTGGTTTCATCAGCAAATCCCATGAGAGATCCAAGGAGTTCTGCCAAAATGCCAACAGGAACAGGAAATTCAGCAACAAGACCATGGGCATGGCAAGCAAGAGCTGTTGTTGGAAGGACACAGCTTACCTGTTCTGCAACACTACGCTGCCCATATTTGAACGCGATGGGAAGTCCTTCTTTAACCAGTTGAGCATTGGATACACCTTGGTGGTCCACGTCATGGATCAAGGCGGAGAAGGCACATGCAAACTGTGTCAACGGGTCGGAAGTGATTCCATACGGTAGGTATTGTCGTGCAGCTCACGCTTTGTGTTGTTCTCGTCAGCAGAGCTTGGGGCAACAATTCTTGACATGAGCTTTGTGACAGACATGACCACGTCTGGGAGGAAGTATCAGCAAAGGGATATCTCATCATTGAGTACACAACCATGAGCCACAAAGACAACAGGCTTGGTAGGACTTACGGCTTGCATGCTGGAAGGAGTGGAAAGGGTTATCTTGGTAGAGGCTGGCAATGATGCTCACCAGATTGTGTAACTGTTGAACAACCCCTGGTGGTACCTCAATAATCTCTGGGTCCAAATCCAAGCGGCTCTTGTCATTGTCATACTCAGGCAGATGGATGATCTCCCGAACTTCACGCAAGGGGGTTTCCCCAATGTGTTCAGCAGGCAGAGTCTGCTGGTAACCACCTCCGAAGTCATGGGACTTTTGGCGATGGTGGGAAAGGGCGTGAGGCTCCATGGAGTTCTTTCATGGGACTGTTGGAGTCACTGGTCGAACACAGCAGCAAATAAAAAATCTGTCGGCACCCTGATTGAAACACATCCATTTGAATTCCCGCCACTGCTGCCTATTACCGGAGTCCTGGCCATGGCAATGCCGTCATTGTATCATTGTAATTAGTTGGTAGAGTGAGTACTAGTACTCGTACTCTCAGTGCAACATGTACCGGCACATGTAGATCTACATGTACTTGCAGTACTAGCTACTCTGAGTAGTATTTTTTGAGAGCTATTTGAGTTCGTTTGGTTACAAAACTGAATAAGTACTGAGTATGATTTAACAACCTCGTGACTTTCTAGAGTCATTAATTTTTTCTATTTTTTACTAAATTTAATAAATACATACAGTAGCTCATACAGTACTATTCACTACTGGTAGTCATTCTTCTAAAGATGACCAACACGTGCTTCTATCCGAACCATTAAATCACTGGTTAAATCCTACCGGTAAGCCGGAAGGTACATGTACCGGTAGCGGCACCAGCCATGGACTGTATCTACACAGCTATCCACACCTGTAACATGAAGCGACGAGTGACGAGTGACTCAGTCGAGTCGAAGCATCCAACCACAAGTGACGAGGCACGAAGCAACGAGTGACATTCGACCAAAGCACAAGACGAAAAGGCAACCAAATCATGAGTATGCTTCGACTGGGTCAATGGCTGTGAAAGAGGAGCCGCTGTAAAGAGGAGATAATAGCATCATCTTGATCCGTCAAAAATGAACAAAAGAGGAGGATACGAGTGGCTTGGATCAAACATGTTCTTCAGTCGGTGGCCATCCCTCGTTTGGTCCTCTCTTAACCAGTCGGTCGTGTGCGAGAGGAGGAGTGGATTGTACTCAAGCATGTGTGTTGCCAATGTGGATCAGTGCGTGGGAATGAATGCACAAAGGCCGTATCCACAGGTGCAACACCATTTTCCCACATTATGAGACAATTGTATGGCTATTTGGGCTCCACCACGCTTGTTGGGTTCATCGTGGTAGCGTGGAACATCTCGGGACCCAGTTTGGATTCACGTATTTATTAGTCCCGTTTACCGCAAAATCGTTTTACTATCTTCTCCCCCACAACCAAAACCACAAGCTCATCGCAACCCTCCGCTCGACATCTCTTCGTCAAGCCATCCTTCGCTGTTGCTGCTGTCTGTTTTGTTCGTTGCTTTCAAGAGACGACAACGTTCACCCCAAACAAGCTAGTTACACTCCACGACAACAACAACAACCACCACCATGCAGAACGAAAGCGGAGAGAACGTCGACTTGTACGTCCCACGAAAGTGCTCGTGGACCAACCGTTTGGTCAAGGCCAAGGATCACTCCTCGGTACAAATCAATGTTGCCAATGTCGATCCTGTCTCGGGTTTGGCCACCGGAGACTTTACACCATACTGTCTTGCAGGATACATCCGATTCAAGAGCGAAGGAGACATGGCACTCACCGCACTGGCACAAAAGAAGGACCTGGAAATGATGGCTGGAGGGACCGCCGAAGAAAGTTAAGTTAAACCATCTACTAACTAGCGCACACAATATACAAACACAAGCACGCACAAACAATCGAGTCTGCTGTAGATCTACTACATCATGTTAGTGAGTTAGGGAAGCAACGTAGTTAAGCACTCTCTACTTAGTTAGCCAATTCTTGCCACGAGAAGCTGCTGAGATGTCTTGGATTACATCCATGTACATGTAGTAAGTAGTCATTTACAAGTACGTGCTGTAGCATAGCGGCGGCAGCCTCCCCTCATGAACATCAATGACCTGCACGACAGAAATAACGGATCTCAGCAGGAATGGGAGGGATTGAGCTCACCGGGAGGATTACAGTAGCCCTCAGCCGAACCACCCAGAGTGGCTGCAGCCAGGCAAGAGATAATCCAATCATAGAAACCTGGCACTTTTGTCAGGAAACGACGACAGCTGGGGGCTGAGGAATTCTAAGCTAGAGGGCCACAAGAAGCTGCCCGCCCCTGTGGAACTGATCCAATCAGCCAGCAGCAGCTTGGAGGATCTGGACATTGTCCGTTGCAGGATGGCTGGTCAGGGCGAGATGAATCCTGTACGTATGCTGTCAGTCCATCCGTCACAATCATTACGATCGGCGCTGCTTCCACCATCATACATTGTACTAGTACTATCATGCAAAAGAGATCACCAAATCGTTGCCATATTCTTCGTTTTGACACAAAGGGTGGCCAAAGCATCCCCGTTGGTTATCGAACGGTCGCAAGCAAGTTTTCACCGTCCTCAGTAACATTGTGACAGTTGGTGTCGGCAATTGGTGTCAGATCGAAAATCGATCGATTCGACCAGCTGGACCTTCAGCGGGTTGTCCTTCATCAGACGTGGTGGAACGCCAAGCTCGCTCGCACTCGGTGACGCTGGGCAATTCTCCTGCAGACGATCTTCGGTTGCAACTTGCGGCCGCACCATCGATGCCACCAATCCCACCAATGTGTCCATTGTAAGCGCTGTGTGACAAAGATTCGCCGATTCTGCCTGTAGTCGTGTCAAAGCCTGGTTTTCGAAGTTTATACACGACAACAGAGAAGCAAGTTTTGCACATCTGGCCGTACTAAACTGGCGTGGGGCTTTGCGCTGGGCATTGGATCTCTGAGGAGAAAGGAGCAAGAGGAGCGCGGCCAATGCAGCTCGAACAAGGACGATGTGGTAAAGGTTGCCATTGTCGCTGCTTCTCGTTCCAAACTTCCAAAGCTTCTTTCGATAGTCCATTCGTTGCTTGGATCTGAAATGGCAAGTGTGACTAGATCTACTTCATCCTAAGCATTACGTTTGATGCCGAAACGAGCGGTACGAATCGCATCCCATGGTGACGGCCCTCGTAGTGTAACATATTTTGTGCAGACTCGGAAGAAGGTGACCATGCATGCTACCGGTAGCGTACGGCATTGCAACATGTAGCCAGGCAGAAAGCAAGCGAAGCAAAGTACTGAAGGACTTTTTCTTTTTCTAGCCTACTTCCGTACGACTGTAGATAACTTCCCTACTATACTAGTCTAGCTATGCATACCGTAGCTCTAGAGGTAGACTCCCTGGAATACCGGTACCGGTAGCAAGCAACAGAGTCGACGACTGCGGCACCGTGTGCTTCCCCTTGGAAGAGTGCGTGGAGTGAAAGTTGAGCTTGGTCGATTGTTGAGTGAGAGCGGTGACGTGACAATATTTTATCGCAAAACTAAAATGTCGCCCGGTGCTTGTGTCACATTCCCTATTTGCTTTTCGCACTTTCTTGTTCCGATTCTTGTCACGATACCATGCCCGCTCTGAGATCGCCGAAGGTCACAAAGTTGCAAGTTTGCGATCATTCCCACCACCAAGATTTGTACCAGTGGCAGCCCATGTGGATCGATTCATTACTCTTTGCGTCGTCAAGCAGAAAGACATTGCCAACTAAACTAACTTAACTAAACTAAGTAACTAACTAACTAACTAAGAGAAGCGGCGGCTGGGTAGCGACGATAACTTTGGAAAGAATACGGCGTCCAACATACAAAGTTAAAGAGGTACATGCAGGGTGATTCCTTCCACACTCTCAGGAACTCCCTCCAATAGCATCTCACTCACTTTCCTCTTCGTCACACTGATTGAATCATTCTTCGTACCGTAGCAGTTGCCAGAAGATGACTGGTGGGTTTATAAGCAAGGCCAGGAAACGGATTTCTTGGTCCAAGAAGTATGATCGGATTGTGGAGGAGTCCACAGATTCGTTCAATTCCTCTGCTCACAAGAAGCTTCAGGTTGACCAAATTGTTTCCATGACGGAGTTGACAAACTATTCAGACAACTCTTGTTGGGATGAACTCAAGATTGCAGAATGCCAATCTTGCTCGTCTCGATTGATGATCCGCAACAATGCACGGAAGAAAAAGGTAAAGAAAAAAGGCGGCCCCCTGAGGGAACGGAACCGCCCCTTCTTGCCACCAAAGAGACCCTCCTCCTCCTTCTCCACCAAGTCTGCTTCAAATGCCTCAGCCTCAGCCTCTTCCAGAAACTCAAGAAACTCAAACTACTACTACATGGAGATGGATGACCATGAAAACCAGGATGATGATGAACCCTTGCTTCATTGGGCACAGTTGCCGTTTGCCAATGCGTCGCAAGAGCAGCGAGAATTTCTACCTGTCACATTGGGCGTAGAAATCTAAACACGGGCGATACGGATACTGGTACAGGTGAAGTATCGGAACGAACGAGTCCTTTACCACGACAATAGGAACAAAAACGATGGTTCACAGTGACTAACTGTGTAAGTATAATGCATGCAACGAATAATTTTTTTTTAACGAATTCCACTACACCATGTATATCAGAATATTCGTCACAGACAAAAGAACCAAAGAAAACATAGAAATGTGGCTTGTGTTGTTGCTTGCGTGTGTGTAGAGTTGGATGGACGCGCAGCGTAGTGGTGTGCATGCATGGGCAATGCTCTAATGTTCTTGCTGTGCTGAACACAGGGTGACGACTGAGAACCAACAGCACCTAGTTGGCGTCACGATTGCTTGATTATTCATCAATCACCACCGTCCGAATGATACTCAGTTTTCGCGACGCATTGGCACTCTTGCGACTGATCAGTTTCGAAACCTTGATGGCCGTCATTGATCGAACATCTTCATCGTCCACAGCAACCAGCTTGTCTCCAACTTGCAGCTTGTCAGAAATCACAGACGAGTCCTTGACGGCATGTACCACTGGAGCTCCATCATCCGGTGTGTCAATCACAACACCCAGCTTCCCTGGAGGAGCATAAATGTCAACCAACTCTTCTCGAACATTCGCATTTTGACCTCTAGCAGCTTCTGCGTAGCCCGAATCCAAAGGACCGCCATTGGTAGAGCCTAATGTCGCGCCACCAGCAGCATTGGTGTGCGTTTGCGATCCAAATGTGCCACCTGCTGATGATACCGAAGTGTCGCCACCACCGCCGTATGCCTTGGAGTAATCGTAGTCCACAGTCGCCACACTGACCAAGCAAACCGAATTTGGTTAGTTCCAAAACATGCCATCATTTAGCAAGACAGTGCAAGAATGTAACCCGGGCCGTCATATTCAACTCACCTTTGATCACCGTAACCCTGAATCGACTCACCCGACATGGCAGTGCTGACTCCATTCGGACGGTTGTTTGTGTGAGGTTCCGCCAGTGTACTAACTTCGTCGCCCAGACCACCGCCAACATCCAATTGGGAAGGTGGTGTTTTGCCAGTCGAAACGTAACCGCCATCGTCACCACGTTGGGACACAAAGTACAACACACCCAAAATGACAAGAACCCCCACGACGCATCCACACACAATACCAATGAGAGCCCCTGTACTCAATCCACCACTCTCTTCTGCCGGGGGCACCGCTGGATTTTCTCCGCCGCCGCCGCCACCACCAGTGCCCTGTGTCACTGGAGACACTCCCGTCACATCCTCAAACTCATTGTTGCTTTCGCTGAGTGCTTCTAGATATGCCTCTTGGTCCTGCGTGTTTTCGAATGGCGCCGTGACAATGGTTGCGGGGGTATCTCGATCAGCATTTTGTGTTTGGTAGCTGATTTCCTGCGTGTATTGCACTTTGACACTTGCCGTTTGCAGGCGACGCAGCCATCGACTGGGCGTAATGACAGTTTGTTCAATATCGGAAATGGTGGTCACGACATTGGTGATATCCAATCCAGGATTCTGTGAAAAATAGTTTTCGACATGATCCTCCGTGGTGACTTTCCAATCGATTTGTGCCTCTGGGCTCATCAACTGATTCAATCCTTCCAATGTCATTTCCAAATTTTGGAGAGTGCCAGTAATGGCAGGTGTGGTCGGTGAAGGCGTTGCCATGGAAGGGGCAGAAGTAGGACCTCCGTCGGAAGATTTCGTGGTGGGAGATGCCGTAGTTTCCATACTGGTCGGCATTGGAGTACCAGGACCGGCAGTAACATTGAAGGTAGGCGATCCAGTTTCCGAGACCATGGAAGGAGCTGCAGTTGGTACGTTGGTCGTTGCCATCATGGAGGGAGATACAGAGGGTGCTGTGGTCGATGGATCAGTAGGAGCCGGGGTAGTGGTATTAGTTGGAGCTGGTGTGGTTGGAACTGGGGTTGCGGGAACCTGAGTGACGGGAGACACAGTTGTAGCAGCATTGGTTGGAGCTGAAGTATCAGGGACAGGTGTGGTAGGAGCGGAAGTAGCCGGAACTTGCGTAGTGGGAGCAACAGTTGTAGCTGCACTGGTGGGATCCGCGGTTTCAGGGACTGCTGTAGTCGGAGCAGAAGTGACGGGTACTTCGGTTGTGGGAGCAGTAGTGGCAGTATCAGTTGGGCCTGGGGTTACAGCAGCATTGGTAGGGACGAAGGTCGGAGAGGTAGTGGTTGGTTCTGCGGTGACTGGCTCTGGGGTTGTTGGGACAATAGCTGGCCCAGTAGGCTCGACGGTACCCATGGTTGGAGAGTCTGTGGATTCAGCAGGAGTACTAAGAACGGTTGGCATATCAGTAGGCGATGGCACCGGTAGGGCTACTGCCGAGGTGGGTGCACTAGTTGCTGGGACAGTTGATGGCGCCTCTGTTTCCATTTCCGGTGGCAAAATTGGAATGGGTACTGTGGGCCCAGTATCATTTCTGTCCACAATAACTGCCGACCCCCCAAGAATTTCCTCTTCAAGCTCTTCCAATAGAGGTTCTAGATCCATGTCGGTGGTAGCATTTTCTTGTCCATCAACTTGACATATCAAAGCTAACGCTAATAGCAGAAAGGTTCTGGAAAATACCCCCCTTCTACTGCGTAAGGGACGGTGTCTTTGTACTGTTGGAGGTTCAATATTCATGGTGTCTACCTTCAAAGTGGTGATGGGATGTTGGTTGGTTGGATGGTTGGATGGTTGGAGGGAGTATTTTGATATTTCGGGTTCTTCCACAAAAAGCGATTTAATCGTACAGCTCTCAGTAGTTGGATGATCTGGCCTGTTCCAATAATTATTGAAGGGAGATAATAAGATACCCACACTGGCTACCGGATAACAAGAAGGAAACGGAAGTCTTGCCCGGTCCTCACAAAATAGGTTCTCGCGTGAATCTAACAAGTCAAAAGAATGGACACCAGAAACGAGAATCGTTGATGGCTCTGTTGCTGTAGCTTTCCAGTCCTGAGGAAGGCTGCTGATGCCGCTTTGTTGATCTGGATCAGGATGATAAACTTGGTCCTTGCTCGGTTTGGCACAATAGAACTTTCTTATAGGATGGCAACAATGCGTTTCGGCTCTCTTATTCTTGGTGTTATTATATGTCATTACGAGTGTGTGGGCGCATTGCTGAGCAACTGTTTTCTTCCGTGTCATTCGGTCGTCCAGAAATCGTGACTTGGTTTCTTAGCCGTTGTTTCATGAGCCAGGCTGACATTTATGCTTGCCTTGATCCAATGTACCTGCTAAGTAACCATCGCAGGCCCGCGCACCACAGGCAGTTATTTTTGGCGACTGGCTCGGTCAATGGACCCACCGGTATGATATGGTTCCGAGCCGAGCTGAGCTGATCTGAGCTGAGCTGACCGTGGGAGAAGCAATCCACGGTCAAAAATTCCATGCTCACCAGGCACACTTTGAAAGAGAGAGAGACAAGGTACGGTACAAAATGGGGATGTCTCCACTTGTGCTTATCCTATGCATTGGCATCGAACAGAGAACGATGGTTGACTTTGGAATGCTGCCACTTGAGGTGCCATTATTTAGCTCTGTTCTAGCTGGCTACTCGTGGCCTGCGAAATGCTGCTCGGCAGGAACCATAAGAAGTTCCCACCCGTGAGCAGTTTGAGGAAGGCAAGCCACATTCCCGAAGGCTACGTATACGAAAATAAAGAACCTCTCTGGTCACTCCTTGCTCGCACTCATCAATCTATTCCTCGAGAAGGCTTGATCTAGTGATGGTCCCTAGCTAGCTGAGCTCGTCAGCTCAGCTCTATACACTGCTGTTTTATGCTCTGCCTGTATGATAGGAACCCAAGTTTTGGTCTCGGAGTTTGACAGGCTGAGCAACTAGCTAGCAGCTGTAGTCACTCGCGACGGAGAGAAGGAGACTACGAGGCTCGAGGAATCAGCCACACAACACGTACCGGCACGACTGTACAGGGAATGGCGGGGAGACAGCAATAAGAAATTTGCTTTAAACCTGGTAATGAGGGCTACTCGTAACTAAAAGCGGGCTGTCATGTACATAGCTGTGAGTTGCAATCAGGCTCCACGGCTCGTGCCAAACTACATGAGAACGCTGACAAGTCACTCACTCATGGCTGTCTGTTGTGAGATGGAGAACAGGTTCAGCCCGTAACTCCACAGTGTCGTTGCACAGACCGTGGGAATCTAGTTGAGACATACTGAACGTAAAGTTACAGGACAAACTAAGTTGGTGTGAATGATGCTCCTTTACAGTAGTTTTATTCATTGTTGGTACCGTAGCTGGTCCTTCCTTCATGTATCGCTGAGGATATAAATCCCCTTCGCCGTCGTCGTTGTATGTTTACGGTGTCTCTAATGATTAATCGACTCTACAAGAACCATCGTAGCATTGCAGCAAATATCAGAAGAGCATCCGGAACAGAGTCAGTGTCTTCAATTCCAGCGTGGTGATGCTCATCATTCTCTGCAGTGACGACACCATAGAGATTCCCGTTGTCGTAGTCTTTGTTTCCAATCCATGCATCGCAGGGTTTGGCAAGGAAGAGACCTGCGACGAGGAAAACTACAAGGAGTTGCTGGACCTCGTTGGAAACAGACGGCATTTGTCCTGATTGAGCTCTTTCCGTTGATTTTCTTGGCAGTTTTCTTTTGCTGTTTGTCTTTCTTATGAGCGAACCGATGCCTCATCATGGCATTGATGTCTTGATTGACTGATAGCTTTGTTCGTTTTCAATGACAACAAACTTCTACCAGGTACAGTACGATAGATGGATTGCCGTAGATCAGGATGAGGCCTAGCCAGCTACCTGCAACGGTTCGCGAACTCCAGGTCTAGTACACTCCAGCCAGATTGCCAATAGAAGTTGGGGAAAGTTCGTCATGGTCGAACGGTCGAACTGCAAGTTAGATTATTTTCCCTTTGAGTCATTGATTATTATTAATTAAATTCCAGAAAGCTTCCAGATTCCTCCGTGAACATCCAGGGTGACGGGGGAATTTCCAGGGCAGAACTCTAGTGGAAAGTCCTGGGAAAGCTACCAAGGTCTCTTTAGGCTTTGTAGGTAGGGTGTCTAACGATAGGATATTAGCTATTCAGTATTGGGGCCATGGCCACTTTCTTCTTTTTAAAAATTGAGTCAAAGTCTGTTGAGACGAAGCAGCCAAAGCAGTGCTACCGCTACGGGAGCTTGTGCCGAGCGCGGGGAACAGCACAAGGTGTGGACGATGGAATACAGTAGCTCTTACGCTGTCATACTGTACAACCACACTGGCCAGCCTTGTCAACAACTGGGGCTTATCTAAGCAAAGCCAGTCTAAGCCACTCTGAGCCTGTCTAAGCTAAGCCAGTCTAAGCTAATCTAGTCTAGGCTAAGGATATGATTTACTATACAAATTATAGTATTTTTCAACCCTATAGATTAGCTTAGATAAGAATTGATTGGCTTAGAAAAGCCAAGATTGGCATATATAAGCTTAGATAGGCCAAACTAAGCCTTGAATCCAGTAGCATTGGACCAGGAAGGCATCAGGTTTCAGCGAGGATACACATAAAACTCTTCAAAGTCGCGGTAGTCGCGACTATCTCGACTTTTATAGTCGTTCTAAAGTCGCGATGCGCGACTATCGCGACTTTTATAGTCGTTCTAAAGTCGCGGTGCATTACTAGTTAATAACACGGAGAAGTCGTGCTTAAGTCGCGGTGCGCGACTATCGCGACTTTTATCGTCGGACTTTCGCGACTTTTATAGTCGTTCTAAAGTCGCGGTGCGAGACTTTCGCGACTTTCACGACTACCGCGACTCTGAAAAATGAAAGTCAAGTTCAACGTTAAACCTGGTGCCTTCCAGGAAAGCAGCGGATTAGGCCATTAGCTAAAAATAAGCAATCCAGAAAGTCGCGTGAAGTCGTTCGCGATTCGCGGTAAGTCGCGCAGTGCAACTTCGAAAGTCGTTCGCGATTCGCGATAAGTCGCACTGCGTAAATACTAGCATTTACACTAAGAAAGATGATGGAAGTCGCGCCAAGGCGCGGTGAAGTCGCGCCATTCGTTCTATTCGCGTTGCGCGAATCCCGCGCAGTGCGAATAGGAACCACTTTCAGCGATCCCTAAAATCGGCTGCCTTCCAGCTACCGGCTGGTAGGGGTACCACAGCTTCGAAGTTTCGAAACAGAACCTTGTAACTGAAGTTTTCAGCAATGGGGAATGCAATGATAATGGCCCCAACAGCAGTGATGGGAGAGGCCGTAACATAACCAACAGATTAGCCAAATTAGCCAGCCTTTTAGCACACAGAGTCGAATAGTTTGGTTATATGCTTTTGACAATTGGCTGCCACTCGATCAACTATGGAGCCAATGTCTTGTCAACTTGGCCTTGAGCTTCTACCCTCGTAATTCCCCCGTCACCCAGTGCTCAGTAGTCACAATGTCACATGCACACACAGCCTTGCAGATTGTGTCATTCTTCCACATTCAGTCATTCTTTTAATTTTCCTCTTTCAGCCATTTTCAAAAAGAAAGAAATTGAAAGCTGAGAAATGGGGAAAATAGGTATTCTCGCAACTCCGATGTCATCGCACCCTGCGGAACAGAAGGGGTAAGGGTCAACTTCTTGAGACGTGGATACGTTTTGGAGAGAGAGTCCTCGAGAGAGAGTTCGAGAGAGAGTTCGAGAGAGAGAAACCAAAACGATAAGAAAGCCAACTATTATAGCACTGTGTTTGTGAAGAAAATCTGTCTACCTCGATAGCATAGTATACTGGTGCTGCCATCACCAATATCCCTGCTACACTTGTTATTATTGTCTCCCGTTTAATCATTCGATCGTTCGAGAGAGTTAGAGAGAGAGAGAGAGAGTTAGAGAGAGAGAGAGAGAGAGAGAGTTAGAAAGAGAGATAATTGTCTCCCGTTTGATCATTCGATCGTTCGAGAGAGTTCGAGAGAGAAGCAGAATCCATGCATAGCTGTGGGGACCCCATGCTGCTTCGCTCTGGAGCTACCAGTACTACCGGTAGTACTGGAAGTAGCTAGATCATCTGCGGCATGGCTCATTCAGCAACGGCGTCAGGTTTGAAGACTTCTGCGGTTTAGAAACGTAAGATATGGCCAAGGATTCCACGATTCCACTTCGTGAAGAGATCGTACGGCTTGACGACTTATGTATAAAAACGTTCGTGCTGATTGAAGATGGAGGTCAGTCGTGCAAATCCGAGGCAAAGCCGAGGGTGCACGGTTGACCGTGGATCGACAAGGGCGAGGACGAGGCAAGGTCAAGGCGCGAAAGGAAGGCCGGAAGGCCTGGAAAAGCGATGAGACCGCAGACGAGATCGAGACCGACAAGAGCAGGGATGTCATTTGTATGTAATCTGTCCAATCCCTTTCCGAGGGACGTCATTTGTATGTAATCTGTCCAATGCCTTTCCGAGGATACAGGAGGAAGCAACAGGAAACATGAGCGCCATGGTCGTCCTGTAGTAGCTGCAGCGATCGGGACGGTTGGTTTGTTGTTGTTGTTGACGTTGAAATTGCATGCTTTACCACTGAAACCAACGACTGGTTGAATTCCTCAAGAAAAGCAATCGAAAATAATTTGAATCGACTTTAGTACACTATTGTCTATAGTCATTAAATCCGGTGAAAGCAAGTTTCAACGTCCTTCCAAGATTTAACCAGTAGTCGTTACCTATAATCTCATAATCCGTGAAAAAGAAGCTTTCCAGCCAGAGAATTACAATCCCAGTCTTGCCATAACGCTCTTCAAAATTTAACTAGGTAAATCTAGTGACACTATTTCCGGTGACTATGGTACTCTTAGTGAAACCCGAGGAAAGGGGCGGACAGATTACTAGAAAGACGAGCCATTCCTGCGCAACCCTACAATGTAGTCTCGAGTTACGGTAATTGATAAAGATTGGTGCACAGGTTCACTGGGGTTACCCCAATGCAACAAGTGTTTGTAGCCTGAAAAGAAGTGTATTGTAGAGTACGGTGGTACCGGTACGGTATCGGTACCGGTACCCGTTCCGCGGATCCGGTGGGCGCCGCTTGGGGATGCCGCATTGCCGCATTCTGTTGTGCTGTTCCTCAATCGTGCATGGCTCATAAATCTGACCACACTTTTTGGTCCGGTTTGGGGGAATCCGATATAAGTTCATGCACGATTGATGAACGTTCCTAGAGTGTGGGGTGTGGGGTGAGGTTCTGGAGTCGAGTCTCGAGTCGAGGCGGGAGTAACTCAGTCCAAACAGTGACAATGTACACGTCATACGATTTTAGCACTACGTAGTCTTGTACCGGTATTAGAGTTTCATAGAAACTGAGTTAGTTTCACAGAAATGGGTTGGTTTCACAGAAATGGGTTAGTTTCACGGAAATTGAGACAGTTTCTCGGTCAAAGGGGTTGGTTGCGGGTAGTCCAGTTGGATGAAAATGGACCAAACTGGTGGCAAATTCCGTGAAAGTAACGTCAGTTTTTCCAAAAGAGTCCCGTTTCGTGACCTTCCTAGATTGTTCTCGCCATTCAGTCCATGCGAGCACACATCGTCAATCTGTACCGAAAAGATTCGTCGAGCGTTTCGGAGTCATGGTTGCTGCCAGAAAATTGTGTTTGGCTCTTCTGCCAAGGCGTCCACTCGTCCACAATTTCTAGCACTCGCTTTCGATCATTCGCTTGGATCGTCCACACTCTCCGCCCTGTTACAAAATTGTTAGATCAGAGAACAGCAGCATCAAGATGGACATGAACAGTGGTAAGCGCCGCTCTCGACGACTTCAATCCCTTTCTCCTGAAGTTGTGCCCCCCAGCTCCACAAGGCCATCGAAGCGACGCAAGGTGAAGGCATCGGAGACCGCGAAAGACAAGGCGAAGGGATCGAAGACAGACCGCCCGAAGGCATCGAAGCGAGACAAAGCCGAAGCATCGAAGACAGACCGTCCGAAGGTGTCGAAGCGAGAGAAAGCCGAAGCATCGAAGCAAAACGAGAAGAAAGCGCCTAAGCCAGTCAAGAAGAAGCCAACACCTCCCAAGAAAATCAACAAGTCGATTGTCTCAGTCACTATCAAGAAAGAAGAAGAAGAAGCCCTTGTGACGACACCGCCCGACGAGCCAACTCGCGCCTCGCAACCAGAAAAGCCCAAGAAGAAGCGCACTCGACAAGAGCCTTATGAACTACGACGCAATCGACGAAAGATTGTCATTGACAACGATTCCATGAATTTGGAGGCAGAGCACATCAGGAATATGTTGCGAGATACTGGTGACATTACCTTGCAGAACGTCGCTCATCCAGCAGATTGGAATCCGCAAGAGCAAGATGTGGCCTCACACTTTTCCGGATCGGCTACTCTTTCTGCCATGGCACAGGGAACAGAGGGAATGCGACCCACTTCAGCCAATGGTCGAACTCTGGAGTTTGGAGAAGGAGAGGATGATCATCTGCTTCGGGATACCTTGCCGTTTGGAGACCTTTTGATACGTCCTTCATTGGGAGATGATGGACAGCTGGCTCCAGAATTGCTGCAGCTGTGGCACAACAACCTGGCTCATGTCGAAGGAAAACCCTCTCCATATCCCAAACTTACAGCTGCTCCCGCCGTACAACCAGGTGCCCCCCCTGCGAACGGCCCGTCGGTACAGGCTGAGTCGGATCCATTGCCAACTATTGAAGGTCTCTGTGACACACAGAATATGGACGATCTAAAGAGCCTTCCACCCATTCGGTTGCAACCTGCTAGTATTGTTGCCCCTACAAGCCGCCCACACAGGGGATCAATGGTGGAGGGTGAAGAACCAGCACCAATTAGAATTGTTTCAATGCACCAAGTGCTGCGTATGGACTTTGGTAGCAGCGATGAGGAGTATGAAGCTGATGACCATTATAGGGGTGCCTACGTGCCTCAAAGACCTGCACCAAAATTGTTTGAATATGACACTATTGTGAGATATTTTCAGGAACAGACATACAGACTCCCTACATACACTACTTCTACTCAAACAAGCTTGGGCCATTAGCAACCTGCTGGCTGCAGGGCCACACAACCTGACACATCATAGCAACACTAAAAAATAAATATAAGAAATCTTTATAACGGCTAGCATACAATGCTTTTTGTAGCTGTAGCAAGTAACGGTTGCACAAGTTTCACTGTAGTTATTAATAGCAGCCATAGTTGTTGTTGTTGCTGCAGTTGTCGTCAAGTCATCAATGACTTTGATCTGAAGCAGCTTATTCTTGGATACAAACTGGAGCGGCAATTGAAGAAACAAAGGATGGACACCAATACTCTTCTCTTGACATGCTGGTGGCACAAGATCTTTGGGATGAGCTAATTGACTTCTGTGATGGAGAACCTGATGAAATATAGGACCTGTTCTGTGCTAGCCAGCCTTTCTTTGGCATCACAAACACGGTTGTTGGAAGCAGGTGTCAAAGAAGCAGGAGGAGTATCCTGGCTAGACGAAATGGGAAAGTTACTATGGGTTAGAGGGAGATATGATGAGGGTGGGGGTAGCGAGGGGGGGGCAGGATGCAGGAATGCAAGCCAAGCAATGGAGTGTGCAAGCAGGGCAAATGGAAACAGGAGAGGGGGCAAGGCAGGAGGACAGGGCCAGCTAGACCAATTGTAATAAAATTGTGGAGAGCCATCGCTAGATTGATTCGATTCCTGCATGAGCGTTGATCTTTGGAAGGGTGACTCCTCCTAGTGTCCCCTCGCCAGATTCTGGATCTGACTTCCAGAATTCGGAAGTATTAATTATCATAGCTAATGTACTAAGTATTGAGTTGGACCAATCTGGTCAAATTACCCTTACTTAGAGGATCGGCAACTTTTTCCCTGTCGATCGCTAAATTACTTAGACAGGAGAAGATCTCTTATACAAACCTGGCATCGAGATCCAAATGGATCAAAAGTTGTCGATCCCGGATTACACATAGACAAGAAAGGTGACCGTTTGGATTTAAATAGGATAAGCAAGGCCTTTCACAAGAGTCACTTGTTGATTATAATGGTCCGATTAAACTACTGTTTAACTATAAGGATTTTGACACTGCTGTCGAGGGGTGTTTTACACTCGAATTCAGTACAACAAAACATTGAGAAAGAGGGATGTGTGCCGGTACTGGCCAACTTAGGCCTAAAACTGGATGTTTCGACCAAAAAAGGGATCGTGCGGGGCTTCTGGCATGGCTGTTCCACCCTGTTTTCCACGACTGTTATTTAAAGAGTGAACCCTTTCAAGTTCAAGATGGTGACGCCTAAGATGAGCCTGCTTCTCTTTTTCGGCAATAAGTGCCATTGACATGGCAGAAAGTCGACGCTTCCGAGAGGTTCCGGGTTGAACAGCATACCCTGGAGTTCCGGTAGACACTTCCATCGTATGACGACCACCATTCTGATGATCATATATATTGTTGTTCATCGTAACATTGGGAGAAGCTGTAAGATTTCCCTGGTGGTTCCGGTTTCCGATACTACCATTCCTGCTCACAGAAGACACGTTATGTGGATTTCCCCCCTCAGAGTCGCGTCTGGCACGAAAGTTCTCAGGTCAACCACTGCCTCTGCCATTGTCAGGTCTTGGGGGGGAACTGGCGGCGGAACTTGCCCCTGAGGTGCCTTCTTAGGCTTATTGTGAGGGCACTTCTCCATGATTGACAATACCTGACCGACTGCAAGCTTTATGTCTCGAATACCCTCCATAAGTAAACTGTTGTTCCCTTCTTGAATCCCAAGAAGGGAGAGGATCTCTTCTCACTCTTTCTGGTTAGCTTCAGCGATCTCTTCTCGCTCTTTCTTGTTGGCTCTTGCAAGATCTTTGAGCTTCCGAGAAATATGGTTCTTAACTAAAGTCCCGTTGTTTTTAACTTCAAGGCCGAGAGTTTCGACTGTTGATTTAAAAGTCAAAGCGGACTTAGGTGCTGGCTTCAAAGAAGACTTTGCACCGGTGTTAGTAGTACTGCCTGTTGTTTGCTAGTAATACTGCAGCTTATTGGGGAGTAATTTGGTTTTAGATTAAGCTGAAAAGCAAAAGTGAGGATTTTCTGGTGGTGCTCAGCAATTCTTGTGATTGAATTGGATATAAGGACCCCCGCAACACTTTAGACCTAAAACTCCCTTGGTTCCTTGCATCATGAATATGCATGCGAACCGGACTAGATGTTTAATAAAATACACGAGTCAATAGTAAAGAGGTGTCAGGTATATTTCCTCCAACACACTCCTGCACGGTGCCCTAAGTGGCTACTGTGGAACGAATAAAATAAATTAGGCAATCAAACAAGGGGTGGATGCCCCATGATGAAAGCCCTGTGCTCGTGGAAGAGCTTGCCCTGAAGGGGCTTCATGAAAAAATCTCCACGCATCTCCAAGGTTGGGCAGTACACCACTCTAAGGTTGCCTTTTCCAATCTGATCGTGAATGAAGAAGAAACGGATGTTAATTGCCCGAGTCCTTTTGCCCGAGCTGCCTTTGCCGTTCTCAGCAAGGATGATGGTCGACTTATTGTCTTGCATCAGGATGTTGTCCTTGACAACGATCCCCTGCTCTTCAAGAAACAACTTGGCCCATAACATTGGAGACATGACGTCGTCTGCTCCAATCAACTCCGCTTCGGTACTGCTCCTTGAGTTGAGCTTCTGTTTCGCGGATACCGACAACACCGCTCCACTTCCAAAGGACATGACTCCTCCTGTATGGGAACGGTAATCAGAATGGACTGCAAATGATGCATTCACCCACCAAGTGATGACACGGATATCATCAACATGGAGAATCAACTTGTCCTCCACTGTCTGTTCCAGGAACTTCAATCCTTGAGTCAACTTGTCCCAATCATCAGATGTTGGGCTTCTGACACGGGTGCATAAGACAGTTGTCAGAGTTTGCACATCTGGTCGAGCACGTTTGCACATGAACAGCAGCTTGGCTGCAAAGGTATGGTAGGTCTCCCTGTTTTGTCATTCAGGATGGTGCCATCACCAGAGCTGAAGAGGTCAGCAGGAGCTGCACTTGAAACCTTTCTCATCTGCTTGAAGTCCACTGGGAATTCCGATACCATCTTCTTGATGGAATCTATCATGTCGATGATCACCTTTCCTGGGTCTGAGAAGTCCACTGTCATCCCCAGGTAGTCATGTTTGGGACCACGGGTTGCCTTGACGGCCCCATAGGTTCCGTACTTGTCATTGAACCACTCCAGGGTTCGATTGTTCACCAGTTTCATCCGGTGGCTCGACATCAGGTCGTCCACATGGAAGCGGATCGTCTGCTGATATCCTTCAATCATCCTGTTGGCAACACACGGATCGTACTGGTTGAATACGAATCCGATTCCCTCCAGGTCACTCCTGAAGAGCTTGTACCAAAGCAGTGCTGCCAAAACCATTCCGTAGATGGCTCTTTCCACAACGACATAGAGGACTGGTCGTCCCTTTTTGTATGTCAGGAAAGAGGCATATGTGTCAGGATCAATTTCGACAAGCAAGTCTGCAAGGGTTCCCTGCCTCAATGATCATGAGGACCCTGTCTTCACCTTGTTTGACTTTTGGCATTGGGGTTTGGATGAATGCATTGGGAACATCCAGGGACATCACATCCCTATCCTCGGATGCATCGACACACATGGATAACATCAAACCCTCAAGTGAAACTGTTGGGCTTCTGGCATCTTCTTTCTGATGGTACACCCTTGTAGGTTTCCCATTGTAGACTGCACGGGCCTTGACCGTGTCATCCCTTTTCTCACTCACAAACATGAGTGCCATTTGTGCCTTTTTCAATTCAGAATCACTGCACTTGTTTGGGTCGACTGGACTGGAAGCAGACTCTGCTGTGGAGCTGATCCATTTCTTTGAGCGCCGCCATTCTGGCTTTGTTGCCCCACACTTTCAGACCCTTGGGTAGAAGATGCTGTTGGGCATGGCTGCTCTCATCCTTGACTTCTGCTGTGGCACTCCTGTGACTACAGGAGTCCATGAACAAAGCTAGGTGCTTGCTTGTCTCTGTCTCATACAGTAGTGGCTGCTTCGCTTCATCATCTTGGACGAAGGTCACTCCTTTCTTTGCTTCGGCTGTAGCAATCCGAGCTGAGCGTCTAATTCCAACTCGAGGAAGCTTGGAAGCCTTGGCTGGCCCAGCGAGGTTTCCATCATTGGTATCCACTGCTGGTGCCGTCTCTACAACTGTAGGGTTGTCTGGACTTGTGCTTGTTGGGATTCCTTGGAATCCCTCTTCTCCTTCTTCATCGGAGTCAATGTCTGTGGCATACTGTTTGGATGCCCTTGGGACTAGCCCTGGGGCGTTCCCATCCTCAGAATCTTCATCTGATTCCTTGTGCACTTGGATTCCACTGAATCTTCGTCCGAAGAGTCTCCATAGACTTGGAGGTAGCTCTCATTTCCATTGACACCATCCACTCCTGCAGGCAAACCTACAGGTAAAAATTCCACAAAGTCACGGTTGTGAAAGATTAGTGGTTTCTTGCCCTCACCGTATGCCTTCTTTTCGACAGCATCAATGACTGAGCGAGGCATCGGCAGAATACGAACATGCTGGCGTGTGATCACTTCAAAGGTGACAAGATCCATCACACTGTGCCCTCCTTGGTGGTTGTCCATCAGGGGGCGGAGATAGATGCAATCCAATCGCCTGGGCTCCATGGAATTGAGCTTGTCTGGTTCGTTGGAAGCAAGACAATAGCTCCCAAAAGTGTACTGAATATCTTTGTAGCTTGTGGTCCGACCCTCCAAGATCTGCCTGGGAGGATACACTTTGGAGATTCCATCAAGCGCGGGGAAGAGGTTGAGTTTACAGTTAACATCGTACACCAATTCCACAATCATCACCTTTGGCATCACCATGAATGGGGTTGAATGCCAGGCTGCGCGGATGCGCTCCTTCAAGGTTCGGATGTTGCGTTCGGCTGGACCACTGTGAGTCTGAGCCGCTCCATGGTTCAGCTTGAGCTCCATGTCGTTTTTGACAGGATCCATCAAGCTCTTGAACTCCAGGTCACACTGGATTTCTTGGATCTTGAAGTCATTGTTCCCATACCGGTCAAAGATCTTGTCAATGGCGGCATAGAAGGATTTGCCTTTCCTGTTGGTAAGGTAGGCAGATTCTCGGTGACGGATTTGGAGGTCAGTAAATGCAAGGAAAGCAATTTCACAAACATAGAAGACATCCATACATCCTGTCAAGAACCTGTGTGGGGCCACCAGCTCATCCGGAACAGCATGGATACTGTCGGTCACTGGTGGTGGGCGTCTGCGTGTAGTAGAGCCCTTGGCCTTGCCCATGTCGCTGCCAAAAATTAATTCGGCGCGGTCGATGTCCTCCAACTTGACGGGACAATCGCGAATTTGACCAGTCCTGATCATGTTGCGGTAGCCCTCCAAAGATGGGCGCTGGAGGTTGTGGTACAGATTTCTTGCGAGAAATGCACCCTTGGCTTGCTTCTTGGTAAAGCCTTCGAGGTTGCCCTCCACCGTCTGGACCAAATTCTGGAACTCCGGTGAAAACTGGTTGAGTTGGGCCATGTGATCCAGTAGGGCTTGCTCAATCAGCACTCCATACAGACCTTTGGCGGTCCTTCCATACCTGGTATGGATCCCAGTTGGGCGGTAGTGGTAGATGGCGTCGTCGACTCTTGAGTCCATGAGGACATAGGA